AAATTCCTCAATGAAAGATTCTTAATCGATCATGTGTTTGATAAAATTTTCAGCACATTGTTCATTTATTGCATTATTCAAAGCAACTTTGAGTTTTTAAGCATAATATGTAGGGCACCGTTTGAATAATGGGAAAAGGAAATGATTTCCCACCTTACTTTAAATCCTAACCATCTATTTTCTCCACCTTATTTCATCCTAGCCCTTGATTCATTTCTCAATCCTAATCCCACCCCTCATTTCCCATTATCCAAACATAGCCTAGATGGTTTGAGCATAATTTGATGAGCTGCTTACAAGTGATTTACCATAATGTTTATCAAATATGAGCTATGGCATGCTTTTGACTAAAAGTACAGTTCGAAAATCATCAAACGTAATGTTTACAAAGGTAATGTTGGAATGGCCTTAAAATATGCATCATCATCATATATTGCAGTTGTCCATACGCATCAGATTAGTCTATACACGTCAAAATTCTTCAGTCTAAATATTGCATGGCTTCATAATTTAACTATCAATCCGAACCAAATACTGCTTAGCGCCTTAGCCTACGTTATTTTCCAAATTTGCTGAGAACATATTGGGGAATCCGGTTTGCATGTTCTAGGTTTGCACATTTCTTTCTCTCGAGCCACTATCTCAAAGCTTATCTGTATAAAAGTAATTAAAGGAACGCCATGTAGTAAAAAACACTAAAAAAAATGCAAACTTTATGAATCAAAACTAAATCTAATTTGTGCCGCTAACCGTTCCTTTTCGTCTTCTGTTTGCAGGTTGGCATGTAGGCATGCTTAAAAAAACGCCAGGAACTGTACAAGCTGTAAATGAACGGAACGAAGAGCAATAGATCATCCGTTAGGTCATGTTTGGTTTTGAACAAGCCCTATAAAATAGGCGAAGAAATTCTATTCTTCTATTTACCATTTATTGGCTACTGTTGATGCTTTTATCATTTCTAAGAAACTGATGGAGGATCCAAGGTCACAATAATCTTATTAAACTTCCATTTTCATCGGTACCTGTGAGCTTTAATAATGTATCCATAGCATTAGGATTGGATACTACTCCCTCCGTCAAAAAAAACCAACCTAGAAGACGATGCCTAGTACAACGAATCTGAACAGGTTGATTTTTTTTTTGGACGGAGGGAGTAAGGATACAGATCTCGGCTGTGTCATGTATTCCATTATGCATAGTAGATGTTAGCTATTGTCCCAGTTCCGATAGAGAAGGTTAGAAGGGAATGTAAGAGCAAGTTTAATAGTATAGCCCACTACTAGCTCCAATTTATATAATAGTTGCTTACTATATTATTAATATATGGTCCCACCTGTCATACACATATTGCGTCTTGGAGTCCGTGCTGTAGCTCGTTACAGATTTCTATCCCGCTGCTCTTCTCTCTCATCTTTTATCTTATTAAAATATGTTTATAGCTGCCTAATAGTCTGCTATTGTACCTGCCCTAATGGTGTAGTAGAACTTTTAACTCAACCCATTTAAGCAATGAATGCATTTTTTTTAGTTTACTTCATTCAATATATGCACGTGCAGGCTACTACCAATAGTAGCGAACTTTTTAACTCCATTTTGTACTCATTTTAGGCCGTGTGCATTTTCATTTAGGTGAAATTTGGTCAATATGTATCCCGCTGGGTATGACTCGTAGTCAATCTCTGGAGGATATGGAGGATCATAGGATAGGCTAGGTAACCTTTTCACTATTCTTTTTTAAAGGTACCTTCAAGTAACCAGGTCTCTTCATCCTTATCGGACACTCCCACAAGAGACAATTCTTTTAGCCTCTAAGAGACAAAAAGAAGAGCCTAACCAGGACCTTGAGATAACAGCCCATAGGGTAGCCCCTACAGAGCAAAAATCTAAGGTCGGAATACCGGAGTTCTTTTGTTGCTTCCAAGAAAATAGATTCCTTCTTCAACTCAGGTCATGACCGAGGGTGGGTATCTCCCTCGCATATCTAGAGCCCAGCATCTCTCCTAAACGACACCTTCTGCAGACTCTACTGGTGGTATTCCCCGAGGCGAGGGTAAATATGTGCATTCATATCGGTCAGGAAACGACAATGACTCTTCTTCTTTCCGGGAAGCTATGGGCACCTCACAATTCTTAGACGACATTAGTGGAAGCGAACATTCATAGCATTCATTGTCACCGATCATTGACAAAAGAAGAAAAAGAAGCCGTACGACAACTTAAGGAATCTTTAGATTTGGCGGCTATAGACTCAAAGGGCACAGACAGGCTGCTGGTATTGTTTTTTTAGCTAACTAAAGTCCAACTTCCTTTGCCGAAAGAGGATGAAATGGACCACCCGATACCAATGAACTCACCAAAAGTTTACTGATCAGATCAACCACTGATTGCTGAGAATTCCAACCCTTTCTATCCCAGCTTCTACTCCACACAGTTGTTCTCGACTTCTACTCTCGATACTTATCGTAGTTTATTTTTCTACGGTTCCTTCGGGCTAGGGTTAGTGTCATTTCCACTACTTTTGGGAGTGTTATGATCAGCCAAGCTCGACAATTCTCTCAATAGTACCTCATTTTCATCTAAAACACTGCTTAAAGCTCGATCGCAAATTCTCATTGGATCTCGGTTGTTCTTAACAGCGATGGCTATTCATTTAAGTCTTCGGGTAGCACCACCATATCTTCAACAAGGTGGAAATTCTCGTATTTGGTACTCCTTAACTCGGAGATACTCCTTCGGTACTACTTGGCTACTACTTGAACAGATGGGTTTAGTCCCTTCCTTCGGGCAACGTTTTCTCCGGGTACCACCGGCTTACCACCGGGTTGAAAGAAATCCCTTACTATTAGGACATAGTGTTCGGTATGACTTAAGGCTACTGGATTTACTTTCTTTAATGTTGCATCTGCTTTCAACTATTTCATAGCCTCCCGTCCCGAGCAAACGTCGAGAGCAGGGTGTTGAGCCAAAAAGTAAAATCCATAGAGTTAGTTACATATGCCCTGTGAGTCTGACATAGATATCTCTCTATCATTTATGGACTTTGAAGCAATCTGGGCGATTGAAATGGTACATGCGCCCACGTATATACATATGCATATTCGCCATTTCTTTCTCTTTGCAACGTGTTAGGTATGTTCTTTTCTCCAACAAAAGTTGGATAAAATTTTGAATACTAAACGGTTTCGTGTGAAAACTTTCTATATAAAAGTTGCTCTAAAATATTAAATTGATCTGTTTTTTAAATTTGTAATAATTAAAACTAAATTAATCATATATTAATACCACATCGTTTTACGTAAACATTTAATCTTTATCTTTAGTGTGTTTGGTTGGTATACAAAACATTAGCTTATCTCTTCAGCGAAAGGTGGCTTTCAACTTGTCATACAAATAGCTTCGATGTTCATTTGAATGGAAAATGCCACCATGATCAAAAGGATTCACATTGGTTACATGCACCTCTATACTAACCCAACAAGTAACTCTGATTGGTAGATATGATAAGTTGTAGAAATGTAAACAAAAAAAGTTAAAATAATTAATGGGGTAATTGTTATATATTTTAAAACAAGTTATCATATTTTAAAATAATTAAACTGGATGTAGAAATTATTATATTTCGATTGATATTTGAGAAGGTGAAGAAAACAAAAAAAAAATCTTAAAGGTAATTGGATATAAATTGTGCTACTATGTGCAATATAATTCATAAAAATTAATTTTAATATTATAAGGTAATATCCATAAGATTACTATCTAATGGTATATTGACATCGTAAAAAAAAACTCATCTAGCATATACTTACCAAGTTGATGCACCAAAATAATAAATTGTTAAATTCTCAAAAAAAATGTTATGTTCTTGTAGTAGAACACAACTACTTGTCAAGTTGTTGTACTCGGACGTTTAATTCTCAAGTTCTTACACTATATCGCACCCACCTGCTAAGTTGTTGTACCGTGGGTGCAATTCACTCTATATATTATTTGTAGTTTAAAACCCAATGCACAAAAATAGACCGACAAATAAAACTACTTAAACTCAATTGTATAAATTAAGTTGTATAATTTAAATTTTAGTGGCTGATAAATTAACATGCGATATTGAGAGTTGTAATACTTAAAATTTTGTAATACAAAACATGTGTCTCTTTTAGGAAATGTTTCTAAATATTTGTCAGCATTGGTTAATATGAATATATCTATCCCACAATAACACATCTTTCGATTACATGGTATATTTAAATATTTGTGATTTTTAAAGTTGAATGTGTTTTGTCTCATAACATAGAAGAATAGTCGTCCTCCTTCCCACTCCATCTTCCTCACGCGCAGCGCACAAGAAAAGAGAAAAGAGAAGCAGCTATTGCTCTGCTCCTAAAAAAAGAAAATTCGGTAAAGAAAAAGAAAAGGAAAAGTGGTTAGCAATTCAGAAAAAAAAACTCCGCTTTATGCTTTATCCATGTTTCAGGCGTTAACCTATTTTCAATTGTATGGCCCATTATAATGCACAAATATATAATTAATTGATAAAAAAAAATTAAAGTTGAACGCAACAAATATAATAAAATGAAGAAATAAATTATAATTTACGCTGCAAATGTAGCAATCAGTCGATACTTTTTTTTATATATTACACTGCTTCTTATATTCAGGTTTTTAATTCTCCGCTTCACTAAGAGCAAATTTAATAGTATAGATAACGACTAACTCTAAATTATAGTCAATTCATATAATAATTATCTACAAATACATACTACACTATTAATATATTATCCTACTTTCCCCGCAAAAAAAATATATTATCCCACTTATCATATACATATTGTGTTTTAGAGTCTGTGCTGTAGCTGGCTATAAATCTGTAGTCCGCTACTCTTATCTTTTATCTTTTTTATTTTATCTCTTATCAACTATCAACAGCTGTTCAGTTGGCAGCCCATATTATTACTGGGCAGCATTTCATTTCGAAGCATTTCCAACTGCAAGAAACCCCCAAAACCCACGCTGCTGGAGGCAGCGCATCGTCCGCCCCAGCCTTCCAAGTTCCAACCCCCCCGCCGCATCCCCTCCCCCCACTCCACTCCTCCCGAATCCCAATGGCGTCGTCGTCGTCGTCTTCTTCGTCGTCGCCGCCGCCGCCTCCGCCGCGCCGCTCCGTGTTCGACGCCGCCTACATCCGCGCGGAGTTCGCGGCGGCCGGCATCTCCCCTCACTTCATCCCTCTCATCTGGAAGTACGCGCCCTTCCGCCGCCCCCCTCGAACCCTACGCGCTCGCCGTCTCTGTGCCTCTCGATTTTTTTTTGTCATCCGAGAGATAGAAACCTCGTCTTGGTCTGAAGGGGTGATTTCCTCTTCGCGTGCAGGTATGTGTTGCAGAACCCCAGGTGCGGCGACCTGGACGCCGTCCCGTCGCTCCCGGCGGCCGCGTACGCGCTCCTTCGGCAGAAGTTCCAGCCGACCACGTCGACGCTCACCACCGCCGCGGAGTCCAAGGACCGCACCACTACCAAGCTCCTTATCCGACTCAAGGTGAATTGAATTAGATTGTGCCACTTTCGTGCTGTATGCTCAAACTTGGGGGATTTTGTAGATTGCACATTTCGGTGGTTTGAACATGCAGTACTAATGGTGATTATGGGATCAGGAGAAGTCTGCAAGATGTTTTAGGGTTTGTAATTTTTTTACCGCTGTTAACCTGCTAGCACTTATCACCTAATAGCATCGATGTATGTGGGCAGTTTGCTCTGGGTATTTCCGAAACGTCCGCTCTATTGATTTTAAATCCATTTGAATGCATGTGGATATGAACAGAAGGCCTCACGCATACTTGCACAATTGGCACGCCACTCTTTTAGGGACTGAATTTAAATGAGTATCTCAAGTAAGCTGTACATTAGAAACGAAGGATTTGGTCTAGCATGTGTTTTCACTTTTATCTCTCCCTTGGGAAGCCATTTATAGTTTCCTAGGTTATCATTGCGCTCTCGATGCAAAGCTTGGAAGATTCAATGTAAGGGTTATGACCTAATGAGTTCGTGTCCTGTATTAGGTAGGTTATTTTCAAATTTTAATCCAACCATAAATTAAACTCTGAGTATATTTTGCAGCTCCAGTTTGACTTGAACTTGGTTACTCTTTTGTCTGATAACAAACATGTAAATGCATGTCAAGTTGTCAACTGTCAGTTGCCCTTCCGTTTGGTTGTTGTCTTGTTACTGCTGTTGTCTGATTTTTTTTTCGTTGATCCTTTTCTGCTAATATCAACTTATTCCTCTTCAATTTCATGACCTAGAATGGGGAATCTGTAGAAGCAGTGATCATGCGGTATGACACGCGATTGGGGAAGTATGACGGGAAGCCTCGGCCTGGTGGCGTGCGCTCAACCCTCTGTGTCTCCTCACAGGTAGATATATCTGCCTTGCACATTGGGTGGCAAGTTGTTTTGTGAAAATCATTCTTTAATGTCTTCATGTATTGCCAATATTTCTTCTGATGACCTGTCGTCCTGTGGGCAACTATATTTGTGACAACGTAAGTTATCCTTGGGAAGCTGGTGGCTTACTTGATAGACACTGACCTTGCATCTAAAATTAACACAGGTAGGATGCAAGATGGGCTGTAGATTCTGTGCTACAGGAACGATGGGCTTCAAAAGCAATCTGTCTTCAGGAGAAATTGTGGAGCAGTTGGTTCATGCATCCCGTTATTCTCAGATTCGGAATGTTGTTTTCATGGTAATATAAAATTTCAAGCTGTTGGAATTTGCCTGAATTTTCTTTTCAAAAGGAAATCGTGCACAGTCCACTGGATGTGCAAAAAGGCAACAATGAGTGCCATCATGTTTTCATCATCCAGACCTAGTGGCCTCACACTGTTCATTCAGTTGTTTGCTTGGTTTTATTTGTACTGCCCACTGGATTTCATACAGGCCATGGCAAGGCAAGCCATGCTATGCTTATGAAGTATTGCCTATGTATATATATATTTATTCTGTACTGTTTTTGCTAGATTTTATGTCTTCCATAGGAAAAACGGGCTTGCTGTGTGAGTTTTCCCACTTTACTTCATTAAGGTAGAAAGGATATGTATTGTATTCCATTACATGGGTTAGATGCTTAGATGGCTTCCCATCTGAGAAATTAGAAAACCACCACACTGCATGAATGCATGGTACATCAGCTTGTTTTGGTGCATATTTGTGAGTTTAAATTGTTCTTATTAATGAACTGTTCTCCCAGTTCTATAGTCATGCCATTCCATTTGACAGAAATTAGCAGATAACAATTTTGAATTTGTGTTTTTAAGAATTGCTTATTGGTACCTTGCAGAGGAGTTTTACCTTATAGTTCTGCTTTATATGCAGGGAATGGGGGAGCCATTAAACAACTATACTGCTTTGGTTGAAGCTATCCAAGTCTTGATAGGCTCTCCATTCCAGCTTTCACCTAAGAGAATTACTGTATCTACTGTGAGTATAACTGCACAAGTACCTCATTTTGCATGTGGAATAATTGTTCTTGAGATGGCTGTTGGAAGGCTATCTTGTGTTTGCATTTAACCTTTTAAAAGTTCAATTTAACCTTCTGAACAACCTAGTACTTGCTCCTGTGCCATGCTAAACACATTTTGGAAAATACGGAAAAGAGTTTCACCAACTTTGCAAGTATTGCAGTTGGCTTTTGGATATTCTAAGGATATCCTGTTTTAATATTGTACAATGCCTTTCTAAATGAATAATGAATTTCAGATGTTCTATCAGGTTTCTATTATCATACATTTCTTAGGAATCAAAAATATATTTCCACCCACCTATTATTGAGTCCTTTCTAGTATTTACTCCTCAGATTTACTTTTCAGTATAGCATGGTTCTTATCATTCTGTCTGGTGAAAGCTTTGCTGCTGATTTACTTGATCTTTTACAGTTTTATGCTCGTGTTTTGACATTAGTAAATCGTTGTGATTATGATGCATGTCCCTATATGATCCATTAAGTTGTAAATCCTGCTAATATTTAGTTTAGCAATTGAATTTTCCTTGGGATTGATGCAGCTGAAAGATTGAACTTTTGTTAGGACTGAAACAGCAGTAATTGTGACTTTGAATCTTAATATTGTGTACTGCAGGTTGGGATTATCCATTCCATCAATAAGTTCAATAATGATCTTCCCAATATAAATCTAGCTGTGTCCTTGCACGCTCCTGACCAAGACATACGCTGTCATATAATGCCTGCTGCCCGGGCCTTTCCTTTAGTAAAGCTAATGAATGCACTGCAATCATATCAAAATGAGAGGTAAGAATAAGATTACTAAATATCACCATCAGTGCCAAATATAAGAACCGATAGCTTTGAGTTTCAATAAACACCTGAATGTTCGATCACAGCAAGCAGACCATCTTTATTGAGTACATCATGCTTGATGGAGTTAACGATCAGGAGCAGCATGCCCACCAGCTTGGTAAATTACTTGAAATGTTTAAAGCGGTAAGAAACTTTCTGTTCTTTCTGCTTCATTTCATCCTGATTATCTTATTAATGATTCTTTTAAATGGTTGGAAAACCTTCCTGATCATCTTTGCGGTATACTTACCCTGGATGTTCAATTGTTTGATATTCTAATTTCTGCCCACTTGTATTATGATTTATGACCCATGGTCTTTCTGTTGGGTCACGGTGTATTTGTTTGGAGAATTTCCTTTTAGTGGTTTGACTTTTCATATATTAACATCTTCAGTTGGTTTGCCTGTTATTGTCTTCATAATATGTGTTATATCCTCATATTGGAACCTTTGAATCAATTCTCTCTTGATTGCTTCCTCTCTTGATCACTAACAGGTTGTTAATCTGATACCATTCAATCCCATTGGCTCATCAAACAATTTCAAGACTAGCAGCGAACATAATGTGAAGAAGTTCCAGAAGATCCTAAGAGGAATTTACAACATCAGAACCACTATTCGCCAGCAAATGGGTCAAGACATAGCTGGCGCCTGTGGCCAGCTAGTGGTTAGCCTCCCCGATGAAAGATCAGCGGGTGGTGCCACCCTTCTCTCAGACATTGAAGACATCAGGATCTGACCTCATCAAAGATGAAATCCTCACAAGATACCTGTAACTAGCATTATAGTTTCAATGCAGGTTTAAAATATGGAAAGTTGATTTTGGCCGGTGTGGTGTGTTTCCCTTCATATTTGGGAGGCACAATTTTGTTTGCTACACATTGGCAAAAGGCCCCAGCTTTTGTGTATAGGCAACTATCTACGCGAAAGTCTGCGCAACAAACCCTGTTATTGTAGATGGGGTAATGTTATCTCAGCAACCCATCCTTGCAATGAACTGTGAAAAATCGCTTTGCCTTGCATATCTGACTGTAACTGGACGCGCCAGAATTTTCTTTGCTGCTTGAGTTTGGTTACTTCGGTTAACTGCGCCGCTTTGTCGGTGGGTATTGCGACCTGGTGTTGCTGGAAGTGTGATGGCACATGCGCACAGCGTGTCTGTTGCGTGGAGCTGGCAAGTAGGTGGGGATCATGTTGGGTGAGGGCGTGAAGAAGCTCTCAGGCATAAATTTTTGTTACTGTTTAACCTTATAAATTTTTAATTTTAAGAACAATCCATTATAAACTTATTTCTAAATACGAACCTTCTAACAACTGCGGTGTTATTTTGCCACACTAAATTAACTGGTGTGGCAAAAAGTTCTTATTTGAAATTATCCTTCTATCGACTGCGGTGTTATTTTGCCACACTAAATTAATTGGCGTGGCAAAAAGTTCGTATTTGAAATTACTCCCTCCATCTACTTTTGATAGTCATATTTCATCTTGGCACACAGACCAATGATAAGTAATTCTACTTATCATCCATTTAAACATGCTACTAGTCATTCCTCGTAAACAAACGATTTATTAATATTTACATTTCTCAATGCCCATGTAGCCAATCATGTGTGTAAGAATGGATAGTCATGCATTAAATCCAAGAAAGTTATTAAGAGGATAGGTTGTTGGATTGAAATATGCCTATCAAAAATAAAATTTTCAGATTTGGAAATATGACTATCAAAAGTAAATGGAGTGAGTATGTTTTTGGAAGGGTTTATTTTAAAATTAAAAGGTGAAAGGGTTTAAAAGAAATAAAAAAAAGACATTCTCAGGCACATGAGCTGTGCCGCTTCCTGCGTCTTTGCGATTCGTACGTGCTCTGCCAGATGTTCGGCATTGCAACTGTTGCTCGTCTCTTGGAAACAAATCTGGAACGTCGAATTCGTCGCCCGGGAAATACCGGCGGCGGCGGCATGTGCCGTGACTGCAGTGTTGGGGTTACTCCAGGTTGCAACTGCCCGTGCTAGTATTTCTCGTGGCGCCCCACCATTCCCTTCTACTAGTGGCGGAACCTCTCTGACCTCTCCTTTCTCTCTCCCTCCTCTTCGGCGGCCGCCTCCCCCCTCCCCCCCTTCCCCAAGCCGCCGCCGCCGCCATGGCCATGAAGGGACCCGGCCTCTTCTCCGACATTGGCAAGAGGGCCAAGGGTAACCCGCATCTTACCCCTCCTCCCATCTCATCCTCTCTCTCGCTCGCTCGCTCGCTTTCCGTTCCCTAATTCGTTTGTTTTCGTTTCTCGTTGTTGTTGGGGTTTGGTGATCTGCAGATCTGCTCACCAAGGACTACACCTATGACCAGAAGCTGACCGTCTCCACCGTCAGCTCCTCCGGAGTGGTAAGGGTTCCCCATCCGATCCGATCGCGCTCGTGTGATCTGGCGCTGAGTTCCGTGTTGCGCTTGTTCGTGGTTGACCCGCGAGCTTTGCCATCTAGTCGTGGTTGTGGTTGTGCGTAGTCTTGATTTGTTGACGGGTAGGATGCGTGCTGTAGTCATGGGCTCATGGCCTGTTTAATTGCTGCTATTTAGGTTTCGGGTTTGTCAGGTCTTTCCGTGGCTGCAATTCCTCGGCGTGTTTGCTGTTTTTTCATGTGAATGGATGTAGTGCTAATGCCCGTTAGCTGCGTGATAGCCTGATAGGAAATGGGAAATCGTTCATTTTGTAGAGCAATTCAGTGACTTGTATATTTGAGGGAATTAATTGGGGGAGCTAGATCGTATAAAGTTCAATTCTGCTACAGGAGGTAGTGTAGTCAGCACCGGTGTTCGAGGCGCTGCTGCTCCCCTCCTGACTCAATGAAGATTCTGCATGTGTCTGAAGCAATAGAGATATCATTGGGGGTTTGTCTATGATGAACAGTTACGAAGTATAAATGCTTGATCTGTAATATGACATCTTGGTGGCAGTGTCGTTAGAACTTTTAGTATTTCTGTAGGAGTGTGTAGGCTGTGATTGGAGTAATAGGAGAAACATAAGTTGTAGCTACGATTTGGAGAAACTAGAGAGTTGAAGTTATGGTTAGCCACCTGTATCATTGCCAACCAGTACTCTTGGAAACATTGAATGTGTAAAATGTTATCATGATTTGTTTCCGCCACAGCAATTTTTGTTTGGTTATTCCTCATTTCCACTTACCATTGTTGCCAAACTCATCTGTATCAGTGGACCAGTACAAACACTCTTCTGGTATGATATAGACATATAGTAAAACATAAGAAGTGTTTCTACTTGCTAGTTGATATATTCTGATATTCAAGGTTGAATATAACAGTTCTGCACAATGCGTTTGCTTTTCTTCTTTTATTTTAGAACTTCATTTCTTATATTGCCGTTTTGAAGGATTCTGGTTGTAGTTGCAGGCTTCTTCTAGGATGGGTTATAAATTGCAATCACTAGATGCTTTCATTGGATGTATCAATGTAACAAATAACAAATTATGTAACTGCAGTTGTCCTTCTAGTGTTCATTTGCGCTAGCATTTCTTTTCAAGCATATGGCTGCTATGAGGATCTGGATTTATTATTTTAGGTCATGTTGTGCTTACCATGTTATACTACCAAGATCCTTCCGCTCTCATGAGATGTGATATTACTGAGTTTCCATTCTTTAAGCCTATCCTTCCACTCTCATGAGATGTGATATTACTGAGTTTCCATTCTTTAAGCCTATCTAAATAAATTCCTCCCCCAAAAAATAAGGTAGCTATATATTCATTCTGTTTATGCAACAGTTGACTAGCTGGATTGTGCTATCACACATGCATATTCTGTTCAGTATGAAATGCTTGTTGAATTGAAAAAGGTTTACTTCTCCAGTTCTTCCTTTTATTTTCAAGTAATTAAGGCTGTTAAGAATATATCAATGCAAATTGGTGGTGATAGGGTAAATATTGTAAAAACCTGCCAACCATAGTCCCTTCTCTCCTGATAGAAACTATACATCCTATAATTTTATCTGGGTGCATTGAAATAGACACTGTTAACTGGAAAAAATGAATTTCATATTTGATTTTGGAATATAGATGAGTTACATTCCATACATACATGCATGTATGATGCTATTACTTGTTGTGGGCTTGAAGCTACGACAAGCATTGCATTTAACTCCTTTGCATATGGTGCTGTGTAAATTACTTCTCATATAATTTTTTGCCCCCATGTGCCCATCCACCATTTTCATACAATGAATGGTCAACATACACAATGACCATTGTTGCAAAATTTTGTCACATGTATAATGATCTTACTTGCTATGATAATACTGCCCTATCTTTTCAGTAATATTAACTTATTATGTATGCTTGTTTGCCCTTTATAAACTTGCATGCTGTGGTTCTCATGTATTTTGTCCTTTATTTGTCAGGGCCTCACTTCCACAGCTGTGAAGAAAGGGGGGCTTTATACTCTTGATGTCAGCTCAGTTTACAAGTACAAGAGTACTCTCGTCGATGTCAAAGTGGACACAGAATCTAATGTTCGTGATATGGAATACTCAGATTTATATTTTTTCCTCTCCATAACATCTGTCTAGCTGTAACACAAATATATGATTTCTGCAGATCTCTACTACTTTGACTGTGTTTGATGTCCTTCCATCCACAAAGCTTGTGACAAGTGTCAAGCTGCCTGACTACAATTCTGGAAAGGTAATTTTATCGTGTCAAGTTATGTTTTTAAATTGAAAACGATCCATAGCTGAGTTTTCAATGACAGGTGGAGATGCAATACTTCCATGAGAATGCAAGTTTTGCCACTGCTGTTGGCATGAAGCCATCTCCTGTGGTTGAATTTTCTGGAACAGCTGGTGCTCAAGGACTTGCCTTTGGTGCAGAAGCTGGGTTTGACACTGCTACAGGAAAATTTACCAAGTACAGTGCTGCGATAGGTGTAACCAAGCCAGATTATCATGCTGCAATCGTTCTGTAAGTACATGCTTCATTGTAACTTGTCATGACCTGGGTTGTAATGTTAGTACTGATACATTACACAAACATGTGCAGGGCGGACAAAGGTGACACCGTTAAAGTGTCAGGTGTATATCACCTTGATGATAAGCAGAAATCCTCTGTTGTTGCTGAATTAACCCGCAGGCTCTCAACAAATGAGAACACTCTCACTGTTGGTGGCCTGTACAAGGTTGACCCCGAGACAGCTGTGAAGGCAAGGCTCAACAACACTGGAAAGCTTGCTGCTCTTCTCCAGCATGAGGTTAAACCCAAGTCGGTTTTGACAATCTCTGGTGAATTCGACACCAAGGCCTTGGACAGACCCCCCAAGTTTGGTCTAGCGCTTGCACTCAGGCCCTGATAACATCGTCTGTGGTTGATGGCTGTTAAATTTCGAATTCTTTGGTTGTTTTGCAAAGCAATGGCCAATAATTTGTTCCGCAGACCTGTTACTTCAATCTTTTAAAGTTTTGCTGCTCTGTGGGCAGGAGCCAATGGGTGTTTTACATGATTTTATCCGCTACTTCTGTTGATGAAAGCATCTAGTCATTGTTAGATGTATGCTGTTTTCCTCTCTTTCTTAGCTTAAAGCTCACTTTCTATGTACTACTGAGGTGCCATGCCACCAGTAGTCTATATTGATATTCCTTGCACAAGGTACGTGAGTTTTTTCTTGCCGTGTTCATTGATTTGATAAATCTGGGATTTACCTGTTTGAAGCTCATTTCTTCTGCTCACGTATCCTGAAAAGTCTCTTTCTAAAATATCGTCGGTTTTCTTCCTTACTAAAAGTCATTTTCCCAGCAGAGGAGGGGTCCCAATCAAATAAAATTCAATATGGAAAATCAGGGGACTACTAAATAAATAATTATTGTTTTGATATGACAAATAAATAATTAGGTGATAAGGATTGGTTGATTGAGTGCTTCGTTTATTTATTGCGAAAGCCAATTGTGACGCTAATTTGCCAGAAAAAACAACCCGCAAACTTACTGTTGTTGTGTCGAAATGGTTGGACAATGGACATGTATTCTTTCAAAGTGCAGCCAACATGATCATTACGGTGCAAGTTTGAGATTTACACCTTTCGAAATGGAGTAAATTTTTCTGTACAAATTTAAACCCATCTTTTAAGCTTTTGCCCTCCTGAGGCTCCGATCGTTCGAGTCTCGATTGCTAAGTCATAAAAGAAAAGAATGAAGCAACCGAATTTAATTTCTAAATTCCTTTCAAAAAGAATATTTGTAGATAGTCTTTATACTTGTGCTATTAACTATTTAAAAACAAAAAAAGCATTCTACGATAAAAGAAAACCTAAAGACAATTCTAAAATTAAGTTTTAAAATTGAAATTATATTTGTGGCTAATAAGCTAACAAAGTCTCTCGACTGCGATGGATGTCACTGATCATCGATTCCGATCATGATAATAATATACTCTCTTCGTTTTAAAAATATGGTTATTTTTTGTTTGTGAATTTAGATTAAAATAGCTATATATATTTAAGAGAGACTACATAACAGTATAATGTTCAAACAAAATAGCTAATGTGTAAATAGCTAATGTGTGTTTGTGTCAGCGTAACATTAGTATGATATTGTAAGTACTGAATCTAATATCTAAGGTATCAAAACATGATACTTCGTAGATATCAGATATCTAGTAACCATATTAACATCAAAATGGTATGATAGATATCGGATCTGATATTTCCTATTGAAACCGTATATCGTTACGTAGTATTTCTGCACTATATATGTTTTGAGATAGATCATTCTCCTCCCAGCCCTGCGACCTATACCACCTTAACATCGAGCTCGCTGATGTGGCACTAAAAATTGCCACAGCGTGTCAAATGCATAAATGGCCGGCCACCCCTAGCCTCGCCCCTCGCAGACTCACAGTGGCAACTGGCAAGGCAGACCGACACGGCAGCTCATCGAATTCATCCCCACGCGGGTGACGTCGCCCTCCCTCTCCAATCAACAACAATCCTTCCCTCCCTCCCACCTCCGCTCTCCCGCAACGCAGCGCCTCTGCGGCTCTGCCTCCGCACTCCGCAGCCGCCACCGACGGGATCCCGCCGCCGCCTCCTCCTCCCCCCCTGCAATGCCCCGCTCGTGACCCATGCCCTCGCACGCGATCCCCTCCCCGCTTCTGCGAGCGCGGCCCCCGGCACCCTCGGCGGCGGCGGCCGCGGCGACCGGGAGGAGGGCCCCGTCGCGTGTGGTGGCGGCATTGGGCGGAGGCGGCCCGGCCGGGAGAGGGATGGAGCAGCAGCAGCAGCTCGCCGGGGACGGCTCCCGCAGCCCAGGTTCGTCGTCGTCGTCGGTCTACTCCTCTCCTACTTCCAGCTCGGTGGTTAGTTGGCCGTGGGTCGGCGTCTCGATGGGTCCAGAATCTCTCGAGGGGAATGGCGTGGTAGATAATGCATTGGTTTGTTCCCGCTGCTTGGATGCTGCTTCTGTTGGTGACCTCCACATATTTAGTGATCACGACTTTTTGGTGAGAACAAATACGTGCTGTAACAGAATTCAACAAATGGGACACTTGACCGTGATGTGTTTGGGCATATGGTTTTTATGCCTGATGCTCTTTCTTTTTGTCCTTTTTGCTGTGTATGGGGCCTTTGGGTGGTGAATTGCTGGTTGAAGTTTGATGGAATACTCTATTTTGGCACAATGTTGAATGGTTTTGCTTCTTTTTTTTTTGTGACGAATCTGAGAGAATATTGGATGTTTTTGCTACATGGTGGAGAAGTTAGAGCTTTTCTTTTTTTTTTTTTTTACCATCATAGGTAGAATCTTCTACTATATTGGGACTTTGGGAGTAGTTTATTTACATACTAAGTTGGTGACGGGGCAATGGAATGACGTTGGTGATGTTTTCAAATATACTTTGAACGTGAGTACACAATTTGCGAACCCTCTTAAGAAGTTATGATAAAGAGAACACATACTTGTCTGGTTGATGGATGATATGATTAGCAACAAGAAGAGAATGTTATGAGAAAATCATAGTAGTACTTTTCAGTGTTCTTTCGGGAGCATTGAGAACTCTGGAATTCATGTGCATTTAATCAGAGTAGATATTACCTTTTTGTATTATACAAGTAATAATGTGAAGGAAAAGGTGTCAAAGATAATCTCTCCCTTATATTTTATATAGATTATCCTTTTTCATGTTGTTTGTACTATATGCAAATATGTTTGTTCAACAACAGGAACAGAGTTGCGCTAAGCCACTAACCATGTCTTGGTTCCCATTGCAGTTAAAGAGAAGCCTCTAGTGTCAACCATTGGGAAATCAACCAATATACTGTGGCACAATTGCCCAATTGGACAATCTGAGAGGCAGAACTTGTTGGGGCAAAAAGGATGTGTCATTTGGATCACAGGACTCAGCGGCTCAGGTTATTTTCAGTTCAGAACTCCCTTGATTTACAGCCTGGTCCCCTTTTACTTCCCTGATAAAGTTTAATAATAATTGCTTTTCTACGTTGTAAGATATGTTTTTTGGCTACTATTTTTTCAATAACTCCACTTGATTTGTTAGCTCTGTGCTAGAGAAATATGATTTTATCATTTAAATTGGAATGTTTAGTCTTGATCAATGTGTAGTTCGTTTCCTTCCATCAGATAACATAATTGGTCGTGATTAACCACATAAAGGTTGAAATGAACATCGATCATTATAGATCCATATGATGATTAGTAGTTGAGTCAATACTTTTTTCGGGAATACGCAAGGAGCGCATTTTTTCCGTTAAGAGAAATAAAAGTTATTTACATTTGAAAGGAAAAACAACATGGGACTGATACAGGACATTGACAATTAATCCTATATCTATCTCTCGCGCTAGGTTTGGCGACCAAACTCCCTCCTGAATTGCAGCGCAGGGATCGCCGGGTTTGCTTTACGCCAAAGAGAAGCCTCGTCAGCCATCCCTCTCGCCACATCTACCCATGATCTGTGCTGCTGATTGAAGATCCGACCATTCCGTTCCTTCTAGATTGTCCACGCTACCAATGTCACCACCGTATCGAAGCCTCGACGATGTGACTCACTTAACACCATTCTGCTGTCACACATCCATTGGTGAAAGGAAGCTTCATTCACCGGTAGGCAGTTGGGGTGCCCGATTGCTCTCAAAGCCCACCACCATAGCTGCCTTGATTCCGGAAAACCGACTAAGATATGATCAATGCTCTCTTCCTGCTGATCACAGAGAATGCAACAGTCGGGATGTGGCAATCCCCGACTCCGCAGTCGGTCGGCTGTCCAACATCTGTTCAAAGTGACCAGCCAGAGGAAGAAACAATAGCGAGGTGGCGCCAACGAATTCCAGATCGGTGTGGATTCAAAGGCAATTCGTCCAAAGAACAAAGCTCGGTAGGCAGATTTTGAGGTGTACTTGCCTGAGCTTTCCCACTTCCAGGAGAGTGAGTCTGGTTCTGAGGATGAACAAACAACTGACTGAATCAACGACCAAAGCTTGAGGTATTCAAGTATTGCCTGAGTCCTAAGCGCGCCGCTTATGTCTCTGATCCATCTACGGTTAATCAGCGCTTCAGCCACCATCCGGCACTTTTGGATGCGAGCAGAGGCATGCTCGTAGATCGAGGGCGCAATAGCTCGGATGTTTCCTCCTTGTAACCAACTGTCCTCCCAAAAAAAGGATTGTTCACCTGTTACCTAACTGACAGACGGTGGAGGCGGCGACGAAGTTACGCTCTTTCTGTGTGCAGGGGATTGCTAATCCCTGCCAAGGCTTGGCCAGAGAAATCCTTTGCATCCACGTCCAGCGGGAACGTAGTACAATGCCCATGAGCTCCAAGTTCGGCACTCCAAGACCCCCATAATCCTTGGGGGAGCATACTTTGGTCCAGGCTACTTGGCAGCATCCACCATTCGCTTGCGCCTTGCCCGCCCAAAGAAAACCACGCCGTACCTTATCAATACCTTTGATCACCCACTTGGGTGCATCAATTGCGACCAGTAGATAGATTGGTATGGCGCTCAAAACAGCATTGGCCATGGTTACACGACCGATCGGCGGCATCTGATTGGATTTCCATGTGGGCAGCCGTCGGGCAATCTTATCAACAAGAGGCTGCAGGTCCTCTTTCTTCAGCTTGAAGATGGATAAGGGCAGACCCAGATATTTGCACGGGAAGGGCGCAATAGCACAGGGTAGCACCAGTTGTATTAAGGCGATTTGCTCATCCGTGCATTGAATGGGCATAGCTGAGCACTTGGCGAAGTTCGTTCGCAGCCCGGAGGCTTCACCAAAGATGTTCAAGATCTCAGTTGCTGCCGCTATCTCAATCTCAGGTTTGATGAAAACGACCACGTCATCGGCATATAAGGAGATACGATGAGGAATTTCCAACCCATTCAGCAGACCGGTGTCTTCGGCTTGATGAAAGAGCAATGTCAGAAAGTCCATCGCTAAGATGAAGATCATCGGTGAAATCGGGTCACCCTGCCGGACTCCTCGCCTGTGTTGCACCAGCTCTCCCGGGGCACCATTAATTAGAATTCGAGTTGTTGCGGTGCGGAACAGCAATGCGACCCAAGCTCTCCATCTTCCACCGAAGCCCCTGTGCTCCAGCACCTCCAAGATGAAAGGCCAGGAAATCGAGTCAAATGCTTGTGCAATGTCTAATTTGAGGAGAAGAGACGACCGCTTCTTTTGGTGGAGTTTCTTTGCAGACTGACGGACAAGCATAAAATTGTCTTGAATGCATCGTTTCTTGATGAACGCGCTTTGATTTGGTGCGACCAGGGAATCTAGAAGAGGGGCTAGGCGGCGGGAGAGGATTTTTGTAAATCCAGTTGAGTCAATACTCAATATGCTCAAATTTAGTTCAGTAGATGCTCTGTAGGTAGCTGACATCTAGTTGATCATGGATCACACAAAATGTAATTTTCTCCATTTAGACTAGAATTTATCACATATTTGCATGCTTCATTACCACCTTCATCCACGTTGAAAGTATAACTCTGTATGAGCCTGAGGCACATTTCAGTTCATAGTATCATACCAGAACTAAGGATCTCTTGAATCTCCAGTAGCTGTGTAATTATCTGTATACATGGAAGTTATCATGAGGATCTTACCACCTTTTCATATTTCAGGGAAAAGCACTCTTGCATGTGCACTGAATCGGGAGTTGCATTGCAGCGGCCACCTTACTTATGTCCTTGATGGTGACAACCTAAGGCATGGCCTAAATCGAGATCTAAGCTTCAAGGCAGAAGACCGTGCAGAAAATATACGAAGAGTTGGTAAGTTCTCAAAAACAACAGGTCCATTTGTTAGAAATGGTTTCACTACAACTTAAATTCTTATGCAGGAGAAGTGGCAAAGCTATTCGCAGATGCTGGAATCATATGCATTGCTAGTTTGATATCTCCATATAGGAGAGACCGTGATGCGTGCCGTGTGCTGCTTCCAGAGTCTAGATTTATTGAAGTATGCTTCTGTTATGTTTCTTTTATCATCTCGTTACTGTTAAGCATCTAACAGAAACAAGCGTTGTAGGTATTTATGGATTTGCCACTAGAAATTTGTGAAGCTCGTGATCCTAAAGGTCTATACAAGCTTGCACGCTCTGGAAAGATTAAAGGTACAGGATACCTTTTGAGTCATTGTGGGACAATTAACTTTTATATTTAGTTCATTCAGTATACTAAAAGAGCGTACGGATTGAACGCCTAATGGTATTTTTATTTTGAAATTTTCCTTTTTGACAAACAGGCTTCACTGGAATTGATGATCCATATGAATCACCAGTGAATAGTGAGGTGAGCTTGCAGATCATGCCTTGCATTCATACTGGGCCACACCTTACCATTCCATACGGACTACGGTAAACTAAAAGTCTAAGTGTAGGGTATTCACTACTGAAAAAGTGCTTTACTGCCGAGTGCTGACTATCATCATTCCGCTGTTAGCTATAACTATTTACATTGTATGCTCCTGCCATAGAAATAAGACTATGAACATTTATTCATTTATAGTCCTTCCTAATGTTTATATGTGTACATATCTATCACTATTAGATCCAGCAACCTCATTCACGGAAGAATTGGCAATATTTAACCAAAAAGTAGTGTTATCATTTATTGATGCACATATTGTAGCTTGCTTTAATTGATGGCATGAGGAAAAAATATATTTAGTTTTGATCTCAGACTTGTGATGGGATACACAATTCCGATTTCTCTGCTTTGGCTGGTTTGATTAAAGCTGGATAAAACAACTAAACAAGTGTCGGAGTTTCTTATTAATTTATTTTTTGAATCTGACATACATGTTGCCAAACATAAATGAATCTGAATTCTGATTTGATCATTTACTTTAGACAAAAAGAACTAGGGTCATCATTTATCTATTACATTGAATGACATTACCCACATGTAAAATGCAAAGTTATCTGCTTGTTGAACATAGCTGAATAGATTTTTTTCTGGCCTTCCACAGATAGTAATTAAGATGGTAGATGGGGAATGTCCTTCACCCAAAGCAATGGCCCAGCATGTTCTGTGCTACCTTGAAGAGAACGGATATTTGCAAGCTTAGCATATATTTGTGAAGATTGATTTGATTCCTGAGTGTCCTCCACTCGTGGACACTAGTGTGATCCATTTGATCCAGAATAAGATGCATCAATTTGCAATCAATACATGTGGCCTATCATCATGGGTTACTCGCTCTTGTGTAGTTGTGTACTGTTCTAGCATAGCTGTAATTTGTTGACTCCGCATGCACATTCCGGTTAAAAATGTGTGAGATGTATTTATTCTTAGTAATGTATAATTTGATACTGGATCCCAATTATTTGGAATAAATTGTGCAGTTTAAGCTCTCACTGTTTAAACTTCCAAGGAAAAAATTGTGGCACAGTTTCCTTCAAGTTATCGTTTCAAAGACCTTCCAGATGCTGATCGTATGGGAACAGAGTAAATGGAAGTCTTTTTTTACACCAATATGGTAGTCAGTGTCTCAGTGACTGTCATATTCATAAGATATTTCGAGCATTTGGCTATCTTCTTTTGATCTTGCTGCTGCTATTTTTCAAGTGTACAAACTCTCTGTGTGATGAATTATCATGAACTCTAGTTGCAATCATGAGCATCAAAGCAGAAAGAGCACTCACAGTCTGAGACAACGAGCCGCAAAGCAATCAGGAAATGAACGTCTCACATCAGGTGCCAATGTAGCCGACCAGCATCTGATTATGGTTTGACCGGGCTTGGAGAGCTGTTACATTCATTTGGACAGTGTATGATCCCTAGCCAAGTTGCAATGCCTTTCTTTGCTTATCCCAGTGATTAGTGGGCTCCCCATTCAGCCACAGTGACGTCGGATTCTCTCTGAAGTTTGATTGTCTGTAGTCTTGGGCATACATTCTCTGAATTTCTGGGGTTCTAACCACCTTTCCCTATCAGGAAGAAAGGTTCAGCTGATGAAAAAAAATGTTTCAGTGACTAGTGATAAAGGGTTGGGGCAGAAATCACATTACACCAAGTCCAGCCAAATTACCTAACTAACAGAAACAAACAAGCAAACCATTCTAACTCTTTTATTTCCTTTGAATTCTACTACCTCTTATGTTGGTATACACCAATGGCAGTATATATAACGTAAACATATAGCGGCTGTGATTAAACAAGGCAGGAAATATCAAGTCAACTAAGGAGCTAGCTCTGGAGCTGTGTTCTACGCCGTTGATCACTGCCTGCCATACGTCCAAGTCAAAGTAGCAAACCAAAAACGAATTAATAAAAGGACAAAAAGAAAGAGAGAAACAAAGAACGATTCAAACCAATTGACCTAACATTTTTACGTTAAATCCGCACTAACAGTCGAGTAATTAAAGCATGCACGCACGTGACCATGTTCATCCAGCAGAAGAAATTTTTGCCGGATCAATCGCAAATCACGCCAAATGTTAAGTAAAATTTTGAGAGAGCCCACAACGGAATTACAACAATTATTTACTACGAAAATTTTGTATTCAATTCTATAATATAACAAATTTTACAGCGTGTTCATTGCGACGAGCCCATACCATTGCCTGGGGTCACCGGCGGAGGCTCCGTCACTGCATACATGTAGTAAACACCCGTGGACGAGACAATTAATCATGCAATGTCACTGTTTCTAATTAATCCTGTCAAGTTAGCTATTATTCCAAGCTGCCTGGGTCACCGGCGGAGGCTCCGTCACTGTGTACATGTAGTTAACACCCGTGGACGAGACAATTAATCCTACAATGTCACTGTTTCTAATTAATCCTGTCAAGTCAGCTATATTATTCCAAGCTACCCCTCAGTTACATAAAAAACGAATCTAGAATGAACGTGACATACTCTCTCCGTCTTAAAATAAGCGCAACCATAAGTTTCCATGTCCAATTTTAATCACCCGTCTTATTTATTTTTTAAAAAAAATACTAAAAAACATAAATCACACATAAAATACTATTCATGTTTTATAATCTACTAACAATAAAAATACTAATTATAAAAAAATTTCAAATAAGACGGACGATCAAAGTTGGACACAAAAACTCATGGTTTTGCTTATTTTGAGATGAAGGGAGTAATACGAAGATTCGTAGTACTAGAATATTTCATATCCGGTATTAGATTAGTTTTTTATGGGGCGAAGGAAGTACATCCGGCCAGGTTCATCTTTTCGATTTAGCACCAGGTCCGAATTCCCAACCCATGTTGGTATAATTTTTTCACCAAATTTTGATCAGGTTTTGGTCGAATTTGCTGTTTCAAATTTGAATTTTCGAATACTATTTACAGTTTTACTCGGGATCTGCTTTCATCACACATCTAAACTTTGAAATCTTGCGGTTTTCGATCGTTTTTTTTTTCACGGCCTGACGGTCGAACCCAAGCTTGTCGAATTCTTCGACTTACATCTCGAGTCGGTCGGACTCAACTAGACTTCGACTCGAGCACTACTACGCGTAGAAACTTTCTGTAAACTGCTTCCCTCCGTTCAACGCGACAACGCCTGTACCGAACTTAACGGCAGGTCTGGGCTGCAGACGAGGAACGAATCCATGGCCACGAATCCCAGCAGCAGTCTGGTAGCCACAGAAGCCAACCAATAGCTCACCGCCATGTGTAGTCTCCCTTACGTGCGCGGCGTTTGCAACCAATCAACCATTTTCAGCGACTCACGCGTGCATTCGTCCAAGATTTCGCAACGGCACGGGCGCACCCGCTCGCTCGCTCGCTCGCCCGCACGAACACGACACGGAAAAAAGAAAAAAAAACAGAGAGAGAGAGAGAGAGAGAGAGAGAGAGAGAGAGAGAGAGAAACTAATCCGGTCGCGAAAAGCCTCCACGGCACAAACGGCGAGGAAATCCTCTTCTTTTCTTTTTCTTCTTCGCGTGTTTCGTGGAGCAGACCTGCATGTGAAGTGTGAACCGCGCGTACGGGTTGCGAGCTGAGGGATTTGCATATTGGCAAGGAGATGAGATGAGAGGCGTAGGAGTGAAGTGAAGCAGAGGAGATTATTGGGCGATCGATGCGGCGGCGTGCGCTGCTGGATCGGTGGGATGCCGGGGACGGGGAGGGGGACGTCGCTGTTGCGTTGACAAAAGCGCAGGTATCCACGCGCGCGTCATGGCACGATCCGCAGGATGATTTTGGTGATCTCTCTCTCTCTCTCTCTCTTCAGGCGCGGTTTCGTACGGTGATATGGACGTCGGAGATCGAACACCCCACACATTACCCTCGGTCATTAACGTGGCCATTGTACTCTGTTCTGATGTTGCCCCTGTTCGCCCCAACTGAACTAGTGTCAAACACTAGTAGCTATACAAAGGTGAAAATTTCTCAAAATTTCGCACCGTTTCAAAAGAGTGGCACTGAAGCTATCATGTGTGTCCATACGGCCACTGCTCATCATTTATTTAGTATAGCAAAGGCAGTTTGTTCACGGGACGCAAAAAAGGCTTAATCAACCGGATCAACTCGGTGATTGGAGCTAAGCCGAACTAATCTCGGAACGCAAATGGTTGTTTATCAACCAGATCGGCTACTGTGTGGCAACTGGCACCGTGGCACGTAGCCGAGGCCTGGGCCAGCCGTACGTCGTTGCAGCTGCCCCCACGGAACACCAACGTACGCGCGCGAGAGCCAGCAGCCGCGCGTCATCGCGCAACGCCCCTCGTGGCCTCGTCCTCGTCTCGTGGCATCGCGTGCCACACGACGGGAGCTTTGCATGATGAGCGCTTGCGCACATCGGCAACCGGCCCGGCCGTTTGTTAACCACCGGGGCGCCCTCTTTAGCCTCGAGTTGTGGGAGAAGTCCATTTACAGCACACCCCATGCCGTCGGATCTCACCTGTGACAAGGCTCCGTTCGAGATGGAGGGATGGGCTGAGGCTTATCGCTTACACGCAAAACAATATGAGTCATTAGAGCATAACTAATTGAATAGTAATTATTACAAATTTAGAAAACTAACTTTGATGTATGAAGTTTTCACAAAAGACGTTAAAAAGACGTTAAGCTCATGTTTGGTTGGAGGGATGGGATCAATCAGGTTGGAGCGAATATATTCCTCGGGATGTTTAGTTAAGGACACATGAAATGAAATGGCCCATAAAATAAATATTCTCTTTAGATTCGGGTCAGCTTCATACCTCAAAATTAATATACCAATCCAACCCACTTTCTCTCATGGACATATGAGCCACACCCTCTCATTTATCAAAAAATACAACCATTTCATCCCTTATGCCAATCATATATATAGACCATCTTATAAAAAACAAGATAAACATAACCTATCGTACCTTATTTTCAAATCAAACTTAGCAGTTTGGAAAACTTACCGACAATAAACAAGGAAGTAACTCTTTAAAACATCCAATAGCACATTAGGTTTTTTATGTGCTTGTACGTTTACGATGTGTTTTTTTCTTCTTCTTCTGATGTGTTTTTCCTTTTGCAATTGATTTTTCCGATTAAAATTACCCCTCTTTCAAACAAATTAATTAGGGAGTATATTTATTACACCACATTTCTAAGAAATAGTTAAACCATTCTTATATTGTAAAATACTTACATTTATATTATAATTATATTGTAAATGATATTTACATTGTAACTTTTCTAATAAATTATGTATACATAAAGGTTAGGATTAAAAGTACTCCATCTATTTGAAAATACAACTTTAGCATTTAAAATTTATTCTAAAATATTATAACTTTTTTATCTATATTATATTCTCAATCAATCACAATTTTGTCCAATTTAATTTCTCCACCTACATTTTATTTTCAATCAATCACAACCTTTTCCTATTTAACTCCACATATTTCCTTAATACACGTGTCTAACTCAAGTTTTTTACATTTTAAGATGGATGTATTAGTTTATTATATGCTTGGAAGAGCATATACGAGAGATACCAGAAGCATACATATAGAATGGAGAACAATCAAATATGAAGAAAAAAAGTGACCGAAATTGAATGAAAATTGTGCCGTCATATTTTTAGCAAACCGTTTAATTAACACTCCCATGTTCTTCGTCCCTAGTATACCGAACGTTGAACCGAACACTACTAGCTTTGCACCAAGTCGACCGCATGGATGGCCGCGGTCGAGATAAGTGGAGCTAGACAGAGACAGTAGACACACAGCGCGCGTCCGTTGAACTCGGTCGAGCCGTGGATGGTCAAAAAGGCGAGCGAACCGCAGAAGCGAGTCAGAGTGAGTTCGTTAGTGCGCAGCCACTGGCATATGGCTCGCCCGCTCTCGCAGCCGCAGCGAAACTGCCGCGCCCGCCCGCCCGCCGTCGCAACCCCATATGCACGTACGGCACGGCATTGCAGCCGCGCTCGCGTCAGCGATCGATCGATCCCATCGTGGGTGAGGCCATCGAGTCGTTTTCCGTTCCAACATCAACCAACAAGCAACGCGAGACGCGACGCGGGCGGGAGCATGTAGCCACAGGCAAACACCGGTAGTTCTCTCTGCCTCGCCTATAAATGTGGGAGCCCACGCAGACGCCGTGGCATGCACAGACGACGGTGCAGTTGGCGCGCCTGCCTAGCTTAGCTTACAACATCTCTCGCGCGCTCGCTGCACCTCTCTCTCTTTCCCTCTCGCTTGTGCGAAACATCGTGGGTTTTTTTCTTGCCGGAGGAGGGGCAGGGGAGGGAGCCGGGCGGGATTCAGCCATGAGGAGGAGGGCAAGCGCTGTGTTCTTGTTGGCGTGGCTCGTCGCCGGCGTGGTGAAGGGTACGTAGCAGATTCATGGTCATGGAGCTCGATCTCTCCTTCTTTGCATGTTCTTGCAATCTTGTTCTTAGGATAGTTAAGTTAAAGAAGCTCGCGTTTCTTTCATTTCACCAGCTGCTGAGGCGGCTTCTGGCATGGCGCGACCGCTTGCTTACGACTACTCGTCAAGCTCTGAGGTATGCAGCCTCTCTCTCTCGTTCTCTCTCACCATTATCATCGTCAAATCCATGCTTCATGGTACCAATGTGAGCATGGTCGTTCTTTGCGTCGCACTCTCCCACAGCTCATGCGTCATGCAGAACCTCTGTTGGTCACATAGTTATTGGACCCCACTGGAACATGGTACCACCAGCTGCTGTTGACTGCTGCTTGCACACAACCTCGATCTGCTCAGACCAGTGCAACAAATTAATACTATGATTAAGATTGCTTAGTTGCTTCCCTAGTTGGCTGAGCCAGCAGAGATCAGATTGCACTAATTCGATCGACCTGCCTTTTGATCATGCAAGCGTAGTATGTGCAGCTAACACCGGCCGTCGTTAGTTGGGCGAGCCGATTTGTTACTGACAGGTGACACAAGTGTGGGCGCGCTATGCGGGCCATGCATACATATGCCGGAATATTTTTTTCCTTCTTGTTGTTGCAGTTGCCTTTGTGTGATCTTTGCCGGCCTCACCCCACTCACCAGTCACCATCGAGACCTTCTGCATGTTGGGTTTGCGTAGGCAGGGCCTCCCTGACATGTTTAGTGCTAATGTGAACGAAGCTACAATTAGGAGCAAGAATATGACTGAAGTTTAATTAACCATTGATCATCTGGTAGATGGTGGAAACAGACCAAACAAGCATGAGGGAGATGAAATCTTGCATGTTTCAGCTGCAAGATACCTCACTTAACAAAAGAAAAAAAAAATCTGTGAGGAGCACACCAAGAACCGAAAGCCTCTTCAAAAGCCTCCCAAAACCGAGCCAGTTGCCACAGAAAAAAACCAAAAGTTAGTTCCTCGTACACCGAACTTGGAGAACCTCACCACACACGTCCATCTATCGGTCTGGCTCGATCGTTTCAACCCTTCACCATCCAATCCAAACTTCCAAATCGGTCTTCTTTACCACTTCAATTCGAGCCTAACAAAACTCCCGTCTTTGAACTGTACATGCTGCAGTTAGCCTAACTGAGAACCCATCGTGCAACGCACCCGACCCAATCACGCACCTATCTGTGCTTGTTGTGAACACGATCTTTTTTATTGGAAAGAATCGTTATGAGCACCAGGAGCAGCTTGATCATGGAGCCGGTCAAAGCGTGCCGGAGTTTGCAGGGGTAGCTTTTTTCCGGCGAACGGCGAGCAGGAGGGCGTGTGTACCCCATTGTCCGCCACACGCTGTATTGGGCAAATCATGCGCTGATGCTAACTTTTCTCCTGGTACTTGATTAGTTGGTTGGTGAAGATGTTGTCTGTGTTGTCCTCTGTTCTGACTGTCTCATCACCCTGCACAGTGAAACTGCCCGGCCAGGATAGGAAAGTCAAATGCTTCCAAACAAGTAGCTTTGTACTGTTCCCGAGTAATTAGCTTTAACCATTGTCTTTTCTGAACTTTTTTCTTTGGGTAGTCTTATGTTAGCTGCAGGGTTAGACATATAGGTGCCGTCACTTGGGACTTTTGAAGGCAGGTCAAAGAATTTTGTTGTGATAGGTTCAGCTTGTGGTCAGAATTAGTTACCGCACCCAAGTGGAAGACCAAATATGTGTAGGTTTTGGCTTTGGCCTGGGTGATACCGTACCAAACAAAATCTGGCATGTCCATACCGTTCTCATGCTAGTTTGGTCGACGGTTACTGCTACTAATATCTTGATAGGTACAGTTCTGAAGTCTGAACCGTACATAACCTTTTGGTAGTATTACCTTTTACTGTGATCTTGACAGGATCCTTTGGTAGTTTTGACGGTTATTACCACGCTGTAAAGTGTAAACCACCACTGCTTCTGTAACATTTCTCTGAAGTTTTTACATTTTCTTGTGCAAATGATTTATGAACAGTGTATTTCGTTAATCTTGATTACTGTACAAATTTCCTTTATCACAGTGAACGGGAGTGGATTCTAATCCCTCGAGGGGATATCCCCTCATATACCTTTTTCTTTCAAATTCGATGCAAATAATTGTGAAAAATTCTGAAAAAAAATTAACAATATAGAGTATAATGATACCTACTAGTCCACCAAAATTCATGTTCAAATTCGATCTACACATCGAGAAACAAAAAAGACAAATTTAGATATAAACAGTACGCTACTATTCATACGCTGAATTTGTCTTTTTTATATCTCGACGTGTGAGTTGAGTTTGGACTTAAGATTTTGTAGAGTTGCATATATGCGTTGTATGAATGTTGTCAAATTTTTTCAGAATTTTTCATAACCGTTTAGATGGTTTTTAAGCAAACGAGGGAACATCCCCTCGAGAGATTAGAATAGTTTCCCCACAGTGAACAACTATTACTATTTTGTTACCTTCGGTAAAATTTGTTTAGCTGAACAATGAAGCTATGGACTGCAGTGCTTGCCTGAGCCGATGGACGCTCACTACGGTGGCGGCATCATCCGCAACGGCGACTTCAGCGCCGGACTCCAGGGCTGGTCGGCCTTCGGGTACGGCAGCCTCGCCGTGGGCTCGTCGCCGGCGGGGAACAGGTACGCCGTGGCAACGAACCGGACGCGGCCGTACCAGAGCGTCAGCCAGAAGGTGCTCCTCCAGGACGACACGCACTACACCCTCTCAGGTCCGTCCGGCGACAAGAACCACCGCCGTCTTGTTCTTCCTTCGCCGTGTTGTTTCCGGTAGCTCATGGAAGCTTTGTGCTCGGTCTCGTGTGCAGCTTGGTTGCAGGTTAGTGACGGGATCGCCGACGTGAGAGCCGTTGTGAAGACGGCCGGCGGCGACTTCATCCACTCCGGCGGCGTCGAGGCGAGGTCCGGGTGCTGGTCCATTCTCAAGGGCGGGCTCACCGCCGCCGCCGCCGGGCAGGCTGAACTCTACTTCGAGGTAAACGAATCGATCGATCTCATCGCCATAGCAATCAAGAATTCAAGATTACTCTGTTTCTGACGAGACGGGGATGCAATGGTGTGATGCCATGGCAGAGCAACGCGACGGTGGACATATGGGTGGACAACGTGTCGCTGCAGCCGTTCTCGAGGGAGGAGTGGAGCGCGCACCACGGGGCGGCCATCAAGAAGGCGAGGAAGAAGACGGTGCGGCTCCAGGCGAGGGACGCCGCAGGCAACCCGGTCGCCGGCGCGCGGATGCACATCGAGCACGTCCGCAACGGCTTCCCTCTGGGGTCGGCGATGAGCAAGGAGATCCTGACCAACCCGGGGTACCAGCGGTGGTTCACGTCGCGGTTCACGGTGACCACGTTCGAGAACGAGATGAAGTGGTACAGCACGGAGGCGATCCCGGGGCGGGAGGACTACTCGGTGCCCGACGCGATGCTCCGGTTCGCCAAGAGCCACGGCATCGCGGTGCGCGGGCACAACATCTTCTGGGACGACCCGAGCACGCAGATGGGGTGGGTGAAGGCGCTCTCCGGCGAGCAGCTCCGCCGCGCCACGGAGAAGCGGATCAAGTCGGTGATGTCGCGGTACTCCGGGCAGGTGATCGCGTGGGACGTGGTGAACGAGAACCTCCACTTCGACTTCTTCGAGGGCCGGTTCGGGTGGGAGGCGTCGGCGGCGTTCTACCGCAAGGCGCACCAGATGGACGGCGGCGCGCTCATGTCCATGAACGAGTTCAACACGCTGGAGCAGCCGGGCGACCTGACGGTGCTCCCCGGCAAGTACCTCCGCAAGCTGTGGCAGATCAAGGCGTTCCCGGGGAACGGCAACGCCGCCCGGATGGGCATCGGCCTCGAGGGCCACTTCAGCGCGCAACCCAACATCCCTTACATCCGCGCCGCGCTCGACACCATGGCGCAGGCCAACGCGCCCATCTGGCTCACCGAGATCGACGTCGCGCCGGGGCCCGACCAGGCGCGCCACCTCGAGCAGATCCTCCGGGAGGTGTACGCCCACCCGGCGGTGCACGGCATCATCCTCTGGACGGCGTGGCACCCGCAGGGATGCTACGTCATGTGCCTCACCGACAACAACTTCAAGAACCTCCCCGCCGGCGACGTCGTCGACAAGCTCATCTGGGAGTGGAAGACGCGCTCCCACGTCGGCGTCGCCGACGCCGACGGCTACTACGAGACCGAGCTGTTCCACGGGGACTACAAGGTCACCGTCACCCACCCGGCGGCGAACTCCACCGTGGCGCAGAGCCTCAGCGTCGACAGGGAGTCCGACAACGAGTTCACCATACACGTCTAGCTAGCTATTAGCTCAATTTATTAGCTCAATGTATACGTATCCATGTGCATGATTGTTGTGTGTGATTTCATATGCGCCCATGGATTGATTTATCATTCCTGGAGAGGCGATTGATTGGATGTTCATATTAAAAGGAAGAAGAAATTCCATTTGTTCTTCTTTATATACATACTTCTCTTGATTGAGACTAGTCTACCCTGCATGTTCTTGTTTCCCATCATCGTATAGAAAGACGACGAGAAATGCTAAATGGATTTTAGGCTCATCCTAAAACTTAAGAGAGTCCATTTTTGCCGCACCATCGTTTTCCAATCGGCTTATCAGCCAAAATTTAAATTTCGAAACTAGAGTTAATTTGAGTTTTTATTATCATAGTTTATTTTCTAACATTAGCTTTTAAAGAGCTAAGGATACTTGATATAAGAGTCCTTACCTATAATTTTTTTTTTGTTGCTAAAGCCAACGATTAAACTGTTAAACTCTAGTGGTTTCTATGGAGTATCAAGTACAAAGCAGAACCACTAGTTGGAGTGCAGCTAAAGCTAGGGAAATCAATGGTGATCCTCTAAACTGAATGTATTTTTAAGGCACTAAACATTGTGGATTAATTACCTCCCTACATGTGAAACTGTCTTCCTCCTATTTATAGACTGTTAAATCTCCGATGTTCTCTCATCCCATAGCTATATAAGCAGAAATGTCAACATTATGTCACGGATTAATCGTAGTCAGTGATAGAGAAATATATATGAAGGTTTTCACAGGGAAGTTGGTCTTTTTCTTGGCCATTATCCTCTTCGAAGGTTAGGGGTCTTTCAATTAGATCGCTTCAATTTGCATTTTCCTTTCAATTGCAAACAATGTGATGTGCTACTGTTTAAATTACTGTTTTATTGAAATCCATCAGTTGTCGTAATCACACAGACTTGGCACTTGGCCATGTGACTAGAAACATGTTTCAGACTTCCAGCCGTTTCAGTTTCAGAGAACTTCAGTTAGCATTTAATTTTTTTTGCCGTTGTCAAATCCGTATACGCCTGCGTATATATATATATGATCAAGATCAAGATGCTAATGCCTAATCGCCTCTCTTGTCAACGAATGCAGGATGCTTGGTCAGATCTCAAAGTGTTCCATATGACTACTCAGCAAACATTGAGGCAAGTGACACATACATTCTTCGTCCTCTTTTTGCCGGGTTACATTCTTCGTCCTCACTTATGTACACTATGATATGCAATGAGAAAGGACGAGATCGATTCTTGAAGTGCAAATATTTGCGTGCAGTGCGTGAAGGAGCCGGAGAAGCCTCTGTACGGCGGCGGTATCCTGAAGGAGACCGAGGCTAAGGGGTATGCCAGCGGCAAGAAGCTTCTGTCGGAGAATAGCAAGAGCGCCGCTCCGGTGAAGGGCTCCGCCCTCAAGGTCGACCTCAAGAAGGACCACCACTACGCCTTGTCCGGTAACGGCCGCCGGCTAGCCGACTCCTAGACCGATGATCTCTTTCGCTCTGATCTTGATCGTCGTGCGCATGCATACGCAGTGTGGCTGCAGCTCTCCAAGGGGGAAGGCGACATCAGGGCCGTGCTGGTGACCCCCGACGGCAAGTTCAACACCGCCGGCATGATCGCGGCCAAGTGCGGCTGCTGGACCATGCTCAAGGGCGGCGCCACCTCCTACGACGACGGCAAGGGCGACATCTTCTTCGAGGTCATCAGCCACGCGACGAGAGTAGATCATACTCCCTCCGTTCTAAAATATAAGAGGTTTTTGTTGGATGTGACACATTCTATACTGTAAATCTGATGAGAGAGCTTATTCAGATTTATAGTATTAAGATATATCACATCTGCCGAAAATCAATTATATTTTGGGACGAAGGGAGCAGCTAGCTGTTTAAGTCGGATAGAGGAATGAACGGGAATGAACAGCGTATTTTGTGTGCATGCAGACCAACGTGACGGCGGAGGTGATGGCGGAAGGGATGGCGCTGCAGCCCTTCAGCTTCGACGAATGGAAGGGCCATCGCGCGGAGTCCGTCAAGAAGGTGCATATATATGCACCATGAACTCGATTGCATCATGTCGTTGCTGCTGATGCTGAAGAATTAATCAGAGAGCTGGAGAAGAGTAACATTGACTGATGGTGGAATTAATTGGCAATTGACACAGGAGAGGATGAAGAAGGTGAAGATCACGGTGGTGGGCCCCGACGGCAAGCCGGTGCCGGAAGCGGACGTGAGCCTGGAGCGGGTGGGGAAGGGGTTCCCGCTGGGGAACGCGATGACCAAGGAGATCCTGGACATGCCGGAGTACGAGAAGTGGTTCGCGGCGCGGTTCCGGTACGCGACCCTGGAGAACGAGATGAAGTGGTACAGCACGGAGTTCCACCAGAACGAGGAGGACTACAAGGTTTCGGACAAGATGGTGGAGCTCGCGGAGAAGCACAACATCACGCTGCGCGGCCACAACGTGTTCTGGGACGACCAGGACAAGCAGATGGACTGGGTGGAGAAGCTGGGCGTGCCGGAGCTCAAGGAGGCCATGGCGAAGCGGCTCAAGGACATCGTCACCCGCTACGCCGGCAAGGTGATCCACTGGGACGTCGTCAACGAGAACCTCCACTTCAACTTCTTCGAGGGCAAGCTCGGCAAGGACGCGTCGGCGGAGATCTTCAGGGACGTGGCCAAGCTCGACAGCAAGCCCATCCTCTTCATGAACGAGTTCAACACCATCGAGGAGCCCAACGACGCGGCGCCGCTGCCGACCAAGTACGTGGCCAAGCTCAAGCAGATCCGCGAGTTCCCGGGCAACGCCGACCTCAAGTACGGCATCGGCCTCGAGAGCCACTTCGCCGCGCCGAACATCCCCTACATGCGTGGCTCCATCGACACGCTGGCGCAGGCCAAGGTGCCCATCTGGCTCACCGAGGTGGACGTCAAGCCCTGCAAGAACCAGGTGGAGTACCTGGATGAGGTGATGCGCGAAGGGTTCGCGCACCCGGCCGTCAAGGGCATCGTGCTCTGGGGGGCGTGGCACGCCAAGGGATGCTACGTCATGTGCTTCACAGACAACAGCTTCAAGAACCTCCCCGTCGGCGACGCCATCGACAAGCTCCTCAAGGAGTGGACGGCCGGCCACACCGGCAAGACCGACTCCAAGGGCGTCCTCGAGGTGGAGATCTTCCACGGCGAGTACAATGCCACCGTCAAGCACAAGGAGTTCAAGGAGAACTGCATGACCCTCGACCTCGACTCCAAGGCAGAGGCCAAAATCGAGCTCAGATCCGGTACGTACTAATTAATATGATATGATTTAGTTTGAATTGTAGGAGCGCCCTAGACTTTGCTGCCCACTGGATCAGCAGTCGTTTCCTTGGTCACAATGTTGCTATTTTTTCTAGTTCTAGGCTAATTGCATTGTCACTTCATTTCCTTCCATTTTTTTTAGTGATTCTAGTAACTTTTTTATATATATACGTAGATCCAATGCTTACATTTCATTTGTAACTTGTAAGGACTCTGTGATGAGAGAATTTAATCAGCACGGTACATAGTTCTCATAAAAACTTTCCTTGTCTACCATCCTTTAATAAAGGGAAAAAAAAGGTCGCCTGCTTCCATTTTAGTTTCCCCAAGAAATTGTAGTTTGTTGCTGTTTTGCATATGTAAACACTTTTTAAACATTTTGGGGATAACTGAATGCATGCACTAACAGTACAAGGTAGTGTGTAGCACGGACGGACTATCATTCTATTATCTTGTCACAAAAACACTACCATCAGTGTAAAGAACAGAAAACAGAGGTGTAACAAATACTAATACTACTCATGATTATAAGTTCTGATCGGGGCTATCGGTTACCTCGCAAGTACGATCAAGGCATTCTGTATGCAGATAAGGTGCTCACACCATGGGTGGAACTCAAATATCCAAATCGTCATCTGGGTCTTCATCGGAGTCAGGTTGCTCATCATCAGAATCACGAAAGTAATGAATTTCACCCTTTGGAGCTGCAGATTTAGGAAATTTTACTTCATCCAGGAGAGCGGATGCAGTTAAATTGCTATCTTGTTGAGCCTCTGGGAGAGATCTCCGTCCGTCGTATATATGGATAGGCTCACCCTTTCCTGAGATTAGGGTGTTAAAAGAATTTAGTTGCAGATATATCATCCATGTAGCTCATGCAGTCAGAATGCAGCTGACAAGGAGACCTGAAACATAAGCTAACTTTTGGCAAATAACTTCCGGTAAGGTAAGTACCTTGATGTTCAAAAGGAAGAACAACATTTGCCTTGTCACTGCACTCCTTCTCTGACAGCTCAAGATTGAACTGAACCTGTTAAATCCACATGTTGCAATACAGTCAATGTTGAGAAGACTAGATTAGTTGGCAGTGAAGACAGAAGAGTATTTTAACTTGAGTAAGAAATGTATAGCCCAACCTTAGGCAACAGACTTTGGCTCACTTCTGTACTTACAGAAGGAGCAGAAACAAATCTAACATCATTTCCCTCAACATGTAACTCCTCGTACTGAAAATGTAGGAATAATATTTATCAGTGTACACTCTTCATGACGTGAAATTCAGAATGATTTGAACATTGAAGTCAAAACCTTACAAGGTGCTTGACCCGTCCATTCCGCCGTTTTAGGCGTAAATAAAACTTTGCTTTAGAATAATTTTCCTCCAGGAAAGAAATATTCCCTGGAATTTCTTCCTCATAAACAGAATCAACCACAGCTGGCTCTAATGAAGCAACCATGGTAGAGAGACATTCAAAGGCTCGGGAAAATTTGGGTTCATGGAGATCAGAATGTATTAGCCAAAATATTGATGATATTTGATCTGCAATATGAGAACACAAATTTATACTTCAAGGATCAAGTGAATAACAACACATCATTGTTACGTACAAGCAAAACATCATTAATACAAATGATTGGCATTGAGTTCCAACTTCCAACTGCCATGAATACGCAAATAGAAGGAAAGAAAGTAAATACCATGGCTCCGAAGATTACTGAGGAAGCTTGAAATTGATGACACTGAAGCACGCCTTAACATAGAACTAATCTGAAATATCATACACGATCTTGCTGTTAACATTAACAAAAGCTAAAACAGTATCACGAAAGTGAAAGTAACTTCAGAATTAAAGTAAAGATGATTTTGTTTCAAAGAGTAATCAATGTCAACTTATCATATGGTAAGACACAAATGGTGGAAAGCTTGTGACTTGTGTGTGAAATATTGGTGTTATACAGATGGGGAGAAAAGTGAGATCATGCTTTGGCTTTCAGATACCATCCAAACGTACTGAAATGACAGCTTGCTGAACAATAGCTACAATACAATACAGAAAACACTAAACTTGGTTTCTGGAAAAGTGCAAGCTTAACTTTATTTCCAGATCTAAGCAAGACAGTCCAACAAACAATTTTTTTTGTTGTTGAGATGGAACATTTCTAATCCAGTAGCTCAAGATTCAATAAACTCACCAGCCACAGCAACCAAATTAGAACAGCTTGACAACAATTGATACAGCATTATAAGAGGAACATGTCTAGAAAAACATGAAGCAAGCTTTGGCATAATTGCAACATATGGGGTAAAATTTTATTGATGGGAGATCCAAACTCCAAGTAAACTATAAGATAGAGACGTCTCCGAGAAGGTACTTACTGAGTCAACAGCAATTGAAAAATAGATTTTGCCTTCTCCTGCAAACCCTGGTATTCATAGCAACAGCATAAGCTTTAAGATCACAAAGAGAGACAAGTAGCTAGTCAAAAAGCTTCTACCTCTTCCAAGATCAATAGTGGAGCACATCAATTTATCAAGATCCTTCACATTTCTGAAAATTGTAACATTCTCTTTGTTCGCTGAGCAGAGATCTGCACCACTTTCTTGTTGCTGCTGACTTCTAATCTTCTGATTCCATCCAATTGGGTCTGAATAGCAATCCAATATCCGTACACTGTTGGAACAATGTAAAAAGATTCTAAAACTTACTGAGCACTCAGTATTTATGTAGGTTCTACCATCAATAAGCTATGTTGACAATATGAGTGAATACTGTTGACTCAAGCATTTCCCTATAGGTGGCTGTGAGTGTGAGGTGCCAACTTAGCCTATTTAAATTTTAGATTTGCCAAAGAGGTCGCACTAGCATAATAAATTTCTTCAGATACGCAAAGCTCTGGTTTTGCAGTTAAGATCATAATTGTTAAGTGGCAGTTGTGTTCAAATTGTAAGCTCTGAAATGTTAAGACCATTACCATCGATTCAAAGCATTTGGATCAAGGCCGCGGCGCCGCATGAAGTCGAGATACACCTCCGGGCTCCGATCGAACGCCACGATCACCAGTCCCCTGCGCCACAACAAGTCGCAACGGAGCCAACTCACGTCATCGCCCATACCACCCCGAGCTAAAGCAGCAAACCATCGAAGAAGCCCAACAATAATACCTCGCCTGCGCCTTCCCCGCGGCGGCGTTGGAGGCCACGGCGGCCGCGAGGTGGAGCATGGCGCCGGCGGCGAGCGGGCCGCACTGGATATTACTCGCCACGGCAAGTGCCGGAGCGTGCTCCCCGTCGAGGCGCCCGTCCCGGAGGCACCTCACGGCCGCCTCCGCCATCTGCACAACCTCGCCGCCGCCGCCGGCTTAAACCCTAGCGAGAAGCGAAGGGGGAGTTTATTTTTTAATCTTTGATAGAAAACCCCTCCTAATATCTTGCAAATTTTAGACCATTGAATTGGTTTGAGATTCGTGCAAAATCCACAAAACCCTAAACCACTTTTCCTTTTTCCTCCCTGCCGCCGCACAAAGCGCTCGAGCGCTCCTCCTCTCGAGTCTCGACACCGCGCGCTTCCTGCGCCGCCGACGCCCCACCGTGCCGCCACCCCGGCCTCGCCGGCTGGCCGAAAGGTGTCAACTGTCAACGGTGCCGGCGAGTCCCCCTCCCCCTCCCTCTCCTCTCCTTTTCCTCAAGCCAGTGGCGGCGAGCTGTCCCGCGCAGCTGTCTTCCCTGTCGCCGGTGCCGGAGAAGAAGAGGAGGACGCCGGAGTTGGAAAAGAAACAACTGAGCACGAATCACGAAGCACATTCAGTGATCCAAAATCCCGAAGATTTGGGGATGTAGTATTTTCTATCGACGGAAGGATAGCAATTCCGTTATCTTTTTGCAAAAGAGCCCCTCCACTTTACGCCTCCTCGCGGAACAGCCCCTCCTAGAAGGCAGGAGCGGGGTGGGGCCCACCTGTCTGTGAGACACTGAGGCAGAGACCCTTTCCCCGCGTCGGGCTCGGATGATATACAGTAAAACCGTCTTTTTGTTTAGTGGTTTGACTAGTCCTCTCTCTCCGGGAGAAATTTTGCTCCGGCCGCCTCGGCGTCGCGCTCCGCGGCTCGTAATCTTTCGCGGTGGCCGGCGGCGGGGGAGAGGAGGAGGAGGAGGAGGAGGGAGATGAAGGCGTGCGCGAGGGCAGCGGGGGAGAGGCTCCCCCTGGTCGGTGCTCCCGCCAGGCAACCCCTGGCTCGGAGGTATCCCCTCTTCGTTACTCTGGGTTCTTGTTTGCTCGCTCCCTAGAAATATACTAAGCTTTCGTTTGTTCAAACATCTTTTATTTATTTGTGAAAAAGGCTAGAATTTGCACTTCTCATGCTAGTAATTCTAATTCTAGAATCTTGACATTGTTCCACGGACGTTGAATTACTGGCTACTACTTATTTACTTCGCCCAAACGACTTGTGTTTGTACTCTTGTTTTTCATCCAATTCATTCAAAAGGAGATAGTGTTTGTATATTTAATTGAATTATCTTGTATAATACCTTTTCATGTGGGATAATCCCCGCGAATTGTCTTTTAATACTAATGGTAAGAAGTGAACATCTAGGATGTTTTGATGATTGAATTTGCTATAATCAGAGTACCGACTTCACAATGCTACTTACTGTAAATTGTATCTGCACATAAGATTTTTTATTTTTCTTCAACAAATTTGGGGCTTTCTTGGTTTGCTAAGGACTGTGGTGCAATAGTAATGAGGAACTTTGGGGTTTATACACAAATTCCATCCGTGGTTCTCCCAAATTTTTCATATATATGTTAATGCAATTGAGTGATGCTCTCAATTTGACATGGTTCCTTGAGACTTGATGTATATATTATCTTGTTCAGCACACTTGTTAATTGCTATGTAAAATTTCATACTGTATGGAAATCTCTTTTGGCACATGGGAGAACTGTGTATTTCTTTGGTTAAAATGTTTATTCAGATTACTGCACTGACACACTTGTTTTTCTCAGTTTTGTTAAGGTCAACAGATTATCATCTCAACATGAGACGAAGTCTGTGGTATCCTGCTCGGTAAGGGTGTCAGATGACAAGACACACCGAATAGAAGCCACGGCAGAACACATCCTTCCAGCAACAAATGATCATGTCATGAAAGCAATTGACTCAATTAACAGGGGGCAAGTGATTGCGGTGCCCACCGATACGATTTATGGCTTTGCTTGTGATGCATGGTTAGTTTTACTAAAAGTACATTTTGTGCCAAGAATTTTATTCTTCTCATTTGCTTTGTTGTCCTATTGTTCTCATGTTAACTCCAATTTAACACCTTCTGCAATGATGTGAGTAGATGTCTAACAAGGCCAACCCCTGAAAAGAAACTCTGATCAGTAAATCCAGATTCTAGTTATGAGGAGTTTGTGTGCTCATATCTAAATTAGTCATGTACAAAAAATATTCACAAACAGTTCAGAAACTTTCATTAGTTACTATTGAATCTCACTTTCATTTAGATTTGGAAGCAATGTTTCGTGACTTTGTTCATTTTAAGCTAGGTTTACTTTTTTGGAGATTCTCTGACTGGTTGGCTGCATTCATCCATTGGTTATTTTTAAAATGGGTCTCTCAATCTTCATGACAGCTCTGCAGAAGCAGTTAATCGTATATATGAGATCAAAGGACGCGTACAGACACGGCCTCTTGCAATCTGTGTTGCTGATGTCCCAGACATATCACGGTTTGCTGTTGTGGATCACCTACCTCATGGCCTGCTTGATAGTCTACTTCCTGGGCCTGTCACAGTTGTTTTAAAACGAGGTGTGGACACCAGCCTATGCTTCAAAACTTCTATCTTGCACCTTTCTTAAGCAGCATAATGTGTCTAATAAAACTCTTCATTCATTTACATTTAGGTAACAACAGTATATTGGAGAGATCTCTTAATCCTGGTTTGGAAAGCATTGGAGTTCGTGTGCCAGATTTTGATTTCATTCGAGCCATTTCCCGTGGTGCTGGAAGTGCGCTTGCACTTACAAGCGCCAACTTAAGCGGGCATCCTAGTAGTGTCAACGTCAAAGATTTTGAGGATCTGTGGCCACATTGTTCATATGTCTTTGATGGTGGAATCCTCCCTTCTGGGCGTGCTGGTTCAACAATTGTGGACCTAATAACACCAGGAGTCTACAAGATATTGAGAGATGGAAGGTAAGAGCAATAACAGTGATGCCAATTATTCAAAACTCCGTTTGAATCCCTTGGAAAATCGAGAGATGGGTCTGTTTTTTTACACAATGTACTGATGGGATGTTTTACACATTATTCAAATGCAGTTCAAGGCAGGAAACGACAGCGGTGCTCGGCAAGTTTGGCTTTGTTGAAGCTTGGTGACAACTTGTTGACCTCATAAAATTGGTACCATCAAATACTAGTCCCTTTGTTATCTATCTGGCTTCTTGCTTAGTTAGGTGCTGTACCAGAATATAGGTTGTTGTTTGTGCTTTTCTTTTTCATATTCTGAATCAGAAGGTGTCAGCTTCCTGTTTCAATGTCAATGCCCTTACAGTATCACGTGAACTTCGATTGCTACACTACAGTTCATTCTATGGTAGATTACACTAGCATGCCTATGCAAGCTAAAAGAAATATTGATTGTAATGGATTTTAATATAAAAATCACTAGATTATCTCCAGTATATATTGTGTTTACGTCATGTCTCCCGTAGTTGTGGTGTGTGGATTGAACGCGACATGGCAACTCAGTTTGGAAGTTTGGGTGTGCTGTGCCTTTTGTTTTGTCCGTGTTCTGCTCGTGACTTCGCTTGTTTGCTTCCGGATGACATCATTTTTCTATTTTTTTTATAGGATCATGATTCAATTTGAAATAGTATACTCTTTGTTGGTGATTAAATGTAACAGAAGTCAGAATCATGACCGGAGATGATGTCATCTCGATAGAAAAACAATCATACGCTAATGGCCATGGGAAAAGGATCGGCCGTCCAAGCTACAGCAAACCTGCTGAAATCCTTCAGCGAGAAAGAAAGAATAACTGGAAATGAGTACAAGAGACTCCAAAAGTTTAGCATAATGGCTAATATGGGTACTATTAGGCTATATTTTTCCCTTTTGTGTAGCTCCATTTCAATTCAGCTGCAATTTTTCAGAGTAAAATTGGTACATGAATCATGAATGGCTAATATGGGTACTATTAGGCTATTTAAGCTGCAGAATTTCGACTACACATGCATCTTGATACTATGAAGAGATACAGCTAACGGGCATGAATGACCAGTATGATCATTTCCAAAGCCCTGAATGAAATCATCGGGTAGCTGTCTAGCTGATGAGTGATGAGCTAGAGCTTAGACCTGGATGAAGTAGTGGCTCCCTGATCCCATTTCAACCTTGACGCTCTGCGACACGGAGGTGTTGAGCGACGGGTGGGTGACGGTGACCTTGTACTCGCCGTGCGCGAGCTCGGCCTGGAAGAAGCCCTCGGCGTCCGTCGTGCCGGCGCGCGGCGCCGTGCTCCACTCGGTGATGAGGCGGTCGACGACGTCGCCCTGCGGCAGGTTGTTGAAGTCGTTGTCGGTGAGGCACATGACGTAGCAGCCCTGCGGCCGCCACGCCGCCCACAGGATGACGCCCTGCACCGCCGGGTGCGCGTACGCCTCCCGGAGGATCTCCTCCAGGTAGTACGCCTGCGACGCGCCGCCGCCGACGTCGACCTCGGTGAGCCACACGGGGACGCCGGCCTGCGCGAGGGTGTCCAGGGCGGCGCGCATGTAGGGGATGTTGACCGGCGCGGTGAAGTGGCCCTCGAGGCCGATGGCCATGCCGGCGCCGTTCTGCGGGTACCCGCCGATGATCTGCTTCAGCCGCTGCACGTACCTCGCCGGCAGCGCCGCCATGTCGCCCGGCTGCTCCAGCGTGTTGTACTCGTTCATGAACATGAGCGTCGACCCGGTGTCCAGCATCCGCGCCGCCGCGTAGAACGCCGTGGAAGCGTCCCACCCGAAGCGGCGCTCGAAGAAGGAGAAGTGCAGGTTCTCGTTCACCACGTCCCACGCGATGAGCTTCCCGGCGTACCTCGCCACCACCGACCGGATCCGCCGCGACGCCGCCGCCAGCAGCTGCGGGTAGGGGAGCCCCTGCACCCACCGCGGCTGCTGGTTCGGGTCGTCCCAGAACACGTTGTGCCCGCGCACCGCGATGCCGTGGCTCCTGGCGAACTCCAGCATCGCGTCCGGCACCGAGTAGTCCTCCCTCCCCGGCGCCGGCTCCGTGCTGTACCACTTCATCTCGTTCTCGAACGTGGTCACCGTGAACCGCGACGCGAACCACCGCTGGTACGACGGGTTGCGCAGGATCTCGCCGCTCATGGCGGCGCCGAGGGGGAAGCCGTTGCGGACGTTCTCCAGCGACACGGCGGCGCCCGGCAGCGGGTTCCCGGCGGAGTCCGTCGCCTGGAGCCTCACCGTCTTCCTCCTCGCCGTGCTCGCCGACGCGTCGCGGTGGTTGCTCCACTCCTCCTTGGTGAACGGCTTCAGCGACACGCTGTCCACCCATATGTCCGCCGTCGCGTTGCTCTGCACGCAAGCACGCGTCACGTTCGCATGTACTCCGTAGTATTTGCAAAGAATTAAATCAACTCGGAGTGAAAGTGATTAATTAGTTACCTCGAAGTAGATCTCGGCGCGGCCGCCGGAGACGGTGGTGAGGCCGCCCTTGAGCATGGACCAGCAGCCGGACTTGGCGGCGACGCCGCCGGCGTGGATGAAGTCGCCGGCGGCCTTGACGACCACCCGCACGTCGGCGACACCGTCGCTCACCTGCAACCACGCTGCACCGCACACGCACGTAGTACGCGACGTCTCAGTCCCAAATTGCATGCACATGGAAAACCACAAAGTGAGACGTGACGGCTACACATTAATTTCACACGTTCGATTTCTTGACCACCAGACCTGAGAGGGTGTAGTGCGTGTCGTTCTGGAGGAGGACCTTCTGGCTGACGCTCTGGTACGGCCGCGTCCGGTTCGTCGCCACGGCGTACCTGTTCCCCGCCGGCGACGAGCCCTCGGCGAGGCTGCCGTACCCGAAGGCCGACCAGCCATGGAGGCCAGCGCTGAAGTCGGCGTTCCGGACGACGCCGCCGCCGTACTGGGGCTCCGGCGGCTCAGGCAAGCACTGTACCGAACAAGCCCACACACTCAGACGCCATAATTAATTAATTAACTTTATTAATTTGTCTAAGCATGCATAAAAGTGCATGCTGCTCTAATCTCGGCAACATAGAGATGCTTTGCTTGCTCTGCAGACACATCTGAAGCATACCTAAACGTGATCATCAAACTAATGACAATAAGAAAATAAAATGATGAAGAGCACAAGAATGGACCAAAGAGAAAAGGTGCATATAACTACATATATTGATATATACTTCCTCCATTCCTAAATGTTTGACGCCGTTGATTTTTTTAAACATGTTTGACCGTTCGTCTTATTCAAAAAATTTAAGTAATTATTATTTTTTTCCTATCATTTAATTCATTGTTAAATATAATTTTATGTATACATATAGTTTTACATATTTTTATAAAAGTTTTTAAATAAGACGAATGGTCAAACATGTTTAAAAAAGTCAACAGCGTCAAACATTTAGGGAATGAGAGAGTATATATTATAGTCAAAAAAACCAAATAATGATAAATGATTAATGATGTGTGCATTTTGTTTGGAGCTAGCTTACATGACACGCTGCGCCGGCCGCCGCCGCCGCTATCGTGCATGGTACTGAAAAGCATATAGTGTACGTACGGGCAAATTAAGAAAGAAATTCCATGCTAACTCGCACCGGAAACGCATTGCGTGAGGCCGATAATCGTAATAATTAACATATCGCGCCGCCACTCCCGCCCGTGATATAGCTATTGTCATCCCAATCGAGCTAGCTTTTAATTGTTAATCGCGAGATTAATTGCTCGCTAATCTAAGCAGGAATATAATTAATTTCTGTCGATGCCTTAGGCCGGCCAACGATACATTCGTCGATAACATGTAGCAGATGAAGTACTAGCTAGTGTACAGTGTGTACTACGACTAACAGTTACAGATCATATTAGAGAACGACTTGCCTCAATGCTTGATGAGTAGTCGTAAGAAAAGGATTTCACCATGCAGCAACCTGCAGACAAATTCAGAAGTAGCTTAATTTATATATCTCAGTAACGATTTACAACAGAGTATAGTGATATATAATAATTTAAGTACATGACCGTGACGCTCAGTAAAGTTCCAAAGCATATATGAAAACCTCTACAATTGGTGTGACATGATACTGCACTTGCAAGCTAATTAAACAGGGCAAAGGAATAGTTAAAAGAACTGGTATTATTACCTTGCAAGAGAGTAATCCATGCAAGCAAGAACAACAGTTTCCCCATCGGATCAACCTTCATATCTATCGTCTCTCCCAGGACACTGCAGGGTAAGCATCAACAACACAACTTCTTAAACAATTCTATGCAATTAATAATCCACGTCAATAAGTTGCCGAAAATAACGGCAGAATGCAAAGCAACAAAGGTAGCTAGCTTAGGTCATGTCTTGGTGCATCATGTGAGCATCTTAAACTGATTACATTAGCAGCACATTACCCTGCAGAATCGAACAAAACCAGCACACTCTTGATTAGCTATAGCTTGCTAACTCCTCTCAGTAGTTAACAGAAGCAGCTAGCTAGGTCGAGGAGATGAAGAGACCATATATGCATCTGCTCTTCCTACGTTGGACTGGAATGATCTTAGCGTGGCTGTGCCATTTATATAGGAAACGAAGAGGTGAAGGCCAACTGAGGTGGTAGTAGGATATCCGTTGCATTTGCTTGTTTCTTGTGCTCACCGGCTAACTGCTGGCTTGCTGCATGCCTGCACGGGAGGGAGACGCGAGCGAGATTGCCAAGCAAGCGTGGAAGAGAGGGTCTTGACTTGGCGATCGCCCACACAAGACACTTGCCGTTTCATATCATTTTCTACTAGTACTACTAGTATATTGGTTATTTTGCTACTGCTGCCTACGGAGTGTGACTTGCTGCTGCCAAAGCTAGGCATCCGGCCCTGGTGATGCTTTGGTATTTGGTTTTTGTATATGGCCATGGCCTGCAGCTGCGCTGCACACTTGCTGTGTTATGAGATTTTGGCTTGTTGTTATTAATCCCAGAACTCCGGATTCTGGGCTCTGAACTAGTTTAACGATCACATGAGGGACTGTATCATCTACTGGGAGCCTACAGTGCAGAGTGACGTCTTGTTTGTTTACATGGTAATTTCTTGCAGTTGTAGCTTTTTTAGAAAATCTTTAGCTTCGAATTAGTCTAGATTCCTAGAACCTTTATGGGTATGAATTTTAGAAAATAAACTGAAAGTTAAAAGCTGAGAACTCAGCTTTTTCATATTTGTCTCAGCTACTTCTTAAAATCTCTGAGGTTCTAAAATGGGCTGAGTGTCCTTCACTCTTGACTGAATATAGTATAATAGGGAACTGTGCTTGTGTTGGCAACAGGTTGAGAGTGAGTATATGTGCCATCCATGGCTGTGTGTGTACACAAAAGTCGAAGTTGAGACCCACAAGCTTTCCTTGCCTGTGCACGGGTAAACTTAAACCAACCGCCCAAAATATTTGCAATCGAATGTTCTAGCGATGGATGGATCTCGTCGATCGTCATGTGAATCTCTGGGTCAGGTTCAGCTGGGCGCTCGGTTTTAACTTATACGGCTTGGTTTTCCCTGATGCTTGCCGGAAAGCGTACTCCCAGGCTGATCAGCTCGTGATTCGGCATCGAAATGCTTGCGCGTACAAACGGCCAAAACCTCATGGCGAGTTGGTAGGAGATGGCACCAATGGAGAAATGAAGGGCCCAAGCATGTTGCTATCATGATATCATATTATCGTCTCCATCATGTTGCCGTTCCTTGATGAGCGAAAAAAGGGAGTGTAATTCCCTCTCCCATTTGTTGCCGTTCCAGCATTCTTTACTTGGGTAAACATATATACTTGACGTGATGTTTCATTTCTTAAACGAAGAAAGCCTACTCACAGTAGTCTTCCCTTGCAGTTTTTTTTTTTAAAATGCAAATAGTTTAGTTAAACTATAATCTGGTTCATGCGGATGAGATTCAAGATTGATGTGTATTACAAACAGGTCATACTGCCAAAGGATAATCCACTGTACGTATGCAACAGACATGCACGCAAAGTTTGTAAATTGTTAACACCAATCATACTTGGACAGGTCATTCAAAGAAATTTTTGAGAATGTGACCCATAAATGATAAATGGTTAAAGAAAAACAGTGGCATTGCAACACGATGGATATCTTGTACCAATAACAAAAGTTACACGCAAATTCAGAATTCGCTCCTGGTATGTACAAACATGTTCATGTATAATCTATCCCTTCATCCAATTATTAGTTAAGGGCTAGCAAGGAAGCACCATACCCAAGTGCAAATAAAAATATTCCAAGTTTTGCAATATGCAATGTAAACAGCCCGATCTCATCCCAAAATGGTCACCGAAGTTACCTTTCACCACTCAGACGAATTGAAATACTCGTACACTTGTACTCCCTCTGTCCTATAATATAAGGGATTTTGAGTTTTTACTTGTAACGTTTAACCACTCGTCTTATTCAAAATTTTTTGAAATTATTATTTATTTTATTTGTGACTTACTTTATTATCTACAGTACTTTAAGCACAAGTTTTCGTTTTTTATATTTGCAAAAAAAAATTGAATAAGACGAGTGGTTAAACGTTGCAATCAAAAACTCAAAATCCCTTATATTATGGGACAGAGGGAGTAGTAAGCTTCTAGGACAACCTCCATCAAAACAAAAACAAACATGTAAGAGCAAGTTTAATAGTATAGCCAACTACTAGCTCCAATTTATCTATAGCCAATCTAATAGCTCATTAATACAATAGTTACATACTATACTATTAATATCTGGTCCCACCTGGCATACACACACCGCGTCTTAGAGTCCATGCTATAGCTGGCTACAAATCTGTAGCCCGCTGCTCTCCTCTCTCCTTATTTATCTTCTTAAAATATGTTTGCAGCTGGTTTATAGCCTACTATTGTACCCGCTCTAAGATAACCGGCCATCAAGGCAAGACCAATGATACATATACACGAGGAATCTTCCCTCTGAGTCCCTTGCATGGACCGCGCCTGACCAATAAAGCCGGCGATGGGATGGAGACGGCAGTGTCGTATGCTTAGCTTCTTTCTTCAAATGGAATAGGAAAAAAAAGGGTTAAATGATCTTTCAATGAAACAAACTATTCATCCTCATTTAGGCACGATCACGTTAAAAATAAATGATCCTTTTATTGAATATATGAGCACTTTAGTAGTTGGAACTAGTTCATTCCCCTCCAGACTTCTATAGAGGGGTTCTCAAAGTCAAATTTTGATGCTGATAACAATGAAAATTTCTTTTAAGCAATTTTGTGTACCAAAATTTGTGTGGAGACAAAACAGTAAATAACCAATAGGTCAGACACCTATAGGCTAACTAGTAACATGCACATGCTAACGCTACGATGATATTTATTTATTCTTAGTTTCCACATATTTTTCCTTATTATATAATTAATTAATGATAGCATAAACTGATTAAGAAGAAAATGATGGGCATACTTTTTTTTTGGCTCTACTACTTCATATTTGAAATTTCTTTTCCTTTCAATTTCAGAATAAACAAGATGGCTGTTAACAACTCATCCCGCTGAGATCTGAAACGCTAAAACACAACTAATACATGCACATGTATTATTGATTTCTTATACAAACAGTCGATAAATATTTCACAATATCAATTACAACATACATCACAAAAAAAACACAACAAATCCATATATAGTCGTAGTAGTGCACAGATTTGCAGTTGTTCCATCTTTCTTCTGTTTTTCCTTCTCCAGTTTGATTCTTGCAAGTTACAAAAACTGATAGTCATGTAGATGGAAGTGGCATGGAGTTCAAAGTTATGTGCAGGAATAATAATTCTGCTCATACTCACCATTCGTTTCCTTTCTTTTTAGAATGATGCACCACAAGCACTGTTTACAGAATTTTAGCTGTTCATAGAGAACAGATCTTCAAAGCTTCATCTTCTATTTCCAATCAACAGTAGCCATATCCTCTATTCACTCATGGTAGAGAAATAAGAGACGCAATAGCACCGCCTGGCACAAATGAACACAATTCCAATTATTATTTTGAGTCTATTTGCACAACACCGAACAATTCTTAATTATTATTTGAGAAAAATGAGAGAAATGTATGTAAATTGGCCATCCTTTTCTGTACTTACAGTAAAAATCAATAGCTCAACTAATAATTAATTGGTGGGCATGATGCATGCCATTTACCAATGGCAAAAAAAAAGAAAAAAAGATTTAAGTATGAATAACCCAATTAATCAACTTTGCATCTACAATTTTGTAATTCCATCATAGCACAAAATGAGAAAGACCTATGAAGTCTAACAAGAAAGAAACATAAACCACATCGTTTCCTTTCATTTTAGAATAGCACAAATGAGAGAGAGCTATGAGGTCTAACTTGAACCTTCTATTAAAGTATTCCTTGTTAGAATATGTTGGTCTGAAACTCCATGCACTACATTTAATTGTATGCTGATAGTTTACATCAATCTCATTGTGGCTCAATTAAAAGATGTTTCATCAATAATATGAAAGATGAAAGAACAATATTTGTCGGGCGATAGGATAAGAACATACCTATGAACTGATAAAGCCTTGCGAATATAGATTGCAATACCTTCTCTGAAAAGGTAGCAACATAGCAGCCGTAAAGAAACCAGCAACGTCCTTTGCAGGACACAGAAATTACACGGCCACCAAATTCAATCCATATGGTGGACTTGCATCCTGAACTCCTGATCCTTGTCATACAAAAGGCTTCAGAGCTGTGCATGCTCACAGTCTCAGCATAGTAATGGTGGTGCTATCAATCTGTGGTCTGTAGGAAAGAGTAGACACAAAGCTGTTCAGAACCGGAACTGCAAGCAACTTAACAGTGGTAAAGCTAAATTAATCCGCATAGCCCCATCAATTCAGAGCACATTGTACTGTAGCGTGTCATCAAAATTTGCATTATAACGAAGAGATCGATAGGATAAATACCTGGGGGGGGGTGGAAGAATGGCCTTGAGGGTGGTGATTCATAAATAAGAGAATGGGAACATTGTGGTCGTCAGCAAGGCAACGCAGCCCATCATACAGGGGCAGTGTAGCGGCCTGGGCGGCAGAGTGGATGCCTCTTGGCCTCAGCGGTAGAGCCAATCATTGCAGCGACCTCGGCAGCAGAGTCCAGGATCATCACTCAATATAACCAGCAAACCTCCTCCCGAGCGAGTGCCTCAGCCGTGACCTCCATCACCCTAGGGGCCATTAAGAAGCTTAAATTTGAAACTACTTTCAGAAACATTGGTCTGTAGTTCTAGAATGAATTTGGAATAATGAACCTGGACTTCCTTTAAGTAGACAAAAATGATCACATTACACACCAATGATCACATTAGTCAATGTATGAGATATATGATATATCTTTGGGTAGAGATGTGCAGAAGTTAATAAATAAGAGATACACGGAAGATTGATATATTAATCTAAAAATCCGTATATGTGTGCCTAAATACTGGAAAGTGCTTAATTTCCTTACAGCCTAGGCATTCCATTATAATGCAGAAGAAGCCCATAAATTATTTACCAGTTTATAGGATTTTATTCTGCTAGAAAAAGCATAAAAATTTAGTAGCATGCATTGGTACAAAGTTGAAATACATGCAACCATAAAACAGAGCAGAAGGTCACATCTCATTTGAAATTAAGAACTTGGACTTTACTGTAATAGAATGGGAAGATCAACTTAAAAAAGAAAACAACATATATCTCGTAAGTACTAAGTAAAACAAATGCACGGTCCACATAGAGAGCCAATGTATTGATGCAGGAGAGTTTGCTACCTCATTAGGTCCACATAGAGAGCCAATGTATTGATGCAGGAGAGTTTGCTACCTCATTATCGACAAGCAGTTGCATCCAAACTAAATCCAATGAGTTCCATTCATCAATAAGAAATAAAGGGGAACAAAGGGGACACACTATAAACCAAACAACGATTTTCTTCTAAAAGAAGCAGCAAAATGGGTACCCAGCACTTTGCAGGGACGGGACACAATCAGGGCAACCGGCTTAGGGGGTGTTGCTGTGGCTCTTCCTCAACTCCTTGACGGGAGGCATTGCAGCCGATCTGGTGGAACAAGATGCCAGACAAAATCAGGGGTACAAGTCGAATCGCGTTCACCTGCAGTTGTCGTATAAAGCACGCCATGCAGTCAAAGCAGCAGATTGGATAATGCTAGCCTCCTGCAATATAACAAAACTTGATCCGATTAGCTTGCAGTATCATTTTCAAGTAACATTGGAAACCAAGTCCTGAGCCATCTACTTAAGAAGATAGAAATTGTTCTCTCCATCAATAAACAATAAACAAGAATTAAAACCTTTTAGAACTTCCATTAAAAAGCTTTCAAAGGATGGTTTTTCGTTAAAATGCATACAAAGGTGTTTATATCATCATCCATTAGCCACAATGTCTGTTAAATACAAAGTATGATGCACTTATGTACATTCCTGAAATGGAATAAATATTGCATACATCCAGGGGAATGGACCAAAGTCTGTCCAGTTCATACTATGCCAAGATCAATGGTGAAAAAATTGACGTGATCCTGAAATGATATTTTGAAAGATGAATATTACGAAGAGAAGAGTTATCTGATGAATTCATACCAAGAGACTGAGCCTCATATGGCTGTTGGATGCAAAGCACCAAACACTTCTTGCCCAATAGTAAATAGCCAATCCATATCTGAGGACAGACATTTTTTATGAGATAAATCAAATTTCACAAAAGAACAATATATTCCATTTCATAATTTAGAAAGCACAAGAATATATACTTATCCGATTGTTCACGTCAACTGCAAATTGATGCCATCGCTGTGTAGTTCACCCGTAAGCCAAGATGCCTGACAGAACGGATCTGCCGTTGCATGATCAGAGATTCAGAATTGGTGTTAATCAAATTGGTTGAGCAAGCGGGCAATCGATTTCATTTGCATACCTGTAACGTCATCGCATCTCTGAAATAGGGCACAACACAACTCAATCAGAAAATCAAAATGCATAGTACAAATTAGTGCAGAGCAATTGACAGCAAATTTAGAATTCAGACCACAACTCAATCAGAATAATCAGAATCCAGAAGTATCACTAATTAGCAGCAAATTCAGAATTCAGACCACAACTCAGTCAGAAAATCAAAATGCACACACTTTTGTGCAGAGGAATTGACAGCGAATTCAGAATTCAGACCACGACTCAACCAGAAAAATCAGAATTCAGACATATCAGTGCAAAGCAATTAATAAGCAGCAAATTCAGAATTATGCAACAATTGATTGGATTTGGATAAGATTGGCTGTTCATTGGTATTACCAGGATTTTCAGTGATTTTAAACGTGGGAAACTCTTCAGGATCTGCTCTATCTGGCGGGGCAACATGTGGACCATCGCTGTGTAGTTCACCCGTAAGCCAAGATGCCTGACAGAACGGATCTGTGGAGGCTGCTCCACCATCCCAGCCTGCGCTTGCATGATCAGAGATTCAGAATTGGTGTTAATCAAATTGGTTGAGCAAGCGGGCAGGTTGATCGATCGATCGATGGAGACGGCCCGTGCGCACACGAGCACCTCCCCTAGCCCATGCGTGCACGATTCCCGCCGATCCGGCATCGGCAGCGCGAGTATGGATCACTGGCGGAGGTGCTTGAGGCGGCAGCGGCGTCACGTTGTCGGAGGAGAGCGGCGAGGCGTGGTGATGGCATTCCGGTGGCAGAGAGGGCGCGGGCGGATTCCCGCCGATCCAGCGTCAGCATTTTGAATGAAATCGGTGAGGGGCAGGGAATCCGATCCGGCGATGGAGTGGGAGGGAGGGGGAGCGATGGAGGTTCGGCGATGCGAGGCGATGGCGGCAACGTCTGGTGTGCGGCGATGCGATGCGGCGATGGTGGTGTCTGGTGTGCGAGAGAGATTAGGGGAGGGGGAGCGTGCGGGTCCAAGGTGAGGATGAGGGGAAACGTGGGATGATGTGATCCGTTGGATTCGATGATTATGAGTCGTTGGATTTGATGAATGAGTATTGTAGGTGTAAGAATGAGGTGAATTATAGGATGGATACTTACTCTTCTCATATGTTTTCTAAAACATCATAGCTTCTTCATTCCATGTTACAGTGTTCCAAACGTTCTACGACCTGCAATCAACGCTCCAAACGTTCATTCCAATTAATTGTTACAAAAGCCTTCAAAGAGAAAAGAACCTCAAATTTAAGTAGTAGAATAAATGTTTGCAGTACAACAAGGATACTTTAAGGAACAAATTTTGCACTTGGACCAAACTAACATAAAATGGTAAAAGCACTCAGGGGACAAAATTTTTAGGCACCTAAGTGAACAATTATTTGTGTGGAGTTTTCTTCCCTTTAAAAGCATCCAATGAGAGTGTTTTTCCCAAGGTGTTCTGTTCATAAAAGAGGTTGCATTGAAGACTAGAATTTTTGTGCTCAATGTCAATTTAAGTTGCATATGAATTTCTAATAATAGGGTTCAATTTTTACGAAACTTTAATGTCAATAAAAGACATTTAATCCTCATTGAAACCGGCAAATTATGGGAACAGCTTGCCTCGACAGTTGACTCTATTGAAATTAGCAATGAAAAATTTGGGGGGAAGTACCTGAGCTCCAGGGCTCTCCTGTTACATTATGAATGCTTGCACAACACGTCCAGGAGCTCCAGAGGCAGCAACAATTGAACTTCGAGGTTATGTTCAGATGGTTCTGAATTAACAAGTCACTGAGATGTTTCCGTATGAATAAGATCCTAAGATGGTTCTGAATGACTAAGATCTTGATATGGTTCTGAAAGAATAAAGCCCTGAGATGGTTCTGGGTGAACAATATCGGGAAGTGCAGTGTCCTGGCAACTTCTCTAGGATCATCAAGGTGGCTAGTTGAGAGATGAGCCTTAGAAATACCAGGCTTAACACAGTCAGAAGAACAGTAGAGTATAAACCTAAATATAGAAGAAAATTACTAAAAGCGGTGGTGGATCTAGAAATTATCTTCAGCCTGGGCAATGAGGCAAGGCTAACAAAAATTGATGAATAACTAGTACAAATAAATCCATACAAAATGACGCAAGTAAAATTGACAATCCTCAAGCACTTGTTTTGCTATTTTGTTAAGCATGGTAATTAAATAATACTACTGCTACACATGGCTGGGACAATGACTAGCTAAGCATGCATGGTAATTAGGTTACTAGTCATGCATGCGTTGGACGGAGCCCAGGCACCTGCCCAGGTTGCTGGGTCCTGGCTCCGCCACTGACTAAAAGAACATACAATCCAAATATATTTAAGTACAATGACAAATTATGGTCTGGACAACTTTAAAACAATTCATTTACATAACTTTTAACATTTCTCAAGGCATACTTCATATGTGTGTGTATAGACACCCATTGTCGAAACATATTATTCTGAATTCAGGCAAGGCATCACTAGTAGGAAATGAATATAAAAAAAGTTTAAACATATTTCAAATAAACACGATTGAACAGCAAAAACGCACATCATTCTACAACAGTTTTTTTCCTCACAAACAAGAACAAAAAAAAATCACACTGTACCACAAATAAGAATCTGTGGTTCATCACTTCATCAATAGCCAATAGATGCAAGTAACTATCTTTTTTTTTTCAACTGCAAAAGAAACTATAGTCTGTTGGATGTCATTGTATAATGAGTAAACTTATCATTGCCCGAATGTCCAACTACCCAGTACATACTTCATGAAAACTAACAGAAGTCTCAACCATGCTGATGGAATCACACAAGCATATGTGACAGCTATGAAAACTTCAAGCAGAGAAGGTCCAAGAGTAAATGCCTGATTGCACGGAATTATGGTTTACAAGGTTGATTAAGACATATATATTGGTTGAACATGGACCGTATTGTCAAGATGTATTTTACAATATCACAGAAGATACTTTGTTTTACTAAGTATAGTCATCGACAATTTTCAATTCTTATCTGTTGAAGATGGATGGGTGGTTAGGATTTAATAGGTTATGATCAAGAACTCGCACATGATTATATATTTTTCTGTAGAAGCTCAACAATTTTATGTTGGAGGGAATCTAGAAGCTACACTATTTTACCAGGAGCAAAAAAAGATTCAAATCACTGCTGGTATTCTTTATACATTTAACATAGCGTGCAGTGAAAAAACTAAAAATGAATTTACTTTGTACTGAAAGTTACAAATATAAGGTTCTGACTGCAGAAAAAAAATGTTGACATACCGACTTCTTTTTTTTTTGTCCATGATGGTAATCCTGGTAGCCAAGCACTTGAGTTTTCCAGATTTATGACTAAAGCCCTAATGATGTCACATGCCCGCATCCCACGGGAGCAAAAATCTATAGTGTGGACTGTCCAGCTGCATGGGTTTGCCTTTTCTGTCTCTTGATAAGCCCTTCCATCAAAGTTATATATGTTGAACTGTCAACAGGCATCCCCTTTTGCATCATCTCATCCAAAACGGCTTTAGCTTCTTTCAATTGCCCACCGGTACATAGCCCATTTAGGCGTTCCATGTATGTCTCCAGAGCATTGTCTTGTGCTTTTTCACTGGATTCTGCCTCAGGTTTACCCTCATGTTCCTTGACATCTGCTTCATCCGCAGAAGAAGGCTTCAACAGAGGACAAGCAAAGCTTTGAGATAATTTTCCACTATCGGCTAACTTATGTAGCATATTATGTGCTTCTTCTGATCTTCCTGCTTCAGATAGTGCAGATAACACAACATTATAAGTAAATGCATCAGGCTGCAATCCCTTGACCTCCATGTCATCAAAGAAGTGCAAAGCAGTATCAACATCCCCAACTTTGCACATCGATTGAATTAGGGTATTATATGTGATAACATCAACCTTCTTCCCCTTCTCCACCCATGATTCAAAGAGTTTCAATGCTTTATCTAGCTTCCCATGCAGACAAAGGCCATTCATCAAAGTGTTGCAGGTAACAACATCTGGCTTGAAGGAATTCTCAACCATCTTGTTGTGGAATCGAAAGGCATTTTCTAGGTCCCCTTCCTTGCAGTATGCATGAATGATGATATTATATGTGGTTTCATCAGGAACCAACCCCTTCTCCACGAGCTCATTTAATTTGTCAATTGCTTCTTTCAGCCTCTCCATCCTACAAAGCCCCTTGATCAACGTGTTGTACGTTGAAATGCTTGGTATCAACTTCCTCTCAATCATCTGGTCCCACAGACGCAAAGCAGGCTCCGGATTATACTCCTTGAAGTACGCAGCCATTACAGTACCATAGCTGACTTCATCAGGCACGAAACCCCGCTGCGGGGGTGAATGCAAAAGCTCCTCAGCATCTTCATAACGCTTCATCTTGCATAGGTTGTACAGCACGGTGTTAAGTGTGAAGGTGTCCATTTTGAGCCCCTTTCCGACCATCTCATCCATCAATGTGAATGCTTTTGCGACATTACCAGCCTTACAGTATGCATCAATCAACGTATTGTACGTGATTACATCTGGTGCCAACCCCTCCTCTGCTATCTTCTCCAGCTTCCCCAATGCCTCCTCCAATTTACCCTCCTTGCAAAGACTCTTCACAACAATGTTATGTGTGACCAAAGTCGGCTTCACCCCCTTGTCACGCATTTCCTCAAGCAGCCTCAATGCATCTGATGAGCACCGCCACTTGAAGCAGGCGTCAACAAGTGTATTGTAAGTCACTACATCCGGCAACGCGGTGCTGAGCCGTTCCATCTCATCCTTCAGCCGGAATGCCTCGTCCACCTTCCCCGCCTGGCACAGCCCCACGGCGAGCACATTGTACGTCCTCAGGTCAGGCTCGAACCCGTAGGCTGTCATGGACTCCACGACCTTGGTCGCCTGCTTAATCCACCCAAGCCTAGCAAACGCCGACACGAGGGTATTGTACGTTGGCTGCGTGGGCGCGATGCCGTCCCTCTTCATCCTCGCCAGCAGTGCCCGGGCCTCGCCGAGCATGCCCTTCCGGCAGTGCGCATTGAGGAGCGTGTTGTAGGTGACGGCATCGGGGGAGAGGCCGAACCCCTGCATGGTGGAGAGCGTGGCGAGAGCGTCGGCGAGGGTGCCCTTGGAGCAATGCGTGTGGACGAGGAGGTTGAAGGTGTAGTGGTTGGGGTGGAGGCGGAGCTCGATGAGGGAGCGGAAGACATCGAGGGAGGCCTGCGGCAAGGTGGATGGGCTGCGCGAAAGCGCGGAGAGGACGGCGTTGGCAGCCTGGAGGGAAGGGCGAACGCCACGGCGGCGGCGGAGGGAGTGGAGGAGCTGGGCGGCGAGGTGGGGGAGGCGGAGGCGGGCGTAGGCGGAGAGCGCGGCATCGGCGAGGGGACTCGTGGGGAGGTGCGCGAGGAGGTGGCGGTGGAGGTGGCGAAGCGGGTCGAGCGGGACGAAGGAGAGGAGGAGCGGGAGGAGGTGGCGGTAGGGGAGGACGGGGAGGAGCGGGACGAGGGAGGGGAGGCAGGAGGGCGGCGAGAGGTGGCGGCGGTAGGCGAGGAGCAGGTCCGGCGAGGCGAGCCCCGGGTGGGAGGCGGCGAGGGAGAGCACGCGCGGGTGGTGGGAGGCGGCGAGGCGCGGGAGGTAGAGGGCGAGGAGGGCGGGGATAGGCGGCGGCTCCGGCAGGCGGGACGCCGACACGAGCGCTTCCGCCACGTCGGCGACGAGCGCGGAGTCGCAATCAGAGTCTGACGCAACGGCGGTGGCGGTGGCGGCGGCGGCGGACGGCGGGGTGTCCATGGCGAGGAGGCGGCGGCGGTGTGACGGCGCGGCAAGGTGGGGGACGAGGGAAGCGGAGAAATCCTGGGGCAAGGGAGGGCTCCGGTTGGGCCGTAAAGAGGCTACAAGCTGCAGCCCATGGGCTGAATTGGCCAGCCTCGTTGAAGCTACTGCTGGTGACAACTCGCCACTTTCTTCCGGTTCTAAACTTCAGACAAAACTATAGTTGTTTAAGCTTTTTAGATTCATATCCAAATAATGCATACATACGCTACTTTCATCACACAAGATCCTGGAATGTTACAATACAAAATTGTCTACAAAGAAGGCCCATATAGGGATCAGAGCAATGCTGACATCCAGAACTGAATTATCAGCTACGCAAAATCATCCATTAATCTATGATCTATCTACTGTCCCTTGTCATAGACAGAAAGTGAAGAAGGTCACTGCCGAAGTGCCGATGATGGCATCAGAGATTAGCACAGGTACCCCTATTGATATGATGGTGGCATCATCACTTCCGTTGCTCCCAAGCTTTTTCTTCCTGCGCAGGGAAAAGAAAGAGGAGCAATTCAGTGTGTGATTGCATAGTCTGTGTAGAAGAGCCGCTCAAATATCAATTGATTCCCATCCTAATCCCACCAAACTATCAATGGAAGAACATGTTACGCTAGATAAAAAATGAGGGACTCTCATATTGGAATTTATCAAGAAGAGCGAGGATCGAACCCGGGCCGGCTAGCTGGAAGACCCCCGGGCCTTTCTCTGGAAGAACATATTACAGTATGCATTTTATGTTTGGTCTTACCTTCATTTGTCTAGCAATTGAAGGAAGCCATTTCTCTCCCCTAGTCTTCTTCAGTTCCCGCACCCTTTCTTCTTCCCTCTTGGCTGCTGCCTTCGCTGCAGCTTCTCTTGCTTCCAATCTAGCCAATGATCTTTCTGATGATTTCTTTGCGGAAACAAGTATATCATTGCCATCAACAGCAACAGACTTAAGCATATGCCTGAACTGAAATCATGGTCAACGGAACAATAGTATTATAAGTTAAACAAAAAAACTTCAAGCATGGTTATAATTATATTATGATAATGGCTATCCAACCTTCTTGGATTTCTCATCGATATCTGTTCCAGGCAGAATTCTTGGTCTCTTCAGTTGCACATGGTATTTATCTGGAAATATACAGTTAAGTATGTTTTGCTAACACAAGAGATCTTACCCAATAATATTGTTGAAAATAATACTTGTTGTTCGACACTTACCCATGGCATCCATTCTGATGCCAGGTGGAGCCTTTTTAAATAATTTTATCCCTCCATCTGTTTCCATAGGATCGGCCAAGTTCGAACAGGTAGTTTTGACTATTTCAAGGTTTTTCTCTAACATGTTGTCCAACATGTTCCTTACCTGAAACAAACCATTTGGAACTTGAAAGATTACAACGCAGCATGAAATTTCCCAACCATAAAAGGAAACACATAAACATAACTGAACAAAAGGCAAAGAGAAAATTAAAGTAGGAACAGCTCACCATAATGAAATGGTGAAACTGTGGTGGTGTAGTTACAGATTTACAGCTCCAAATCAATAACACTGTCACAGCATCTTACAGTTTCTCTCTAGGCTTTCCAGTTTGGATCAACTCAATTATGCATAAAAAAACCATGCAAGAGAGCTACGAATAACTGCATAGGATATATGAATAAAATCCACTAGCTTAACTCTCAAATGGCCATGCATCGGTTGACTCAACACTCACTACAATAATTAGATGATGCTAACTGATGAGATAAAATTGACAGAGTATCTCAAATGTTTCTGAAAATCTATGGCTCTCTCTTTTGTTTCTATTTTTCTTTTTTCCTAAATTGCTAAAATTTTTTATATTCTTGTCAGTTGTCATATATGCCTTTGAGAGTTATCATTCACAATGGCACTAGATTTGCCTTGTCATCGAGAATCTCGGTAGATGGAGAAGGGTACCAACCATCAGGAGTTATTGCTATTAGAATTATGAAGGGGGTCATAGGTAAATTGATGACTCATGTATGTGCTCTCCATGGTAGTAACATTGCTAGGAAATTCATACGAAGTAGTATGCGTTTTCCCAAAGTATCCGAATCAACCATAGAACAAATAATTGTGTGGAAGCAAAACAGCTTAGAATATCATAGAAGTGAATGCGTTAAGTTAGTAGTAACACATTACGCACCTAACTGCCTATCCCTGGGGGGCATGAACGAACCAATCGATTATAAGTAAGGAACGGGAAGCAGCAGCAAACAAGAATAAATCACGAAATAACCTTGATCTGGTAAAGCTTAAGCCCAGGTGCTTGCGCCTTCCCCTCCTGCGGCGGCTGCTGCTCCACGCCGTGGCTGGCCTCGCCGCCGCCGCCAGAGGTGGCCTTCGCCGCGCCGTTGGACAGCGGCAGGCCGAAACCCACGGCGGCGATGGATTCGATGGCCGCCTTCCAGGCGGCGTCCCCGTCATCATCGCTGCTGCTGCTGCTGTTCGCCCCGCTCGCCGTCGGCCTCCCGCCGCCGCCGCCGCCCATTTGCGCTACCCCGAATCTCGCGTGTGCTATTGCACTCTATCCATGGGCCATAGCCGGCCCATAGGCTTTCCAGATGGGCCGAGCTGAGCCGAAACTAGAATTTTTTTCGGTTTTAGATTTTTTTAAAAAAATATTTACAGAAATAATCTACCGGCCAAAAAAATTACAAAAATAGACCCTGCCGCCCACCTCTGGGGCGGCAAGCTGACGTGGCAAACGGGGGGAGGAACGGGCGGTGACGGAGGGAGGGTTTTTTTGCAGGAAAACCCTTGCCGCCCTCTGGTGGGGCGGCAAGGGGCCCGAATACAAAAAAGCCAGTCGGGGCCGGCTATTTTGCAGGCGGCCCCTTGCCCCCAACTATTGCACTACCTCCCTCCTAGTTCGAATCTAATATCATCTATGTAATCGCAATGCAAATAGTCGTATCATGTTCAAATTGTACTACTATTTCTTCATGTTACATAATTCTCCTTGTTTAAATCCATATAATGTTTCTACGACCCAGACTGCGATAGGCCTATATAAATTATCCGAGTACTAATACGTCGAATAAGGTACAAAATAATACCTCACTTAACATATGAAATTGCGCAACAACCAACTTCAATACATTTTTATAACAATATTAACAAGTTTTACCAATAAATACTTCTTTATTTATTATTAACATAACATAGAAAAATCTTTTGGCCGTACTTTTTCATCTGGGGCGGCAAGGGACCCAGATGAAAAAGTACGGCCGCAAGCTCTTTATGGACGGCCAAAATTGCAATTAGCCTATGGGCGGCAAGGGCCTAATCACAATTTTGGCCGACGGCGGCAGACGGCACGGTCGACCCACCGTCTGCCACGTCAGCTTGCCGCCCACCATTAGGGCGGCAGGGGCTATTTCTGCAATTTTTTTAGTCGATAGATTATTTCTGTAAATATTAAAAAAAAATCTAAAAACGAAAAAAACTCGCCGAAACTATCTCTGGACCGACCTAGTGAGGCGGCGGCTCGAGCCGTATTCCAACCGGAGCCGAGCCGAGCCGCGGGCGAATCGGCTTCTTCTTCCTTCTCTCTCCCCGACCAATCCGACCCAAACGCTCCTCGCCGTCAAATCTCCCCTCTTTCTCGCCGCCGGCGAGCAGCAGAAGCAGCGGCACCAGCACCACCGGCTGTAGGCGCGATCTTGTAGGCTCATCGGAGATGGGGAAGAAGCAGCATAGCAAGGACCGGATGTTCATAACGCGGACGGAGTGGGCGACGGAGTGGGGCGGCGCCAAGCAGAAGGAGGCCGGCACGCCCTTCAAGCGCCTTCCCTTCTACTGCTGCGCGTAATTACCCTTCCTCTACTGTTTTTGGAACTAGCCGGAAGGGAGATTTTCCTCCTTCTGTGTATTCTGCTAGTCATTACTATTCTGATTAGGGTTTGGGGAGAGCCTGAGCTTGTAGCTTTTCTTATTTAGTGCATAAACTTCATTATTGCGCTTCCTGTTGATCTTTTAGTTGATATGTTACCAGTTAAGGCGGTTAGCAAAGTATAGTAATTTCTTTGTGGTCAACTTCAGTACTTGATGATATTTAACCTTTAGATTATGTTGATTGAGCTTAGTAGTGGATGGATCTGTATACCAAATGTTAATTTCCTCCGTTCTCCACTGATTATAATTATTTGGTTTGGTGGTTTAGGCTTACGTTTTTACCATTTGAGGATCCAGTGTGCACAGCAGATGGAAGCGTCTTTGATTTGATGTAAGTTCATTGTTCTTCTTTGTATATGTTTTTGGAGAAAATATTAGAGACTGAGATCCTGAAAATCCTGTGTTGGCTGTGTATAAATGTAGGAGCATAATTCCATACATTAAGAAGTTCGGGAAGCACCCAGTAACAGGAACACCACTCAAGCAGGAAGATCTAATGCCTTTAACATTCCACAAGAACTCAGATGGTGAGTTAAACCGTCGCAAAAATTTCAGAGTATCTTGAACCAAATGTTACGGTACATGTACTCTTCTATCTCGGACATTAAATATCTGTCCTTTTTCTTGCAGGAGAGTTCCAGTGCCCTGTTTTGAATAAAGTTTTTACAGAATTCACGCATATAGTTGCTGTAAAGACTACTGGGAACGTCTTCTGTTATGAGGTGGGGTTTGGTGAGCTTTTTCAAGTGAACAATTTAGTATTATGGACCTATGGTACTTTTTAGCTCATGCATTCTTGACTCATAAAATGCAGGCAATCCAAGAACTCAACATCAAGCCAAAGAATTGGAGAGAATTGCTAACTGATGAGCCCTTTACACGAAATGACTTGATAACAATTCAGGTATGTATTTAGAACTGCATGTCTACTGTACTCAGTGTCAATTTGTTGACATTTAGCCCTGTAATCTAATTATATTCATCTTATGAACTTTGAAGAATCCAAATGCGGTTGATAGCAAGATCCTAGGTGAATTTGACCATGTCAAGAAAGGCCTCAAACTTGAAGATGAAGGTTGATTCCGGTCCCTCTTTCACTCTTACTTCTTTCATATTGCTATTTCCTAGTTAACTTACATGCTTTATCTGTATGACTGTTGCTCAGAGTTGCAACGAATGAAAAATGATCCAACCTACAACATAAATATTTCTGGTGATCTTAAGCAAATGATTAAGGAACTTGGAACTGAAAAGGGAAAGTTAGCTTTTTTGCATGGTGGGGGAGGGCAGAAAGCTCAAAAGGAAAGAGCTGCTGCACTTGCTGCTATATTGGCAAAAAAGGAGAAGGATGACTCAAAATCTGGCAAAGAACCTAAACCTCATCAGCCTTTCAGTATTGTAGATGCTGCTTCTGCTTCTGTTCATGGCAGAAGTGCAGCCGCAGCAAAGGCTGCTACTGCTGAGAAAACAGCTGCTAGAATAGCAATGCACATGGCAGGAGATCGAGCTCCTGTAAATGCTAAACTGGTACACTTTCGTATCATCTCAATGTATTTTGTCTGGTTTGTGTTACATACGCAGTGGATTTTCTCTGATGGAGATGATTCAATGATTTCAGGTTAAAAGCCGTTACACCACAGGAGCAGCTTCACGTTCTTTCACATCAACTGCCTATGATCCTGTCACCAAAAATGAACTTGAGTATGTTAAGGTTGAAAAGAATCCAAAAAAGAAGGGATATGTTCAGTTGCATACCACCCATGGTGATTTGAATTTGGAGCTTCATTGTGATATAACACCTCGGACATGTGAAAATTTCCTCACACATTGTGAAAATGGTTACTATAATGGTCTTATCTTCCATCGTAGTATCAAGTATGTTCTGATCACATTAGTCCTTTTTACCTAGTCATTTGTTTTATGCATACTTATGGTCATATCTAAATCTTATCTGTTTAATAATTCCTTTTACAGAAATTTCATGATTCAAGGAGGTGATCCAACTGGCACAGGAAGTGGAGGGGAGTCCATATGGGGTAAACCTTTCAAGGATGAACTGAATTCAAAACTTATACATTCAGGAAGAGGTGTTGTCAGCATGGCTAATTCTGGGCCTCATACCAATGGGTCCCAATTTTTCATCTTGTACAAGTCCGCACCACATTTAAATTTCAAGCATACGGTATTTGGCATGGTGGTCGGTGGCTTGACCACTCTTTCGGCTATGGAAAAGGTTCCTGTTGATGATGACGATCGACCATTGGTTAGTGTGATTGTTACTTTTACTTCCATCTGCATTTTTAACTCGATTTTAAACATGAACTATCATAAATTTTGTTGCAAAACAGTTGCTATAATATATGGATCCATTGGCTTTTATGCAATTGCAGTATGCTGCTTTTTAAGGATTGCTTTTTGTATTCATTTATGTTTTAGCTTTGATTTGCTGTACTGGTTTATACTGCTGTTTTCTACTCTTCTTCCGGTCTTCTTTTAACATGTGATTCTTATTTCTTCCTTAATCTACAGGAGGAAATAAAGATATTAAAAGTAAGTGTATTTGTGAACCCTTACACGGAACCAGATGAAGAAGAAGAAGAAAAGGCAAAGGAAGAGGAGAAGAAAAAGGATGAGGATTATGTATGTTGCCTATCATCTTGTTTCTGTAATGAACTTGTGATCATGAACTTGTTTCATTTATTTATATCATTTGTTTAAAATTTTACTTGGTAATTCAGGATAAGGTGGGATCATGGTATAGCAATCCAGGCACTGGCGTTGCTGGTTCAACTAGCTCTGGTGGTGGCGTTGGCAAGTACCTAAAAGCTCGGACAGCTGGCTTTGCTGATGTGGTTGCAGATGATTCAAACAAGAAAAGAAAAGCGAGTGTGTCTAATGTAGAATTTAAGGATTTCTCTGGGTGGTAGATTCCTGATGAACCTCCCCTTCTCTCAGAAGAAATGGCTAGTGGAAACTTCGGTAGCAGCACTGTGGCATTTCTTCAATCTTCTGCTATGGATTTAAACTAAGATGCTCAAGGTCCACAATTAAGATTCTCTGTAAGCAGATCCGAGTTGAGTAACATGATCCACTCTGGGTGGGTGTTTTGCGGCAAAAGGTATTACTAGATTCTTCTACTGTAAACTTATGTTGTGTCTTGTATAAATCAAAGCCATGTTGTTAGCGGTTTCTTCTATACAACAACAGACTTCCCAAGCAAGTTGGTGTAAGCTAGAAATGGAACTTCAATTCTAAGCCTTTAGCGTTTCTTATGTTAGAGCAAGAGTCAACCCTGATGAAAGTATGTGCATTTGACTGTCAGACAGTATTTCTCGTGACTATGAAAAGAGAGTTTTCTCAATTTTACCTTATTCTTTTCTCTGCAGAGTTGCACACTGAGCTATAAGAGGGATGCTTGGGACTTAGGAAATTTGACTGGTTCAATAACTGGAAATTCATGCTTCCATCAGTCTGTGTCTGAATTATTACAAATAAAACTTGAGAGGGCCGAGCCGCCGAGGGGATCTTAACTTTCCCTCGTTGATTCGAAAAGCCTTTTACTGCCACAATCCGGGACTGCTGATATTGTTATGGCAAGAGTTATGCTCAATCTGGAACTGTTGATATTGTTGGTTCATTGCATGTTTATACCGATAAATTTGTATGCCAATAATCACTGAAATCAACTTGATAAATTTGTTGCCAGTAATCACTGAAATCAACTTGAATCAATCTGTTGCTTTGTGTGCATGATTTACACGTGTCATCGTAGCTAATTTGATTTTATCAGTGAAGCGTATATTATTATTTTTTTTATCAGTGAAGCGTATATTATTATTTTTAAATCTGAGAATAACACGAAATGGATTCGCGATAGTCCGATAGCTTAATAATGAAAGTATGAAACTGTATGCACGCGATGACAATACATGCTATCCAGACGTACACGAACGTATCATCAACCTAAATAGTTCAAAAACCATGCAATGCATTCCTGCCATTCTTTTTCCTGAAAGATCCAGCAAAAGCTGGCTTTATATTATAAGGAGAGTGAAAACTTTACAATACCAAAGACTTCAAGCTCTCGCGATGTCTCTCAATGTATCAGGTGAACACGATTACGAGGATTCATTCGTACAGTCAACTACTTGTTGAACTGAGAAGAAAAAAAAATCTGACCAAAAAAAAGAACCCGAATGTCCTGAACACCAAAGAATCCTACCTTATTATTTTATCATTATGACTGGGCAAATGGCCTACGCGCGCTTAAGTAAAACTACCATGATCGAAGCAATAGCCAAGAGGACGAAGGCTGATGGAGCATTTGCAAAATCTTTCTTGGAGTCCAGGATCATAGTCTTCAGCTTCCCCTTGCTCTGGCCCTCGTCCGAGGTTGCAACTAGATCTTGCATAATGCTTGAAAGGTTCGTCATCATCTCAGACACCAGTGCCTTCATTTTCTCCACGTAGCACATGAACGCTTCTCCAGCGCTGCCCAACTCACTGCTGTTCTGCACGGAGTCTGACTCACTGCCTTCGACCTCATCTTCGTTAAGCTCTGAGAGAGGGAAAGTAGTAAGAGCGGATAGCAGGTTAAATTTTGAAAAATCTACTCAATCAGATGAGCAAAATAGGCCGGGCACCTAGACTAATACTTACTCGTCGCATAGGTCTTGTAAAACTTCATAACCTTTTCATTCCTCATTACAGCGTTCCAAACATTCTGATCAGAAGCAAGTGAGGCAACAACTTCCTGCAACCAACAGTTATCATAAAATGATCTGTAACAACTTTTATAAGCTTCCAAAGAGAAGAACTTTCAGAATTTAAAAGTAGAATCTATGCTTGCAGTAGAACCAGGATATTTTAATAAGGAATAAATTGAGCGCTTGAACCAAACTAACATAATAAAATGGAAAGTGTTACTCCAGAAAATATGAAGGCTGGAGATTTTGTGATCAAATGTCAAGCTTGCATGTGAAATTTCAATAATAGGGCTCAGATTTCACAAAACATCATTATCTTTTAGTGTTTGAAAAAGAGACATGTAATCCTCATTGACGCTAGCAAACGATGGCACAACAACTTAGTAGTTGACTCTATTTACATTGGCAAAGTTTGTGGTAAGTACCTGTGCTTCAGGGCTATCCTGTAGCATTGTGAACGCTTGCACAACGCGTCCAGGGGCTCCAGAGGAAACAAGTGAAATTTCATGGTTATCCTCATGCTCAGAAGTTTTTGAATGAATAAGACCCTGAGATGATTCCGAATGAACAAGACCCTGAGATGTTTCCGAATGAACAAGATCCTGGGATGCTCCTAAATCAACAAGACCCTGTGTTTCTGAATGAACAAGATCCTGAGGTGTTTCTGAGTGAACAAGACCCTCCTGACCCACCTTTGTAGGGACATCAAGGTCACCAGAGGGGAGAGGCTCCAATTGAGCAGACTTAGCACTATTTAAGAGAAAACAGGTCATCAGTTTTTTTTGGGGGTAAAGAACAAGGAAGAGCAGTGAAGCATAAAACCTTTATATAGAAGGAAAATAACAAAAGCACAATAGAATGATTTTACGGTTTGAACAACTTCAAAATAATTTGTCTACATATTGTTAACATTTTTCTCAGGCATACTTCGCATATATATATATGGAGATATTCATTGTCGAAACATACTGCAAATTAAGAAGCAGTGATGAGAAAGAAAGATTCAAAAACTTTTAAACATATTTAAAATAAACATGTGAATGAACAGCAAAGAGGCACATCATGTTGCAACAATCTCTATATATGTTATTTCTAAAAACAAGGAGAAAAACATCACAAGTAATACTACTCTAACGCTCTACTACAAATACTATGAATATATGCTTCGTCACTTCATCAAAAGCCAATAGATGCGAATAACTTTTTTTTTCATTACTGCAAAAGAAATTATAGTCCGCTAGAAGTCATTGTATAATGAATAAACTTATCCACGCATCAGTGTCCAATAACTATGAACCATAGATCACACCACACACATGCATGATTCGAATAAAACTACCGGAGGCCACAACCATGCAGCGGATGGAGCAATAGGATCACCGATCACACGAGCACATTCAACGGCTATGAGAAAACTAAAAGCGTGAAGGGCAAGGTGGTGGCAAAGTTACGCACAACTGGAAGGACTCCTTGAGGTCGAGGGTGGCGGCCATGGCCTCCTCGTGGGTGGGCACGGGGCCGAACACCTCGCGGTCCGGGATGACCCAGTCGTCGATCGCCGCGTAGGTGGACGCCGCCTTGCGGCCCTCGCCCGCCGCCGATGGGGCTGTCTGGGGCGCCGGGGAGGCCGGGAGGACGGCGCGGCGCACGGCCGAGGCGGAGCGGTAGCCCCCGATCATGGCGGCCTTCGCCGCCGCGCGGATGGACCCCCCTCCCATGGCTGGCTTCCCGTCGAATCGATCTCGCCGTCGCCCTAAAGCAGCTCCGGTGGAGAAGCGATTAGATGGAAGCGGGAGTACGTTGGAACAAACTAGTACTATTATTATAGCGGTGAAAATGAAACGAAAAAAAAAAGGAAATAATCGCTGCGGTAAAAACGCGTGGGATTTTTTTTTCCTTTTATTGTAAGGAAGGAAATGGCCCATTTGCCTTGGCGGCTGCGGGACCCCCTCGCCCGATGGATCCGCATGGTGAAATGTTCGGCCAGATCAGTGCCGTCCAACGGGAAACGGATGGATGGGATCGTATCCCGCGATATTCGCTCAGTTCGATGGTTATCTTTATTTTAGCTGCGCGAAATTAGTTCTAGAAGTTAAATTCCGTGGGTAACAACAGATCTCTCTTTCGACGGGGTTTGCGCGGAACTCGAGGAAACCCGGCGCAACAGAATTTTGAAGGTTAAGAAGGGGAAAACTATTTTAATCCCTAGTGAGGATATTCCATTGTTCTTTGAATGTCATAATGAAAAGAGTAAATTTCATAAAACTACATGTTTTGTGGTCTAAATTGCAGAAAACCACATACACTTTAACACTTGGCATTTAAGTACATATATTTTGGTCGTGTAGTTTCACAAAACCACACTATCAATGAATGGATTCACTCGCGAGATGATGTAGTTGTTTCACATAGGACGAGGACATGGCATCCTATTACCAGCCATCACACAAAATTAACAGGATGCCACGTCCCCATCCTAAATGGAACAACCACATCATCTCACGGGTGAATCCATTCATCGATAGTGTGGTTTTGTGAAACTAAACTACCAAATGAAACTAAACTACCAAAATATATGTACTTAAGTGCCAAGTGTCAAAATGTGTGTGGTTTTCTGTAACTTGAACTATAAAACATGTAGTTTTGTGAAATTTACTCTTATGAAAAAAAATAAAAAAATTAAGAAGATGTATTAATATGTGATGTAACACTACACAAACATGTAAATTCAAATTCAACTTCTACATCTCGTAAAAAAACAAATCAAACCGCAGCTGGTTAACGTATATTCAAAGTCAAATTTATTTTTTTCGTTGTGATATGTAGAAGTTAAATTTTTACCTGCATGTTTGTGGAGTGATATATCACATGTTAATATATCTTTTCAAATTTTTTTAAATTTTTTCATAACCATTTGAGTAACATGCAAGCAACAAGAAGATATCCCCTCGACGGATCAAAATCCACTTTCCATCGCAGGGTCGTATAGTATTAACTCAATCGCGATGCTTTGCTTTGTGTCAGATTCAGATGTGTTCCGGTTCATATATACTCCCTCCATAAAAAAAAGACAAACTCTGGGTTTCCATGTCCAACATTTGATCGTCCGTCTTATTTGAAAAAATTATGAAAAATATTAAAAAGGCAAGTCACGCATAAAGTATTAATCATGTTTTATCATCTAACAACAATGGAAATACTAATTATAAAAATATTTCATATAAAACATACAGTCAAATGTTGGACACGGAAACCCAGGATTTGTCTTATTTTGGGACAGGGAGAGTAGCTAGCCACGAATTTATCGGACGAGTTTGATAAAATGTGATGGGTGTGTCTAGTTTATAAACACCATATCCGCCAAACTTCACCAAGACACATTACTATCCAGGTTTGAAACACGAGACATAGGTACGATGCACATTATTCAGACATACATGCGATGCACATTATTCTTATCAATAAATTCTGGCTTCTAACGGTAGCTTGAATTCAGTCGATGCTTCCATGAGCCTTTTCTTTTCACGACTAGCATGAGATTTTGTTTTCTTGGTTGTACAAAAGTATTGTTCGGAAAAGATTATGTTTTTTTCGTTGGTTGCATGACTGTAGCTGAATTTTCATTTTTATATATCAATATATTCATTGTTAAATTTATGAGTAAATTATATTGATGGTATATAAACTTGTTAGGTAAATATCTAAGTATACGTAAACTTGTAAAATGCTCGTTACAGTATTTGAACTTATCTAGTTTGTGTGAGAAAATAACTTGACATTGTTAACTTTATACCAAGCTGGTGTTGATTAGAATGTGACATGCATACATGTATTGAATATTCATAAAACAATATATTTATAATTTTGATCTTTACTTTATCATTCATAATTGAAATAATGAATTCTATATATTTCTAACTCTTGTGTCATTGATCAGTATTTATATTTTTTTTCTACTATCATGTATATCTCATTCTATCTTTTAGTGAACATATGTATTTCTAAATAGCGATATTCTCACATATATGTTTATATAGTATCCTAATCAGCACTTAAATCAACAGGATTAGCCATGTAGTGTTATTTTGGCCTTAGTCCGCACGAACAGAAGTTTATACACCAAAACGAGTATTTTTACAAGTTTGTGCGCTAGATTGATAAGTTCGTGAACTGCTGATGTAATTTACACTAAATTTATCATTTGAGCATTATTTTTAAAGCAATATATTTACTTTATCATAATAAAGCTATCTCGCCGCCTCGCACTCCTCGTCAAAGGGAGATCGCCGCGGCCGCTTCGCTGTGCCTGGCTGTGACCGGATGCACACGGTCCCGGCCAGTCCCACCCTGCACCACAACACCAGCGCGTACTTACTTACACATGCATTTGCATTCGCTCATACCCAACGTTTGTATCCGCTTGCCGCCTTGCCCTGGACAACGAAAGGAGCTTGAATCCCATCGTTGTCATTGGGTCTAACTTTAGGAGGCCGTTTTGCACAAGCAAACTCAGGACCCGACGCCGACGGCTGTGCAGACAACCAAACACCCGGAGATGGATTCTAATATCTCGAGTGGATGTGCAACCGTTTATTGCATGTCAACTAAATGGTTACGAAAAATTTTCAAAAAAATTAATAAGATAGATCAATATATAATATATCACTCCACAAACATGCAAGTTCAAATTCAACTTTTACAAGTTGTAACAAAAATAACAAATTTAATTGTAAATATACATATAGTAATTTAAGTTTTGTTTGTTATTTTTGTTATAACTTGTAGAAGTTAAATTTCAACTTGCATGTTTGTGGACTGATATATAACATGTTGATCTATCTTATTTATATATTTTTTAATTTTTTTCATAACTATTTAGATGACATGTAATAAACGGGTGGACGTCCACTCGAGCTGTTAAAATAGTTTCCCCCAAACACCCCTGCATTACATTTACACCAGTTTTATGCGAAGTGAGAGCAACGCTAGATGCAAATAACCAAACACCGAGTCTACGTGCATCTACACGGTGACACGAGCTGTTCGACTCGATTGGGCTATATATGATGATCCTCTTGGGTTCACCTCATCAGGCCAAATGCCCATGCAAAGAAGTCGCCCGGTGAGTCAAAACCTCTGAAACAATTGGTCCAGAGATGGCGAGACTTAAAACATTTTGTTTACTCCCTCCATTTACTTTGATAATCATATTCCCTCTATCTACTTTTGATAATCATATTTTTAAATCTGAAAAATTTATTTTGATAGATATATTTTAATCCAATAGCCTATCCTCTCAATAAATTTCTCAGATTTAATGTAGATCTCTCCATTTTTTCACATAAAATTAGCTACATGGGTATGGAGAAATGTAAATATTTATGAATCGTTTGTTTACGAGAAATGACTAGTACTAGTATGTTTAAATAAATGATAAGTAGAATTAGTTATCTTTGGCCTATGTGATAAGATGAAATATGATTATTAAAAATTGACGGAAGGAGTAAAAAAAAGCTTCACCTACTACCGCAAATCATCATTAACTACCACCGCTAATCCGGGGAGCAGATACCGGAACCGAACTGGATCCTGTCACCAGGGTTGGTTGTTGGAGCCTTTGGACCAATCACGCACATCCAAATCGGAAAAACAAAAAAAAAACAAAACAAAACAAAACGGCGAGCTAGCACGCGAGGCCACATATGATTGGTGGATCGCCACATAATAATACCATCCCCTCCTCCCTCTCGTCTCTTCCTCCTCCTCGCGCCGTCGCTCTCGCCTTGCCTCGCTGTCGCTCGCTCCTCCCAATCCGCGCTGCCCCCGTCCCTCCCTTCCCACACGCTCTGCCCTCCAAATAAAGTAAACCCGCGCGAGCCGCCACCGGTGAGGCTCCCGTCGCCGTCCGTACCCCGGCTCCCGGCGACCGCCGCCACCACCACCCAGGGTCCCCGCTTCGTAGGCGAGGGGGGAGGAGGAGACGACGCCATGGGGTTCTGGGAAGCCTTCCTCAACTGGCTCCGCAGGTACGCTCGTCGAAGCTCGCTCTTGCTTGGGGCATTGACGGGGGAGGGGATCGATCGATCGATCGATGCGTCGGGGATCTGGGTTAGGATTAGATAGTTTTACTGGATTGGATGGTTTTGCGGCGCGCGAATAAGTATGGTATTGAGATAATTTTTTCCTTTTGCAACGTTGACTAACGGGAAATGTTGTTTTTGATGGGTCGATACACGCATACCCGCGTTTATTCCCGATATACGTAGGGGAATTTGGCTTCTTGTGGTCCTTTTCTGTTTTTCCAAGTTCAGATTTGGCCCCTTTTGCTACTTACAAGTACGCTGTAGGAACATTGTATGGCAGAAGCTTTTTTATCTGTTGAACAACACTATCAAATGGAGTATCGTATAAGCCAATCGAAGTATTATCAGGGCGCGTCAATCACTGTATTAATTGAACGTGCCTGCCCAACTGTATTCATTCAACGTGTCAATCAAAAATTCAAGGGAGGTGAGGGGATACAGAATTTGCAGAGTGATTTTGTATGTAACAGAGGGGTCTACTCTGTTAATTGTCATGAATATTCACATTACAAAGTTCTTGTATCATGGACTGTAGAATTAGGACGATGTTGGCCATGCTTGCACTGAATTTCAATCATTGGTATGAAAAAGAGTTGTGGTAGGCTATGATTAGTTCCACATCTACCTACCGGCGGTGGCCAAGTAAGTTAGTATGAAAACAAAGGAGCTCTCATCACATGCACTGATTGGGTAGTGGAGAACTTCCTTTGTTTCTTTGAGGCACTACTTCGACGTAATGACATGTGGGCCAACTTCTGGTTTATATTAGCGAGTAAAATGGATATGCTTTGTTACTAATATTGCTTGATGAGGATTCAACATATATTCCTTTATATGCAGTCTTTTTTTCAAGCAAGAGATGGAGCTTTCCTTGATAGGGCTTCAAAATGCTGGGAAAACATCGCTTGTGAATGTCATTGCTGTAAGTATCAGTTTCTTAATTATTTATTCACTTGCTGAATTATAATGATTTCTCATGGATCACCATGTAATCTGCAGACAGGAGGCTTTAGTGAGGACATGATTCCTACTGTAGGATTCAACATGAGAAAGGTGACCAAAGGTAATGTCACAATAAAATTGTGGGATCTTGGAGGCCAGCCAAGATTCCGTAGCATGTGGGAGAGATACTGTCGTGCAGTTTCTGCAATTGTGTAAGTTCCTTTCCTGTCTAATTTGATGCATGTGCAGCAGGAATTGCACTATACTCAGTAGTTGTCATGCTTAGTTGGTTGTTGCTTACACATGCTAACCAATTATTTTCATGTCATTTTGATTTGACCACTGCTGAAATTTAGGCAAACTTCATCAATGAAATTTAATTACTAGACCCCATAGACAGAAGTAGCTTCATATTGTAGTGCACATTCACTGGTTTCAAAAGCTTAACCTGGATAGTTTAGGTGAAACATGGGATTTTGTGCAGATCTTATGTTCTTGAGTTTAACCTCTTTATTTCTCAACTAAACTGTTCTTAGTCTTTTGTAAGGCATACTGCACTTTTCTTCCCTCTGCCTTATGTCGTAGTTATCCTTGTGCAAGGATAAGTCAGTTTGAATTTGCCTTGCCTATTGGATATTGGATATTCTAGAAAAAGATGATGCTTTTATTTATTTGATCAGACTTTTTTAATTTTGCATTATTGAAGATAATTATGATGTCTTGTTTATCTTTATCTTCTATTTTTCTATTTTTGCTTTTTTGTTCACTTGGCGCATGTTCTAAATTCTAATATGTAACCCCTCTAGCTGACTTTTCCCCTTAAAATCTGGTTCGTTGTTATATTATTTTATTTTTCGTTGCTGGTGGCAATAATTGACTTTACAAACCATGGGGAATGTTTTGGGTTCCTGCAGGTATGTTGTGGATGCAGCCGATCGAGAGAACATGGCTATTGCCAAAAGCGAGCTCCATGATCTTCTGAGCAAGCCTTCTTTGACTGGGATCCCATTACTAGTCATTGGCAATAAAATTGACAAACCTGAAGCTTTCCCTAAGCAAAGCTTCACAGACGTAATGTAAGTACACGCTAAGCTATTACAGACCGATAAGGTTTTCTTACGCACAAACCTGTGTTCGACAAGTTATATGTGACATTGCAGGGGGCTAAAGACAATCACTGACCGAGAAGTGGCATGCTTCATGATATCATGCAAGAACTCGACAAACATTGACTCTGTCATCGACTGGCTCGTGAAGCACTCAAAAAAGAAGAATTGATCTAAATTTTTAGCTTTTGAAGTACGCAGATTCTCTCTTTTTGCATGTTGCGTAGCACTTGGCCTGTAAATTATGCAAGAGTTATTGTTGATCAGGGAGGTTGTGTTCATAATTTTGTAACCTGCTTTGGCATTATATTGGCAGACTGCATCTGGTATTGTGCACGCATGTGCTTCCTTCCGACTTACAAGAGGTTCCACCCTCGTGTTGCATACTTGCTTGGTGAATTTGAAATTATGCGTGATTTGTGGATCATATTGTTTACTTTGGATGAAACTAAAGGGAGACAAAAATGTTGATAAATCGATGCTGCAATGAATTGCAAATTTGTGCTTGAGACTCTGAGAGTAATAATATGTAGCATGAGAGAAATATTTAAACTATGTATTTGGTTCTTTTAAGTGAATTGCATCATCCTGGGAGAACAGTTGTATAATGTGTGCAGGTAAGTAAAGGTGCTGGAGCACCACCTTGCAATTTCTTGTACAGTTTGTTATGAAATTAGAAGGGATTTCTACTTGTACAATTTGATATGAAATTAGAAGTGCAAAAGGGAAATTGCACGTTATGAGAAGAAATGGTTTAGGGAAAGTACGTTCATTTGCTATCAAGTTTATCTACTCGAAGAATTTTCTATCGGCATACGTTCGTTTACTATGAAGTTTTTCTACTCGAAGAATTTTCTATCGACCGAGGTTTGTCTTCCCCCGGGTCTGTTTTCCAGTGTTACAAGTTACAAAGCTTTGTTTCCAACATTTTTAGATTCCAAATACTTAATTTAATCTATGATACGAATAAACATATCATCTCACGTATTTTCTCTGTTTTTTAAATATATAACGTTGTTGATTTTTACAAACATGTTTAAATATTTGTCTTATTCAAAAATCTTACACAACTACATAAGATATAAATCATGTTTAAAGTATTTTTAGTCATAAAACAACTCACAACAAAATAAATTATATGTACATAATTTTTTTAATAAAACAAATAATTAAATATATGTTCAAAAGTCAACTATGTTATCTATTTAAAAATGAAAGAAGGAGGCAGTATATACCAGTTACGAGCTTCAAACAACGGGAAAACGAATTTCAAACTCGTTTATAAGAAAACAAAAAATCAAACTCCAATTGACCAAGGGTGAAGGGGGTCTTGACTCTAGTTCTAGTCGCCGCTGTCTTGCGGCCTCCTCCGGTCCAAGCCCCCTGATCCCCTGACCTCAAAGATGGCGGCGGCGCTGTCCAAGCTCCTCCGCCGTCGGCTGCGCGGCGGCGGGCACCGCCTGCTCCCGTCCCGTCCCTCCACCTCCGCCGCCTCCCAGCCACCTCCGCCGCCTCCTTCCGCCGCCACACCGCCACCACCAGGTGAGGTCTCAACCCTCCACCGCCCCCGCGAAATGCCACACGAGTACATCTGCGGAGCGAGACCACCGGTGCGATCCCCCCCCCCCTCGCTCTAACTAGGTTCGTTTTCCCTTCGCAGGGGCAGGGAAGGAGGCGGGCGCGTGGTCCAAGCTCTTCCTCTTCGCCCCCGGCGCCATCACCTTCGGCCTCGGCTCATGGCAGCTCTTCCGGAGGCAGGAGAAGGTTCAAAGTTCACACCACGCATGCGCGCCTTGGTTCGTTCTCTATGTCTAGGGAAATGAAGGGGGGAAGAGGCCTCACGCCGTGGTTTTTTCTTGCCCTGTCGCAGATTGAGATGCTGGACTACAGGACGCGGAGGCTGGAGATGGAGCCCATTGCGTGGAACCAGATGGCCCCGTCTGATCTCAGTGCCGGGGTCGATCCGGCCACACCGGAGTTCCGGAGGATCGTGTGCGAGGGTGATTTCGACGAGGAGAGGTCGGTGTTCGTCGGGCCTCGCTCCAGGAGCATCTCTGGTGTGACGGAGAATGGGTATTATGTGGTCACTCCATTGATACCCCGGCCTAGTGAGCATGGCAGGTAAAAGGTTGTTGGAAACAGCATTGCGCTCTTGCGATGAAACTGTTAGTTCCGGTGAACGTGATGCCATCAATTTGGTTTAAGTTATTCTCAAGATTAGGATAGAGAAACGAATCAACGATGAACATAAGATCTACCTGACTAAAATGGAACTAACGTATCATTATTTGTCTCAGTAGAGAAGCTCTGCACAAGCCATAATCTCAAATTGGGGTGTATAGCTTCTAATAAATGTTTCTGCATTACATTACATTTCTGATAAGCTGAACTTCCACTTGAGGTTGTGTTGTGCGATATGCCATCTATCCATGCTTGGACCGGTATTAGCAAAGTTTTTCTTCTTTTTTTTTTCCCCGTGAAGATGTTGCGATCTTACAATTAGTTCTGAATTAAGTTTCTCCTCACGTTACTAACACAGAGAACACATAAAAAGAAACATAGTTGCCTGATGCTGTATTGCTTGCTTGAACCATAGAAACAAACTACATTGTCTTATTTCTTCCATGTTTCTTAAAATATTTGTATTTCTGAAAAATATTGTCAGTTCGTGGCCACCTATACTTGTGAATAGAGGGTGGGTTCCTCGTGATTGGCGTGATAAGAACGTACAGGATCACCAGGGCGTCAGAGAAGTTCCAGAATATAAAGAGGCTGATAAAAAGACAGATGGAAAAGGTTCATGGTGGAAGTTTTGGTCTAACTCTAAGGAGCCTGAACAATCTTGTGAGGTGATTTTGCATTCCTTTATTTGCGTCGTTTCCAACCTATTGCTTAAAAATGTTAATGCTTTCTGCTTTGCTCATCAGATCAAGTTTATGCATTGATATCTTATCAGCAACATGGTACATAAACTTATTGTGCATGATAACAATGTGACAGCACATTATCAAATATCTTTTTATGAATAACCAACCAGGCGTGCTTTAAATCATTGGTTGTAGTTGTTGATGGTTTGTGTGTGGAAACCACTGTGATTATTGTCCGTGCATAAATTTGATGCAAATTGCTTTTCCACCTTTTGCAGATTGAAAAACCTGTAAAACCTCCTGTAAGAGTTTTGGGAGTTATCCGAGGAAGTGAGAAGCCCAGCATATTTGTTCCAGCTAATGAACCCAGTGTTGGCCAGTGGTTTTATGTGGATGTTCCCATGATTGCTCGTGCATGTGGCCTCCCTGAAAATACTATTTATATAGAAGATATAAATGAGGATGTCTCTCCAACAAATCCTTATCCTGTTCCAAAAGATGTCAGTACTTTGATTCATCACTCAGTGATGCCACATGACCATCTAAAATACACCGTTACATGGTAAGTGCCTATTAACTTCAATACCTTGCACATTCCTCATTGTTGGTGGGGTGTGTGAAATCTATAATAACTGCTACATTTTTATATGATGATCTATAATAATTGCTACAGCTTTACTTGACAAGTTTTATGAGTGCTATCTAGTTGATTACTTGATTATGACTATTCCATTCATTCTTGGATTGTTATTACTAGAAATGTTAAGACTCCCAATAGATAGTTAGATACTATTGCTCATATTAGAAAGGTTCAGAGCAATTTCCTACCGTATCGGGTACTCACTATCGCATTTAAGCCTTTTGTCTTTACAGAACTGCCAGGTGTAATCTGTTGATACCATTTGCTTCCTTAGATAGTTATGTGGTATTCTTTCACTAAATAATGTTCCAACTAAGTGGTAGGATATCATATATGCACATGAAATGCAATACTGTAGTGAAAATTGAGTTGCAGAAACTGGAGAATGTACATTACAAGAATGTGACTCTGGACTGGAGTAGGAACACATAGTATGGGGTTTGTATTCCAAACTCTCTGGGCTGGTTATGTACTGTGTTGTTCTGTTTCAGCTGAGACTGGAAAGCTGTTGTGTCTCCTTTATAGAAAAAAAAAATTATCCCAAACTCTTCTTAAGGTCTGCCCATATTACATCAGATTAGCTTGCATATGGCACATATATATGCAGGCAAATTTTCTCGCTGTAATCATGCACTAAAATTTTGCAATCGTCAGCTAGATACATAATTGTTTCTTTGACTGCTATGGTTACAGTTGGTATCATTCTTGCTGGTGTATTTGTGTGTTTATGACCACCTACTATCTTTCGTTGTTATTAGGTACACTCTTTCTGCTGCTGTGACTTTCATGGCTGCAAAGCGGATAAAGGCAAAGAAGGTTAAGTTATAGCGGAACATAAACCTGTCTCCTGCATCTTGTACTTATTTATGAAGCTCAAGTTCCCGCTGCTTCAGAAAGAGATGTTCGATAACCTGAGTACTGCATCTTCATCTCTCAGGCAATGATCAAAGTAGTCTTGCCACATTTGATATGATGTGCATCCATATGGGCATCTCGTAGTTGAACTCAGAGGATAGAAAAGTTTTGTTAGCAGCTTCTGATATCCTTGATTCTTTTGTTACGGAACTTACATTGAGGAAACAACGTAGACATTGTTATTTGTTTCTATTCTTTGTAGTTTTTTTGTTCAATGAGCTAGTCGTCCACGAGGTTGATGGTGCTTGCAGAAGCAATTTTACAGTACTTGCTGATTTTATCTGAAAAATAAAAACATCGAATCTGTTACACATCTGCCCCTAAGGCCTGGTTTAGTTTCCAATTTTTTTTTCAAACTTTCAACTTTTCTGTCACATCGTTTTAATTTCAACCTAACTTCCAATTTTAGCGTGAACTAAACACACCCTAGTTTGAAGAAAAAGTTTGGAACTAAACTCGGCCTTGTGTGCTGCCTCTGCCCAACAATGTACATAGTCAGTGTTGTTCAGTCCTCGTCTCTGCTCCAATTGATAGAACTGTTGAATGTCGATGCTGTTTTTCTGCTTACCCTGTGGACTTTGCTGTCAAGTGTTGTCCCTTTTATCCCCATCTGATAAATGGGGGCAGATGTGAATAGGTAAAGGGTTTTTTGTACCCTACATTTGTGCTCTCTGGCAAAAGCAGGTCAAGAATGCATGTGATGGTACCTCGAGAAGAGTAGATGCTAGCCGGCTAACCTTGCACGGTCAGTCAGTACCATGCACAACGTTCTGCATAAATAGCCATCTTTTATATGCACCTATGCGGCTATGCTGATATTTCACTCAATTAAGGAGCGTCACACTAACCCCTTAAATGATAAGCATGTGCTTTACACTAAAACACTTATTTAACACCGAAAGGTATCCTAGGTCACCTAAATTCTCCTCACTCTCTCAACGGCCACAATAAACCCAGGACTAGGACACAGGACACCATGTTTTGGACTCAAAAATAGCTGAACATAGGATTCTTGTTCCTTGGCCATGCGTGTTCTGCGAGAATGCAATGTGGCATCTTGTGTCCATGACCGGTAACTGTCAATGGCGGGGAACAAATGGTCACGTGACTTGCAGAGTTTGCACGTAGCAGCAGTACTCCATTGTCTCCACTAAAATGAGCACCATGAGAACATCGCAGTGTTGCAATCTGCAAGCATGATAATATTACCATGATGAGTCCAGTAGTAAAAATCACTAGCATCAGCGTCTCCGAAGCCTGGATTGATTTGGTTCTAGCGAACCAATGGCAGCACGGTGACAGGTCTGGAAGGGGGCCGAAAATGTCAAAGAGTAGCCGTCCTAGTGATTGGAGCTGGAATCATGGCAGAATGACTGCGTTGCCAGCTTTTTTTCTTTCCTTCTTTTCCTCTTCTCCAGTTCTCACCTGCTCTCTCTCTCTCTCTCTCTCCATTTTTTTCTTATTTTTAAAGAGACATATTCTCTCTCAGATTGAGATCCTCTCTAGTCGAATACACGGTGTCTCTTTATCACTAACATGTGGACCCAAGAATCATCGGGCCTACATGTTAGTGACAAAGTCACGTAATTTTGACTGCAGAATCCTAATCCATTCTCTCACATGGCAGTGCACCTAGCACAAAGGAGGCCAATAAATACGATGGCCCTTCATTAGTAAAGCTACCAAGCTTTTTTACACTTACAGAAAGGTGCGGTAAAGCCAGGCTGGCTATATAGGTATCAAAGTGTAAATGATAAGGGCATATTTGTAAATAAATCATGAGCAAAACATAGCAAAAAGGGAGGATAATGTAAGATTGTACTTCTCTTCCCTTTCTAAGGGGAGGGAGGAGCTTCCCCTTGATATGTTGCCATGTTGGTGGTCTGAAAAAGTTTTTTTTACCAAGTAAACGCTGGACACTAGGGAATGACCCAATGTCAAATTTATCAACAAAGAGGGTGAGCGCGGTCGCGGAGAACACAACGGCTGTACCATAACATCTGCGATACCCTAGACGGGTCCAAAAGGTTTGTTGTCGATACAATCACTAGTTGTGTTTGTTAATTTCTTTCTATACATGGGTTACCGGTTATCGTATAGGAATATCCAATAGTTCTGAAGTAGTAAAATATTGGGATAAAAGTTGGAGATTCGAGTATCTTCCCCTTCCATTCCTTGCGTATAAAAGAAAGAAAATCTCCGTCTCGGATGCTTCGCTCCTTGCGCCATCTCGCGGCTGAACAGGGGAGGTGGCGAGCAGAGCAGGGGAGGGGAGGGGATCCTGCAGGTGAGCACCCACGTATCCTCCTCAGAGTTCTTCTCTCTCTCCCGCCGGGACTACTTCTGTCTGGAATTTGCTTGCGTTCGTTAATCCTAGCTTCTCTTCTAGATCTGGATTCTGGAAGAAGTTCTTCAGCTCTTCTCTTAATTTCAGAGCCTTAACGTTAATACAAGTAACAAACAGTTTGTTGTTTGTTCCCCCAAACCCCCATGTCCCAAGTTGGATCCGCCCCTGCAAATTGGCCGCTGGAGCTCGGGATTGCCGTCAGCGCCGCCGCGTGCTCTGTTTTGGCCACCTCCGACTCGCCTCTCCAAGCCACCATAGCCCAATCAAATTAGTGAAGCCGACAAGTTCAACAAGTTTTAGAGTCCTAAATATGCATTTCAGAGTTTAGTGACCAGGATGACATCAGACTAGCAAGTTCAAGAATCAAGGACCACAGCTGTATTCTTTTTTTAAGATAATGGAATAAAACATCCCGGCCTTTACTCATCATAGCACCACAGCTCTATTCTTTAATTAATTATTAGGGTATGATTACTTAAAATGTGCACTAAGCACCTTCCATTTTTACTTGTCAGGTTCTATAGTATATTATATACTTGATGACTGGTTAATCCCATTGGTCTGGTGGGGAGATCTTGAGAGATAGATATTTATCTACAGTAAATCATCAGCACAGCAGAAAATGCCGGCAATTATGTTATGCAGTTGTAGCGGGGACCAATCCAAGTTTGAAGAAATGCCTCGATCGCCTGAATCTCTTGCGACGCGGGATTACTCAGCAACTGGTTCTTCTTCAAGGATAGGAAATCGAGAATCAACTCCTGATGACAACCAAGTAAGCGAAGTGGAATCAGACCTGAGAGAGACCCTTTCACTAAATTATGAGGTTTGTCTGAATCCTTCCCTCTTCCGAGAAGATAAGCTATATTTCTGGTTTCCTCAGTGTTGTATTCATTGTGGCTAATGTAACAGGAAGCCCGGGCATTGCTGGGTAGACTGGAACATCAGAGAGGAAACTTTGATGCAGCATTGCAAGTTCTTCAGGGAATTGATATAAGAAGCCTGATGCCACGAATGACTACTGCTATTGCTGACAGTGTCAAGCCTAGAGGTCCTCCACGTTCACGAAAGAAAACCTCACAAGTGAATGGAATGCTGATGCATATGTCTATGCACTCTGTAAGTTTGCTTCTCGAGGCCATATTGCTTAAAGCGAAGTCTTTGGAAGGTCTTGGTAGAGTGACAGGTACTGACCAGATTCTTTCCCTATGTTTTTTTTTTCTTCTTTAGAAAACGATTTGTATGTTTTCTCATTTTTGAACTTTAACTTTTGCCATATGAAATTTGGAGGGCAACTCCAAGCCCTGGGAAAAGAACTGTTACTCTAATGTACGTGGGCTACCATCTTAGTTAATAAGACTTTAAACAGAAGTGGAAACATATGTGTTGGACAAATCCAAATTGTTGTGATACTTTTGTTTACATTATAGGAGTGATTATTTCTACTGATCATCTCTCATTTGGAAGAGCTATGTCACATCCAATAGGAATTTTACTCTTATTTTATCTTGAAATGGCAGATGCTGCAGAAGAATGCAGAACCATCATAGACATTGTCGAGTCTGCATGGCCATATGGTGTCCCCGAAGGTACTTCTGAAGAGTGTAAGTTGATAGACATTTTCCACTCTGCCCTAGAATATCTTCCTAAGCTTTGGATGAGGAGTGGTTGTTGTGAGGAAGCCATCATCGCATATAGGAGGGCTCTTGCAAAGCCATGGAATTTGGATTCTCAAAGGTCTGCAAATTTACAAAAAGATTTAGCAGTGACTCTGCTGTATTGTGGTGCTCAAGTGAAGTTTACTCAAGAATTTGATCAACACAAGCCAGCAACTCCTAGGAACAACATGGAGGAAGCAATTTTGTTGTTGCTGATACTTACAAAAAAGTTAGCCCTTCAAGAAATAAAGTGGGATCCTGACCTTGTGAACCATTTGATGTTTGCACTCTCATTATCAGGCCATTATGAAATCTTGGCTAGCCATCTGGAAATGTTGTTGCCTGGAACCTATAACCGATCAGAAAGATGGTATATTCTTGCGCTCTGCTACAGTGCAGCTGGCATGGATGATAGCGCCTTAAACATTATAAGGAACGGTTTCAACGTATTAGAAAGGAAAGGGAAGCCTCATATTCCATCTCTTCTTTTAGGAGCCAAACTATGTTGTAAGAACCCAAAGCGTGCTTCTGAAGGAATAAAATTTGCAGATAAAGCCATGAAGTCTTTCAGAAAGCATGATTTCCATTTTGTCAGTGTTGTAAACCATCTTCTTGGTGTTTGCTATGGACCTTTTGCTAGATCCTCCACTTCTCATGCAGAAAAATTGAGATTACAAGATGAAGCACTGAGGTTGCTACAGGATGCTGCTGCAATGGCAAAGTATAGCCCTGAAATTATGTATAGCCTTGCTTGGGAAAATGCAATGCAGCGTAAACTGAATGCAGCTGTTGAAAGTGCAACAGAATGCGTTGAGATGGTGATGGGAAGTTTAGTTAGTGCCTGGAAGTTACTGATTCTTGTGTTATCTGCTCAGCAAAATTTAAAAGAGGCCGAAGCAGTAGCAAATATTGCAATAGATGAGGCTGAGAAAGAGGATCAGATGGGAATTTTGAGGCTAAAAGCACACATTCAGGCCTCACGTGGACAGTTCAAGTCTGCAGTAGAATCATTTCGGAGTTTGCTTGCAATAATCCAAGCAAAGAAAGAAATCTGGAAGCAGACCCCTTATGACAAGGTACGATCACATTGTCCCTTTCACCTCTTTTTGGAACTCAAAATGTTTGTGTTGTATTCTTCTTTCTTATACACTTTGGCCTTTGCAGGTTAAATCCCTACAGAATTTAGAGATGGAAGCATGGTTAGATTTGGCGTCAATATACACGAAGCTTGAATCATGGCATGACTCAAATGTCTGTCTTGACAAAGCCAAATCTATCAGTTCTTTCTCTCCCAAGTGCTGCCATGTCAGAGGTAAATATTCTCAAGCACTTCAAAATATATTTATGTGCAGCATAAAGAACCTCAATGTTAGATTGGGTTCATTTGCAAACACCTCCAGAAAATCAGGTTCTGCCTTGGCCATACAGAAGAAGTTTGAGTTTGGCTGCATCCAGAAGAAGATAGGCCTTCCCCTGAAACATGATCGATGGTGTCGTGTACTCGTGTTACTAGTTCAAGCTATATTATTAGTGCTTGGTAAAATTTTGTTGTGACTGGCAGACTTTAGTCAATGTGTCTGAGCAAAATTAAACCCAAAAAAAAAAAACTGGGGGAATGCACCTTTCAGATTATTTGGTACTATGGTCATCTAACATAGTAGTTATTCATTTCACGGCTTATGATTTTGGAAAATGCTAACATGATAGCCTCCGCTGCAGGCCTTATATTGCAGGCTCAGTCCTTGCACCAGGAAGCCCTGACGGCGTTCTCGCTCTCCCTCTCCATCGATCCAGACTATGTCCCAAGCATGGTTTGCATGGCAGGAATTCTAACCATTCTTGGAGGGAAATCATTGTCGATCGCAAGAACGTTCCTCCGTAATGCCCTCCGTTTGGAACCCACAAGCCATCAAGCCTGGCTGCGCCTTGGACTCGTCTTGAAATCTGAAGGATCACTGCTTGAAGCGGCCGACTGCTTCCAGGCAGCCTACGAGCTCCAGGAGTTATCGCCGATACAGGACTTCTCAGAGCACCTCCCCATCATGCTGCAATAGGAACGCAATAGCCCAGGATTCCTTGTAGAAATTACCTCTCACTTCTCAAACTGTGGCAACGCATTCTGTAGAAATCAGAAATTATGTGGATCTAGTTGCAAACTTGCAACTGTGAGCGTCTTTCTGTTGACGTCCTTACCAATTTTGTTCGTTCTTAGATTTTGAAAGATGTAGGAAAAATGCAATCGAATGAAGCATGCTGCCTTTATCAAGGGAAAAATAATGTTATGCATAGCCTTTTTCTCCCATTGAATGGAGGTGATTTATTATTTTGTGGATCAGGTTTGTAGAATTTGTAGAAGACAACGGTCCATATATCATCATGCAGCCCAAAAAAACATTTGGCGTTCTTTACTTTACATGCATTGCACTTCGACATTTCTGTGGTAACTGATAACTCACAGCTACGCGGCTTATACCTTCCCACGGATCAATGGCGAGTACAGCCTTTTTATCAGGTTGCAAAAGCAAGCAAAGAAATTAAAGACTGCCAGGATCAAAACTACTCCAGACCAAACAATTACTTCAAAATTCTTAACTTCATCATCAAGACCAAACAAAGCAAACGCATAGACTCAAAAACATTCATTTCTCATCAGAAAGCAAATATGCAGCTGGCAAGTAATCCCAACAAACTATTCAGAATATCTGCCATTGACACAGGCTAGGATGTTCACGATCCACAACTAGATAGCTGTTTACTTGTTGTCTAAATAAACGGGCAGCAAAATAAGTGATAATCTCTACTCGGCAGCAGCGACCTCCTGCCCGGCCATGGCCTCATCTTCTGCAGGCCTATCAAGCTTCGTACCGATGTCCTCCTTGGCATAGTCACCATGCACCTGGAACAAGAGACAAGTCATGTCAAGTTTGTTGATTGACACAACATACAAGCCTGAAATGAAACGGTACTGAATGCAACAGTCACCTCCATGAGCTTCCCCAGGTCAAATTTCGGGGCCTTTAGAATCTTCACTTTGCGGACAAACACATTCTGAAGGGGGAAAATACTGGATGTCGCCTTCTCAATTTCCTTCCCAATAACTTCAGGAATGAACTTTGAAACTAGCTCTTTCAAATCACAGCTTGAAGCCTGGTTGGCCATGATTTCAACCATCTTGCGACGAATCTGGGCAGATTGCAATCAAAGACAGTAAATATAGCAGCTGCTCAACAGTGGACCAATATACATCAATCAGTAAGAGACCTTGGAAATGAAATTACCTGTCTGATCTGACTCGCTTGAGCATAGCAAGTCCTCTTCACCTGGTTAGGCCGCCGCTTGGTGAAGCCGATACAGAACAGACGCAGCATGTAGCCGTCTGTGGTTTTGACATCCACATGAGCCTCAATCAGTGTCTGCCACTTCTTAACAAGTGATCTGAGCTTATCGGTAGTAAACGACATGCCCTACAATAGAACTGGTTAGCAACAAAATAAATCTAATAGAAGTAATTTTCTCCTATGAAGGAATAATTACCCAAAAGTTGGTGAGCACGTTCTTCCCTTGCACATCCTCAGCACGAAGTCTGATCTTCCTGTACGCCTGATCCTCATCGTTCTGGAGATCAGCTAAGGAGACCTCAAACACTCTATGCTTTAGGCCCTCAGAAGCAATCTAAAACGAAAGAAATATTGAGAATCAGCAGATGACATCATAAATTATGACAGCTACAGGTTTAGAGGTTGACAGACCTAAAGCATGATGAACAGACAAATTAAAATAATACCTACAATTGAAGCACTGTAACCATCAAATATATGAACAAAATTACTCATATATCCTACATATGGCAACCCCAAAACTCTACAGTGAAGAATGTTTGTACCCATTGCAGTACAGTTATACAGACGTCTTAAAACAGCACAAGAATCCCTAACAAGTAACAACAATATGGCATTATGTTTTATTATGCATACTAATACTGCATAGTGCATAACCAGAAAAACAAAGGCAGGTAAACACACAAATTAGTGAAACTAGAAGACAAACTCAATCCCACACTAAAGGAAGCTCTCAACAATTGAACCACGCTGTTTGACGTTTGATGAAATAAACAATTGGGAGGTACAACTAGACAAGCTAAACCAGAAGACAAATCTATTCGGAATAACTAAGCTCATCCAAACCAGCATCTGTAACCTCTCATCAGGAACAAAAATGGAACTAACATGCTAATAATACATCATATATTTCCCATGCTATCTTAGCCCTTAGTACAGCATATAGATCAATCCTACCATACGCAGTGCACACACACACATAGCAAAGTTACAAAATTTGCAAAATCCATCACATGGCGAGTTGACAATGTCAAGGTCGTATAGATCCCTTCGTTCACAGGAAGGGTTAGGCAGCAAACACTTAGCGCAAACACAACAGAGAATTATACAACGGCCAAGAACAAGGAAGCGGTGCTCATACCTTTGTACCCTGTGTCCTGGACACGAGGGTCTTGCCGATGTTCCGCACATTGAACACCGACGGGGCCTTGATATCATACCAGTCCTTCTTAGCAAAGGGATCGACGCTGCAAGAAATGCAAAGCTGCATCAACAACCCATGTAGCGACTAGCGAGTAAAAATGAAGGGGTTTGGATCTCTAAGCAGGAGGAGGAGGAGAGAACGGTGGGCAGGAGGGCACTCACGTCTTCTTCTTGGATCCCTTCTTCCCCTTGGAGATGCGCTTGTTCTTACCTACGGCCATGGCTGACGCTGCTCCAGGCGCTCGGCGGCGGCGGCGGCGCGAGAGAGGTGGAAGCGGCGAGGAGAAACCCTATCTCCGGATCGACCCGGGGAGCTTTTATATACGCGAGGAGGTTTGAGGGTTCTGGCATTTGATCGTACGGTTGGATTTGGCGCTCCACTAGATGGACGGCTACGATGCGTAAAGGCCCATTCGAGTCACCTTTGGACGGCCCACTTTAGTGATGCAGGAATGCTATTAGGCCCATGCTGCATATTAACATTCTCTAGAAGTAAAAATCATTTCCTACAAATAAGATGACATATCAGTGAAAACAAGTTAAGTATTGGATATTCGTAAAAATCATATCTAAAAAGTTTTATAAATTTATGAAAAAAAAATACTAGTAATGGGTGTAGATATGAAATACATTCTGACCAAATCTCAAGTTCAAACTCAATTTTATTTAGAAAAAAAAGACAAGTTTTGGGTGAATAGTAATTCATCCGAATTTTGTTTTTTTTCTCTTAATCGAACTTGAATTTGGATTTAACATTTGGTGATGATGTATTTCATATCTATACCTGTCTCCAGTAAATTTTTCTTGAATTTACAAAACTTTTAGATATAATTTTTATGAGTTTTCAACATTTAGTTCGTTTTCACCGTATATGTCCCCTACAAAGAAAGCTACTTACTCCAACATCCAACATGAAATTCACTTCCCCAACGAACACATTAAACTTAGGTCCAGAAAGTTAACTCCACACAATTATTTTTTAAAAATGTAGCAGCAAGAGTCTATCGTGTATATCGTGTATCCCTGTTGTCTTTTAGGGTACTGGTTGATACTAACTTTAGAAGACTTCCCACATAATCTTGATGTGTACTCCCTACCCATTATAAAGCAAAGTACTACTTTAGATCAAAGTCCAACATCATGGCATCCACATCCTAGTTTTTGCCCTAGAGAATCATACATAAAGCATTCATGAAGTGCATTTACAGAAAATCTAAGTCTAGGTCATATGATAAAATCCCAAGATATGTATGAAAATCTCCAAATGTAGAGCTGAAACCAATTGACATCACAACAGAAAAAAGAAACCTCCATGATTCGCATGAGACCAAATTAGAAGTAAAGGGTCTGGATAGATATGTGAGCACTAATATGACCTTAAACATGTTTGTGCGGCAACGAAGCACCAAACGAAGTATTTCCTCCATTTCAGGTTATAAGACGTTTTGACTTTGGTCAAAACAGATTGACTTCAAGTTTGACCAAAATTATAGAAAAAAATAGTAATAGTTTCAACCCAAGACAAATTTATTATGAAAATATATTCAGTTATTGATTTGATGACACTAATTTAGTATTATAAATATTGCTATATTTACACATAAACTTAGTTAAACTTAAAACAGTTTGACTTTAACCAAAGTCAAAATGTCTTATAACCTAAAACGGAGGGAATAGCTAACATGAGAGCTCAAGAAGATGCGAGTACCTAGTTTGCAGGATGCACTCCATTGCTTCGCCTCGCACTCGTCATCGTCACCCCTGCTCGTTCTCGCCTCAATCCTAACGACGGCTGCGACAAAGACCCCGTGTCATCTGTGGTGGAGCCACCTCCCGGCTAGGTCAAGCGACCGTTCGGGCTTCGTCATTGTCGTCTTCACTGTCGATAACCGTTAACACTTAGGGCCCCTTTGAATCAAAGGATTTATGTAGGAATTTCATAGGATTCAAATCCTATAAGAAATTTTTCTATTTGGCCCTTTGATTCAAAGGATTGAAGCTTTCCAAATCCTATGAAATTCCTATGGAATGGTACATTGCATATGGATTTTGGAGGAAATTTAGCAAGAGCTCCAACCTCTTTGGAAAATTTCCTTTGAGTCTATCTCTCTCATCCGATTCCTGCGTTTTTCATGCGCTCCAATCAAACGACAATTCCTGTGTTTTTTTTGTGTTTTGCAATCTTCTGTTTTACACTTCAATTCCTGTCAGAAACCCGTGTTTTTCCTATTCCTCCGTTTTTTCTACCCTGCGATTCAAAGGGGCCCTTATAAAAATTAATCAATCACTAGAAAATACTACTCCGTTTTTGGAGTATTAGTTTGTTTGGACTCGACGACATCGTTCTGTCCGAAAAGAAGGAACGGAAAACGTGTGATGGGCCTGGTCTATGGGTGGTAGCGCCTAGCCAATTGCCAATTGCGACCTGTGTACGCTATAGCGGGTTTTGGGCTTTGCATTTAGGATAAGACGGGCTTAAACACGCGAACGAGCCGTTGGCTCGGTGGTTGGGCCGCTCGGTGGAGCGCCCACCACCCGCGTTCGAGCGCCACTCGACGCGGGTTTCGCACTGGGGTTTTATTCCCCTTTCCTTCTGTTGCAGCCTCACACGTGGATGTGCCACATTGGTCAGGGTGACATGCCTGTCACGTGCGAAGCCAGTTAACTTCGTATATCTCTCAGCCACGTGCAGCCTTTGGGTATTTGCGTAGATCTTGGTTGTGTGTAGTGTGCGTGTGGTGGTGTGAGTTCGTGCGTGTGAGTTCAGATACTACAGCTTATACTTGAAGAGTTGAGGCTTAAAAAAAAAAGACGGGCTTATACACACAGTTCGTTTTCCAGGAAACAAGAAGAAATGCGATCGAATACCTAAGTAACAACAATGAAGTTTTCACCGGAGCAGAATTTGAGTAATCTTCTTCGATCATCCCAGCCAGACAACATATAGTCACGCACAAGTTACACAACCAGATGTCCACTTATACATGCACCTCGACAGCTACAATCTATTCAAGTGTACTACCCAACCAGAGTCTAGCCTGCGATGACGTAGAAAGGACCATCCACGTACGTCGTCGTGTAGATTCCCTCCGAGCACGCCATTTTAGCAGGGCTTTGCATTCGGTAATTCGATCGTCTCTCCTCGTCGTCAGAAGCATACGTCCAGGAGGCAGCAGCAACAAAGGGCCGCGAGGCTGACCACGTATACAAGGGAATTCAGAATACAAGAAAAACGTGATCACAGCTGCATTCAGAAAGTTTTTTTTTAAAAAAGAACGTGTTGGAGTTGTGTCCCTCCTGAAACCAGAATTCTGAATTCACAAGGCTTGACAGTGTGGTGCGAGGTTAATTACGTTGTTTGTGTACACGTACCATCCCTGGCAGAACGAGGGGCGCTCGTGCCGGTGCGGCGGGGGCGGCGGCGGCTGCGCGTACGGCGGCGGGTACATCTGCGGCGGCGGGTATCCGTACGGCTGTGGCGGAGGAGGGTACGGGTGCGCCCCCGGGTACCCCATCGGCGGCGGCGCCTGCGGCGGGTACTGATGGTGTTGGTGGTGGAGGTGGTGGTCGTCGACGCCAACGGCCTTCCCGTAGGCATCCATCGGCGGCGGCGGCTGCGGCGGGTACTGATGATGTTGGTGGTGGAGGTGGTGATCGTCGACGCCGCCGGCCTTCCCGTAGGCATCCATCGGCGGCGGCGGGTATCCTGGTTATCAGAGCAAACCGCATTTTTTGTTCAGGAACAAGATAACATCTGCAAGTCTTGTGATTGGCACGTCTGAGTGTCTTGACCTTGTGGCGGGGGGACGCCGACATGGGCGTGAGGATTGTAGTAGCTCATCGATCGATCACCTCGTGTTGCTGCAGCCTAGAGACGCAACCAACTAATCAAAGATTGGAACCTGGAAGAATGTGGTGGCCGCTGTCTGTTTCGATCTGATTCGGAGGACAAGAAACGGGGAGGAAAGAGAGAGAGAGAGAGGTCGAGACCGGATCGACGACGGAGTTTATGCTAATTTTGTCGCGGTCATTGCGCGCAAATGGCAAGGGAACCATGGCTATTATCGGCAACAATTAAACGACGAACACGGAGGACCGGACGGCTAGGCTTGAGACTCGGCACTGACACGGTTTTTCATCAGACTTTTTTTTGCTTAGGCTAGCCTGCTCGGTCTTGAAAGCAAACGAGACGAGTCACTACCATACGAGGAAAAGGGTACCACTATCATACGAGTAAAAAGGGTACAATGCCAGGCCATGCATGATGCATGCAAAATCTTTCGCCAAACTCGGGCACTGCGCGGCATGGAGGAATTTGCTTCGTCCGGGGATGCTGCAGGCACTTTTCTTGTCGCAAAAAGGCACGAGGCATCGCCGCTGCGTGCACGCGTGCCACAGTGCACACACAGACACAGATACCAGCTGCAGCTGCAGCCCGGAGGGTAAACTACTAAACTCACTCACTCATGCATCACCGGTCATACTCATACCACGCATATCAGGTCATGTCACTGTGGCTTTAATTTGCCAGTCCAACCCATCTCCCACACGCATCCATCCATTCCACGTCCCGAACGGCACTGACGAAACCCTGAGCAACCCAATGCAATGCTCTTTCTCTGATCATGGCTCAGCCCAGAGACCAGACCCAGATCCCCACGTGTATGTTGCTGGAGTATTCGCCGTTTGGACCGGGCCTGCAAGGCTGCAACGCGAGACGAGCAGCAGTCAAGTGACCGGGAGGAATTAGCTGAAGCTGGCGAGGCTTTGCTTCCTGAATTGTCAAGCTCACGGGCGAGTACAAAGTTCGAGCAGTGCCTCACGCTAGGTAGCAGCTGTGTCTAGCTAGCATGAATACCTGATGGTGGACGGGCCAACCGACGGCCACTACCCGGCTCGCTCATGGACAAAACTGGGCTCCGAAATGGAAATTTCGGTTGGCCGTATGCAGAAATTAACGTTGTGCATCTTTCACATTCTAATCGCTGCAGGCATACATCACTTGTTCGTGCTCTAAACTTGCATTAGATTTCGCACTTAAGAGGGCTGAGATTGATAATAGATGACGTCGACGATACGTAGGGCTGAGAGCGCACCTGCATGAATCAAGATCTTCTACCAAGTGACTTTGTCACTGACATGTGGACCCAATAAATCTTTAACCCATATATTATATCAAAGACACTGTCAGGGTTATGAATACCACATACCTAATAGTAGTTGACTAAATCTCAACAGGATCCACTACATACCATGTCCTATACGGAAGCAACCTTCAGATATAGGAGGAGTTCCGGATAAGGAAAGACAACCAGAGTTCTACATGGAAACGACAAGGACTACTCAGATTGTATCCATATTGGTTTCCCTAGTTCTACTTGGACAAGGGGGCGCCTATGGGCATAAATACAAGCCCCCCTAGGAGGAGAGGGAGGAGGATCAACACCCAACACAGACAATATAGAAGCCTACATACGTCAAGACACGCCGTCGGATATCGACTTCAGGGATAAGCACGGCTAGTACCCTACGGTGTCTCCGGATATTGTCAGGAGAGACGAAAGCGCTATCTCTGATCTCGCCGGGCACGGATTCGAGGAGGAAGGCTATCCTGTTGTCGACTACGAGTCAGATCGTCAGACCGCTATGTCGACAACAGTTAGATAGGCTACCCCAAATATTATACTGGTATGATTATCATGAATAAGAGCAATACCGGCTTCGGCCAACAGGATGTATGGTTATTACCTGACAATTTAGGGGCCCGAACCTGTATAAAAATCCTCGCCTCCGTCTCTTTTACCTCAGTCTCGCGTATATCTTAGTACCAACGATCCCCATACTATGCAAATACCAGAATCGCGACATCAAACGTCGACAGTGGCGCGCCAGGTAGGGGGATTTTGGTGCTTCAGGTTTTCGACGAGATGGGTTTAAGAGATGGATTCTCCAACAATAAGTTACTCGACAACTTCGGCTCTGAGAGATCTAACCCGAACAAAGTACGTTCCCCCGACGAGATTAAGATCATCATCGTCAACAAATTGATCTACCTCACCAATCGGAGTACTTGAGCTGACCGTGGAGGACAATAGTTCACTACTTTGTCGGCGCCGGCTATATCTTCGGGTCACAGTGTCTGCTCTGAAAATTCACTAGAGCCGATCGGTTGACCATCTAGCCGCCAGATCAACGCCATCACCGAGGAAACCGGACGACTCATCCCCTGAATCCTAGACGACTACGTGTGCTCGTATGCTGTGTGGGAATGGGACTCTAATTATCCCTTGCCGTGACAGGAGACTTGCGAGGCCACGTAAGTCATGGGATACACGGTCAACAAAATTACCGATTTTCTACCAACTGCACATGCACACGTGGCTCAACTCAGATTCAAAGATCAGACAACACACATCCATCAGATTCAAAGATCAGACAACACACATCCATACGGCATACATGCATGGTGACTTTAGTTATATGTGTATATGCCATCCGGACAAACCAAAGGTATTTAGTAGGTTAATTTTCAAGTTAATCTACTAATTTCGTAGATATATCCGGCATATATCAACACAGGTACGCATTATTTTATATGCAATTTACCGTACCTATTTTTTCCGATCTATACAATATTGTCAGATCAATAATTCATTATGTCTACCTAGAGCATGTTTTTTTATACAAAATCTATTGCGCGAGTGTCCCCGATGTTAAATCGACTACGGTTTAACACTGGGGGCTCGCTCTATTTTCTTCCGTATAAATCATGATTGTTTACGGTTTACATAATGCCTGATATTTACATCTTCTCGTCATATCCTGATAATGATAGAAGATCCATGAAATTTTTGACTACATACTCGATATTATCTGCTATATGTCTTGTCTTCTAGAAAATATTTTTCAGGAACAATTGAGCACTCGAGTAGGTTATGGTCAAGTACGCCGCATTATCGAGAACGATCTCGACAAATGCAGAGTCGTCGCGCCCAACCCACCAACGAAGACCGACGACCTATCTCATAGCACCGGCCATGGCTGGACTACTCGAGAAAAGGTTGTTAACGGATAATTCCTCGCGAACGCCGTCGGCTTGATCACCCGACATGATTGCGAACGGACATCCGGATATGGTACAAGTTGGGTGTGTGAGTCATGCTGGCCACATGAGACGCACATAATAAACCAACTCTAGCACTTCCATTGGTGTTCGAGAGATAATTATACTCGCTCGCTAGTCCTCGAACCAGTACGTAGCAATCTCTCACACCGCAACTTCCATTGGTGTTTGAGAGATAATTCTACTCGCTCGCTGGTTCTCGAACTAGTAAAACGTAGCAATCTCTCGCACCATGACTTCAGATGGTTGAGGAACAGCTACGACTAGTCTTCGACCGGCAGCGTAGCGGTCCTCGTACCATGACTCCAAATGATCGAGAGACACCTACTCACTGGTTCTCAACCAGTCAATTCTCCCACTACCCTGACTTCTACTGGTCGAGTTTAAACTACACCTGGTTCTCGATCTGCGGTGTAGCGATTCTCCCACTACCTTTATTTCTAGTGGTCGATTTTAGACTACATCTGGTTCTCGACCAGCGGTGTAGCGATTCTCCCACTATTTCTACTTCTAGTGGTCGAGTTGCAACTACCACCTGGTCCTCAACCAGAGGTGTAGCAATTCTTCCATTACCTCTACTCCAACAAAGTTGACATCAGATACACAATATCGCCAAGTGTTTTATCCAGAGATCCCTTACCACAAAAGACACCTAGCGTTGAAACCTATCCTAATGTCCCTTTACGCTGTCTTGACAAGACCTCCGAGGAACATAAGGGAACTTCGGCTGGGGACGCCCAGAGCCGATATGGCCTTGTCGGATCCTTCAAAGACGAAAGACCATGTAAGATCTGGTCGTGTAAGAGTTCTCGCCGTGCGTATTAACCAAGCCATGTAATCAGAAATGGATTTTCCAACTTCACGGCTGGGGGCTAGGATCAGTGCTTGTTCAACTGAGGCAGGTCAAAGGTCCAAGAGCCTTATCTTCCGAGAACGATTCTCCGATGACAAGGCTGGGGGCTAGAGAGAGTGTATAACTCAACAAACTGACTGATCGAAGTCGGTAAAAGAGTAGACGCTCATATACAAAACATTGGTCTGTAAGTTTAATTCATTTTCAGTTTTCCATAAATTCTATAACATGTTACCCTTTGAGCATTCGCTCGGGGGCTATTTCTATCTAATATTCTTTTCTGAGTATTGATTTCAGGAAAATTCTATTCGACATTGTCGAAGACTTCATGTCTCTATGGTTCTACACCAAGATCGACTAAGGCGAGTATGACAAATATTGACAAGGCTCCATCGCAGACTCTGCGCCTTCTCGATCACTCGAGAGCGGTTGGTGGATATCGACAAGGAATACGGAATGAAAAGATGGTGTACCCGCCGAGATAAATTTCTTGACTTCAATCCAAATTCTCGATTACAGCAAGACAGGAGACTTAGTCGTATGCTCTGTACTTTCTTGGTTGACGTCGGAGATTGACTCAGACAAACCCTTTAGGTGTCCGCACGAGGCTGATAAAGAAAATCTAACGCTATCTCTGAACTCACCGAGAACGGTCACGTGCGCTCGATTACAGTTCCTCCAAGGTCTGCGGTTGAGAATATGAACTCGTTCATTTGCATTGAAGTCGGGGGCTACTGTCAGGGTTATGGATACCACATACCTAATAGTAGTTGACTAAATCTCGTCAGGACCCACTACATACCATGTCCTATATGGAAGCAACCTTCAGATATAGGAGGAGTTCCGGATAAGGAAAGACAACCAGAGTTCTACATGGAAACGATAAGGACTATTCGGATTGTATCCATATTGGTTTTCCTAGTTCTACTTGGACAAGGGGAGACCTATGGGTATAAATACAAGCCCCCCTAGGAGGAGAGAGAGGAGGATCAACACCCAACACAGACAATATAGAAGCCTACATACGCCAAGACACGCCGCCGGATATTGACTTCAGGGATAAGCACGGCTAGTACCCTACGGTGTCTTCGGATACTGTCAGGAGAGATGAAAGCGCTATCTCTGATCTCGCCGGGCACGGATTCGAGGAGGAAGGCTACCCTGTTGTCGACTACGAGTCAGATCGTCAGACCGCCATGTCGACAACAGTTAGATAGACTACCCCAAATATTGTACTGGTGTGATTATCATGAATAAGGGCAATACCGGCTTCGGCCAACAGGATCTAGGGTTATTACCTGACAATTCAGGGGCCCGAACCTGTATAAAAATCCTCCCCGCCGTCTCTTTTACCTCAGTCTCACGTATATCCTAGTACCAACGATCCCCATGCCATGCAAATATCGTAGTCGAGACATCAAACGTCGACAGACACAGTAACTTGAAGATAGATGATCTCAATCCCCTGCTATCATGTGTCATTATAGATAGATATTCCTTACTCGGTAGGCCATTCACAACCCGAAGACATAGTGAGTGGCGCTTTGTTAAATCAAGTCGGAGTTGTCCCTCCGGCTTAAGCCCACATAGTTTGTTCGTGTGGCTTCTCGTGCTTTGTACGATGGCACATGTGCCCTATAGGGTTGAGGCCATGGCTCACAAGCTACGTTCGGTGATCAGGTCTCGCCTTTCCCACCACATGCCCTTGAGTTGTTCTTGGCGGTTGGGAAAAGTGGTGGTTGGAGAGAGGAGAGGAAGATCAAGAGGGATGAGGGATGATAGGCAGAGCGGGTGGAGGGGGGCAGATCTACAGGGAGGATGCGACTAGAAAGAACTTGCTATTGCCATCATAGGGTTGGTCTGCATTTTTTTTTTGGGTTTTCTTGTCTTAGACAAGGACATACGATGTAAGTGGCTACCGATGGTAGCAACCTTCATGGGGAGCGGCTACAACAAACCTCTCATCGGCAGTTGTCACCATCGTTGATAACCCAAACCAGGATTAAGGTGGAGTGACAGTTAGCAGTGCAAGGACCACAGTGATGGCAAATGATTAGATCCATCACCAAATTTGGAAGCTCGCGTAGGTTCGTCCTCATTTGGTCCGTGCGTCCACTGTCCTTTGTCTCTCACTTGAGAGAAGAGGTTGTGGCGTTAGAGCTCATTGTCGAGAGGGAGGCACATTGGTGCCAAATGTCAATCCCATAGAGGGGTGGGGCAAGAGGGGGGATGAGAGTAGTGAGTTTATATTAGTTTATGGATTTTTGGTATTAGTGCAAAAATCAGGAGTGACATGTTTTTTTAAAAAAGACTGACGTAGAAAATAGAAGATGTTATTTGAAGTCACTTATAATATAAGAATACTTTTAGATGAGTGGCCTTAGCTTTTATAGAGGGCTGCTATACAACGGAATCCCGTTCGGACGGGATGATACCGGTTAGGTTTCATGTTTCGATACCTAACCGGTATCAGGTATAACTATCAAGTATCAGGCGATTCCTACCACGTATTAGATGATACTTGCGAGGTATCATGTGATCCTATCAGGTATCATGCGATTCCTACCACGTAGTACGTGATACTTGCGAGGTATCAAGTGATACCTATCAAGTATCAGGCTATTTCTATCACGTATTAGGTTATACTTGTAAGGTATCAGGTGATACCAATGAAGTATCAGGCGATTACTATCATGTATCAGGTGATACTATCAAGTGATACATACCAGGTGTCAGGTGATTTCCATTAGGTATCAGGTGCCCCCACCATCCATGTCCCACTCCGGAGCTTGGCGCGGCGGCTGCGTCCCCCACCGTCCATTCCCCACGCCACACCGGAGCTCATAACCAGCGGTGGCAGCCAAGCTCGTAGGGAGAGACAGAGATAGAGAGAGGGAGAGAGAGAGAGAGACTTGAGCGGAGAGGGAGCCATCCCATAGCAGCGCCGTGATGGGAACTACAACACTACTGGAGAAAGGATGCGCAAGTGGCGACGGTGCGTCAATCCGGCGTCGACGCCGAGGAGGAGGCACTAGAGCTAGGCGGGAGGGTTGTGCCAAGGGAGCTCATGGCGGAGGTGCTACGTCGACTGGGGCCTAGGGGGCGTCATGGGCGACGCTGTGGTCAGCCGTGGCTAGTGTAACTACGGGGTGAGGGGCAGCGGATGAGCTGCGTCTCCGTGCCGCCGGCGTCAGCCTCTCGCGTCTTAGGGAGGTGGAGAGGGAGCGATCCTATTAGGATGGTATCCCTTCCCATAGAATTCCTCCCTTTTATATGGCACTTGAAACCACTCAATAAGAACGGCTTTCATTGCGAATACTGGAAGCAATACGTGGTGTCTCTCGTCTTCTATTTACTAACCTGTTATCAATTATTTAAAAGTTAATTTTGTAGTTGATTTTTTAGGGTTTTCATGGTAGTCTTTTTTAGCATGATTTTTAAATCATTAATAACATAAATATATAGATATATTTTTTTACCTAAATATGGTTTTTTTATTGCTTTGTTCTCGCTTATCAGCTGTCTGGACACAGTAAGAGCTAGATTATTTCGGACACATGCAAGGCCTCTTAGGTGCAAACTAAATGGAGTATACGATCCGTCACGTTACACCCATCATCAATCCATAGTATACGTACATGCATCAGCTGGATATATCCACAAGGTACTCGTAGCTTTATTCTACATGACTTGTCACGCTACACGTCCAGTGAGACTTGTCACTACTTCACTTTCTACAACTGCAGTACTACGCTGTGTGCTCGGAAACGACGAGTCGACGACGAAGTCTTGCAGCCGGCTCGCCGTCGGCCAGCCTGAGCCAGTGGGTCGGCCTCACCCTTCCGCAATGCTCTGCAGCGCCGGTCTCCATTGCCGGGCGACTCGCCGGCCGAACACCACCCCGTGCGGCGGCAGCAGCGCCTCCAGGTCGCAGTCCGGCTCGGCCGCCTCGCCGTCGGCGTGGTCATCAATGTCGCTCTCCGGCTTCGGCGCGGCGGACGGGCTCGCCCTCGCCACGGGCTCCGGCTCGTCACTCTGGCGCATGACCTGGACAGATGGAATCTTGAGAGTGAGTGGATTTACTGGATATTCACGAGGACATGAAGAGTTGTTGCCATGGCCATGTCGACAGTTTAAGGTAGCATAGTTCTGTATAGTGCACTCCGTTCGTCCAATAATATAAGATTTTGAGTTTTTGTTTACAACGTTTGACCACTCGTCTTATTTAAAAAATTTTAAAATTATTATTTATTTTATTTGTGACTTAGTTTATATTATCTATAGTATATTAAGCATAACTTTTCGTTTTCTATATTTGTAAACAACATTTGAATAAGACGAGTGGTCAAGCGTTGTAAACAAAAACTGAAAATCTTTTATATTGTGAGACGGAATGAGTAGTATAGTTTGGAAATAGTAATGGCGATTTGCGCGTGATTCATTAGGGCTTCAGATTTGATCCACCGATGGCGACGGGTCAGATCACAGGGGATTCTGGGAGCCAGCAATTGGGATATGATATCATGATACGGTGCACGTACAAGCAAACGGCAAATGAAATTCCGTAACAGGGAGAATGCATTGGGCTTGGACGTACTACCTTTGCGAGTGACCGGCTGGAGTACTCCTCCTCTGGCGCGATGCCGCCGCTGCCTCGCCGGCGGCGAGGCTTGGCGGGCTTCGTCTCCTCCTCCACGTCATCCTTGGCCTTGATCGTGGCACGGCTTAGCTTGACATGCCGCTTCGACGCGAACTCTCTCAGCACCTCTGGTCACACACGCACACGAATACACAATCATTCAGTTCACTTGGCAACTAAAAGCGACAGGACCAAAATAATGGGGAAAAAAGTGAAGACTAATCGGAGATACCTCCAAACTTTCAATGGGAACTCCAGAAATGCAAGAGAGATGATCATAGACGACACCAAAAAAGTAGAGTAAATGGTTCTCCTGCCGTTTTAGTCAAAAAAAAATGCAATTTTTGCGAGCGCGACGGGCACGAACTCATCTTTATCATCAGTGTGCTGCCAATTGCAGCATGCTTGCGAGCACATCCGAATGACTGAATCTGACCAACTTTTAGGCGCAAGCGTGCGCGCGGCGCGGCACACGCGCAATGCAACCAGAGCAGACGGCGCGGCGTGTGTACTAGTACGTGCGTACCTTCGAAGCTGACGAGGCGGTAGACGCGGCCGAGCAGGAGCGTGTCGTCGGGGCGGAGCAGCTTGAGGTGCTTGACGGGCGCGGCGGCGGGGGTGGCCGAGGAGGCGCCGGCGGCGGGAGGCGAGGTGATCACGGCGGCGACGTAGTGTCCCGGGTTGGCCGCCATGACGGCGCCCGCGGACATCGCCCAGTACGCGCGCTCCGTGCGGCCGCCGCCCGGGTGCTGGATGACCACCGTCGCCACCTCCGCCGCCTGGCAGTTGCCCATCTGCGCCGACCCGCGCCGATGTCGCGCAACGCCCGTTTCTTGATCGCGCTCTCCTTTTGTTTCTGTAGGACTGTAGCTAAGGTTGCGAGAGGCTTGGCGAGTGAGCGCCGCAGGTGGAAGTGGCTAGCGTTTTATACTGCGTTTTGGTTGGTACCACTCATATGAGAGCACACGTGATACGTGGCGAATAGAGTGCATTTTCCATTAATCAGTACGAGTAGGCGAGTAGCTCGGTTTTCTTTTACATTTTTCATTTTGCAACGTCCTACTAAAAGACAATCACCATCCCTTTCATCACTCATCAGTTCTCATTGTTTTCCCCAATGTTTTTTTGCATAGGAGATTGATTAGTTTCTGAAGACAACAAATCAATCTCGTTCATTTAATTGCTTCACTCAATCACGCATGACACACCCGAAGACCCACTGACCCACACACTCTCTGGAAGCCTTTGCAACACTGTCCATAATCCATTCTGTGTATCAGCGAAACAGTTTCAGACTTTCAGGCCACTGCCCGGAGCAACCGAGCAAAGCATGCAGTGCCAGACACTCCTCTAACCGGAGCCTGCAGTAAGCAACCAACCCGGACGATCCGATCTCTCCCCCTCTCCTCGCTCCGGCCGCGTCCACGGCGGTGGTTACCTCATTGCTTTCACCCAAAGCAGCCGGTTTGGTCGGATCCCCATATTAAATTCACTACTACAAACCGGCAGCTTTGCACGCCCCTGAAAACGCTAAGGTGGTGTTTGGATCTAGGACTAAACTTTAGTCTCTGTATTTAGACACTAATTTAGAGTATTAAATATATACTACTTACAAAACTAATTACATAAATAAAAGCTAATTCGCGAGACAAATTTTTTAAGCCTAATTAATCCATAATTAGAAAATGTTTACTGTATCATCACATAGGCTAATTATGGATTAATTAGACTCAATAGATTCATCTCGCGAATTAGTCCACGATTATAGATGGGTTTTACTAATATTCTACGTTTAATATTTATAATTAATATCCAAACATCCGATGTGATAGATACTTTTAGTCTCATCTAAACAAACAAGCACGCATCACGCTCTGGCGAGAGTCTGAAGAAGCCCCCGAACACGCATCCGCAGCGGCCAGCGATAGGTTAGGTTGAGACGGGCGTGTCACCGTGGATCTAGCGCTTGTCGCGTTGCAACACGAGCATATATGATCAGCGATTATGTAGCAGGCAACGCATGGATTGGATCGGTGTTCAAGCAACGGTGCCCATCCATCCATCCATCCATCCCAACCCCTCTCCCCTGCAGCCTGATCTAGCAAGACGCCATGGAAATGGCCCGAATGCGACACGAGCAAGTGTCCGCCTCCACACTTTCTTCTCGCTCAAGGGTAGCGGCGCGCAGACGCTGCGATTGGCACAGCGATGAGGTGAAGGCTGCGACGATGCGCCTGGAGATAAGAAACTGCGAGCCTAAGCAAAGCAGAGAAGCTCTCTCTGCTTCCGTTCTTGCAACAACTCCCACTGGCTGGATGCGATAACGTGTAATGTACATGGTCCCGGCACTCGGTTAGCGAAGGCGCGATCCCGTGCGTTATGGCGGACGTATCCGGTTGTTTTGTTGCCATGGTTAGCGTCGTTGTTCAATGTTGATGGATTAATGATCAAGTTAAAACCGCCTTTCTTTCTGTTGAGGATCGGCAACGTGGCACTCGTGTCGCTCGCTGCTCGCCTCATTTGCTTCAACCAGGGGCGTCGTCTGAAAAGCGCCGATGAACTGAAGAAACATCGCGCCGGGGCCTCGGTTGACAGGAGTCGTGTACTACGTTACTTCTTGACTTCTCGAGGATCTCTTTAGTTTCTGAAATTGGAGAGAAGTTTAGAAAAAATTGGTAGTTTAGAAAAAAAAGTTATGAGTTTATGTGAGTAGCAAAGTTTTAGATGTGATGTGATAGAAAGCTGAGAGTTTGGGAGAAGATTGATGTGAACTAAACATAGCCTTGGTAGAAAGCAGGTGTTCAATAGACACGATTTGGTATTAGTGAGCCCTTGGCAGGGAGAGGGGATGCATTCATGGGCTTGGGCTGCATGTGGATCTGATAGTTCAGCCCAAGTAATCTCTAACATGGGCCGTTTGGGGAAAAAGTACACCGAAGATTCACTGAGATACAAAATCGTCCACCAACTACAAAACCAGATATATTAGATCGTTCATCTTGCAAAACCGTTCACTTTAGATCCTTGGTTGGTTTTGTGCCCGGTTTTCTCCGACGTGAGTCAGCGTGGGACCCACATGTCAGGGTGACCACGTCATCACTCTTTCTCTTTCCCCTCTTCTCTCACTTCCTTTCTCTCATTTTTCTCCCCCGTCTGGGCAAGCCGGCCAACGGGGCAAGGCGGGAGGAGGTCGGGCGACCGGCGACGGGCGACGCGGCGGCGGCAGCAGCGTCGACGGCGACAACGTGGGAGCAGGAGGGTTGCCCCCCACGCCGTCGGCCTCCGTCGCCTCTCCACCAGCTGCCATGGATAACGACGGCGGCCTCCTTGCTCTCCCCGTCGCCGTTGTCCGAGGAAACTAATGTCACACTCAGTGGCGTAATCCCTGACCAACTCCACTATCGCCACCTCTTTCGCCAGAGAAGTAAGTTGCTCAAACAACATCTCCTCGCTCCCAACCTCCACCTCTTCTGTAACCCCTAAAACAACAATGAATCACAAATTCAAGCAAAAATCAACTCGCGAAGCACAGTATTTAATAAATTTTCCCTTAATAAATCAGTAACAAGTGTTTTGTCTGTGATACTTGGTTCAGAGGTGGAGGCATTCAGGGCAGCGAGGCAGCCGCGGACATTACTCAGAGCGGTGCCGGCGGCGCTGCAACTGGAGGAGTAAGCTGCGGCGGCGGCCGCTAGGCGGACGGAGTGGTCAGATACCGAGACCTCGAGCTCCGCGTAACGCCCGCGGATCTCGGCCTCGACGTTGGCGGCCACGGCGAGGTCGGCTTGCGAGCAGAAGCGGGAGTCAAGGAAACGGCGGAGCTCCGGGGTGATGTCCGCGGGTCGCGAGAGCTGACGGAGGCCAGCGACGTGGGAGGACTGGCGCGGGAGGATGAGGCGGAGGCGGACGGCGCCGACGGGGAACGCGATGGGGAGAGCGAGGAAGCTGCCGTCGTCATCCAGGCCGCGATCTGGCGCCCGCGCCGTTGGCGGCAGCAGTGGCGGCGGCGTGGGGGGCGTCCCTCCTGCTCTCACGTCATTGCCGCCGCCGCGTCGCCCGTCGTTGGTCGCCGGCCACCCGACCTCCTCCTCTCCCGCCTCGCCCGCCGGTCGGCTTGCCCATACGGAGGAGAAAAATGAGAGAGAGGAAGGCAGAGAAGAGGGGAAAGAGAAATAGTGATGACGTGGTCACCCAGACAGGTGGGTCCTATGCTGACTCAGCTGTCACGTTGGAGAAAACCGGGCACAAAACCACCAAGGAAACTAATATGAACGGTTTTGCAAGTTGAATGATGTTCTATATCTGGTTTTGTGGTTAAGGGACGATTTTGTAACCCGATGACAAGTTAAGGGACCTTCGGTGTACTTTTTCCGCCGTTTGGTTATTGTTTCTCAAAGGAATAAGTTACTTTACGTACGTCCCTCAGTTTGAAGCCAAGTTTGAACCACATCCTTCAACTGCAATAAAAAAATACTGAACCCCATCTTACAAAACCAAGTTAAATAAGGTCAGTATGGATGATTGTTTTGATTGACTTGGCATCCCAGTTTGAGAAAAAAACATGTGGGACCTACATGTAGGTGAACTTCTACCTATCCCACCTATCCCCTCTCTTCCCGAGGAGCAAATCGGCGGAGAGAGGAGCAATGGCAGCCTGATGGGGAGATTAAGACGGAGGTGATAGTGGCGGTGGGAGGTCGACGATGAGGGGGCTTTGGTGGTTTGTGGCAGCAGAGGAGATTAAGAGGGAGACAAGAGAGTCAGTGAGCTAGAGCTCATTGGCCGTATGCAAGAAGGCAACAATGGTAGTGGGCGGCCGATGAGGATTGGGTCGTGGCTGTCTAGGCGGTGAAGAAAAAGCAGGATGTGCCACCGCCGCCTGTCGCATAAGGGATCGACGACCGTCGGGAAACTCCTAGGAAATAGAGGGGAGAAATGTAGGGGGATGGGGAGGAAATAGGTTTGGAGAGGTGGAAGTCATCTTAATGCAGGTCTCATGTTCTTATAATTTTTCGTTTTGCTTGCTAGGATGCCACGTTAGTTAAAAAAATCGTCCATATTATGTTAGGATTTAATTTAATCTGGTTTCACAAGATGGGGGTTTAAGATTTCAGGTATTACGGTTTGAGGATAAGATTTGAACTCGACATCAAGATAAGGGATGTCAAGTGAACTTATTCCTTTCTTAAAGTGTCTTGTTTGAGTGGGCTGACATAGAGTAACAGGCCAAGGGCCCTTCATATTGATCCGATACCAATTTTAATTTAGCCGTCAGTTTGGACGGATTTCCCTACTGTCACGTGTCACGACTCACGAACACTACGCGAACGATAAGATGATTTTTGCACAATTCCACACGTTTCGTTCGTTCGTTCACATTTCCCACCTGAATCTGTTCGCTACTTCGCTGAAGGCCAGCGCTACTACTGTTTTCTGCAGCCGCCATTCAACAGCGTACACACGAGCAAACATCGCGGAGCGGCCGCGCTGCCATCTTTAAGTTCACGCACGTTTTGAAAGGTTCCCCGTTTTTGGATCTCGCGGTTTTGTCCGGTGCCTCGGTATTGACTCGACCGGCCCAAAGGGCAGAACGACAATTCTGACGGCGCCACTGCTGCAGTCGAGTCGACCCCAGTTCGCGGTCGCCGGCCGGCGCAACCCGCGCCACACGGCTCGGCGCGCACCGCTTGACCTCGTCTGCTGCTCAGTTTAAGTCCGCACACCGGAGAGGCCAGGAAAATCTTGCCAGTGTTGCACGCCCAATTATGAAGTCTGCATAGTAATTGTACTCAAGTGATTACCAGCCGCGCATGTGCGTAGGGTTTGTGACACCTGCAGTTTCTATTGAGATCAACAACTTTTTAAATAATTTTGTTTTTCTTTATCTAGATTATGAGGCATTATATTTATATCTCTACTATTATAAAAATTAAAGATATTTTTGTCGGTACTTTTGATACGTCATCCGTATATGAGTCGGTTCTTAAGTTTGGTTCGCTTTTGGAATAATAGAAGGAATCGTATAATAAATCTTTTTAAAAAAAACTCGCATGCTAACTTGAGATGATCGGACTCTTAATTGTAGCACATGATTTTCTAACAAAATATATATCCAAGCGAATTTAACACAGTAAATTTTACCTTAACTAAACCATATAATAATAATACGATTAAAATAACCTTCACCCGTTACAACGCACGGATATTTTTCTAGTACTCTATAAAAAATAAGCAAGGAACCAGAATATTGGTAATTTTAGCTATTTCGGATTCTCGTAATCGACTTTCTCATAATATCATGTTCTCATGTTCTATTTGTTTCAGTTTAGAATTATTGTAATCTAAATTATTAAGTTAGATATTAAACTATATTACAATAAACTAAAGTAGAATAAGCTGTAAGTTGTTGTTTATTTCAGTGGATTATTGGAGGCTTTCAGTGGATTATTGGAGGCATGAATTACTTGGTTTGGAAAACTAAGGGGCTGTTTGGATGGGAGAAACTAATTTTAGTCCTTCTCATAGAAATATAAGTCCCTATGGGAGGGACTAAAAATTAGTCCTTCCCATCCAAACAGGGTGTAAAGTTTACAATGCCCTTAACTATTTGTTCAGATGGATGACAGAGGTGGGAAAATTTCTTCAAGTCTCTAGGGGCATTGAGTCTTTAGTCACTCAATAATATATAAAAAAACACCTTTGGAGGAGATTATCATATTTTACTAATATGAGTTTATATTATAATAATCTATTTGTTTGTTTCAGATTAAACATAATAACCTAGATTATAATAACTTGAACTGAATCAAGTAGGGCCTTCTAAACAGGGCCCTAGGAAATAAATTAAGAACATTCTCAGACGAAAGCATGCACCTAATAGCCTTATCGGTCGCCCTATATGAAAATAGCCATTGCCAATAAGTTTTAAAACTTAATTTTGAAGTTAATTTTTGAATATTTTTAATGTCGCTTCTTTTTCAGCATTAACTTCTAAGACACAGTTTTATCCATAATTTATATTGTATGGCTTATAATCAGCTCATAGCCAATCTTTTGATATGGTCTAGTCTTCATATAATGTTCATTTATTGGCCAAAATAGAATGATGGAATAAAAATTTACTGGAATTCTATAAAAAAGAATTGTTTTGGGGGCATTGTGACTGTTTTCTTTAAGAAAAGAAGATTGTAATTGTGTTAGTCTTTAAAAAAAAAGTATGACTGAACTGTTCAAATGTCCTATTTCCTTTTACATTTTGTCGAGCAAATTTCCGATGGTCAAATAATGAAGTAGTACATTCAATTTACACCCTATAAGCATCTCAAAGGTCCACACTTTACCCTCAATTTTAGCATATCATCTTCTAATATCATGTCAAAACACACACGAATGGCGGTGGTATGCTTGAAGGTATCACTAGGTCCACGATAGTAATACAAGAAAAACAAGACGAGTAACGAATAAACATGTAGAGAATCTTGCATCAACTATGACGATGGAAACTCGCTAGTGCTTGTTGGTTGAGAGATTTGGCTTATGTGTATATCTGGGGCTTCAAATGATTTCTCATATCTCAACTCCCGTGGCTCCTCTACAGTCTAAACAAGGGCTTAAGAAGTTCATAGAGACACATTTTTTAGGAACATGGTTAACCATCTTTCTTTTGTGTTAACTGGTTCGAATCACAAATTGGTACATGCATGTATGTTCACTTTTTGGAAGGGTACAAATACAACAGTAAATAACAAAGAAAAAAAAAGAACAGTAGAAAACAAAATCCGTGCCGAGTCAACAAAGGGTACACGTAGTCAATTTTGTACGATGCCAGCGCAGCATCCTCGAACGCCTCAGCAAGCTTCCCCGTCCCTCCAGCTGAGGTAGACCACTCCGGCCAGGTAGTGCGCGTAGGCGCCGGCGATGACGAGCACGTGGAACAGCTGGTGGCTGTGGCCGGCGAGGTCGAACTTCCCCGGCATCCACCGCTCCGGCACCCTGGTGGCGTACACCACCACGCCGGCGAGGTAGAACGCCCCCATGACCATCTCGTAGCCCGTGGTGAGCACCGCCTCCGGGCGCGCCCCGAACACGAGCATCTTGTGCACGATTGGAACGAGTCCTGACATGCCCATGCACGCGAACAGGCCGGCGCGCGCCCACCGCAGCTCGGGCTTCTCGAACACCGGCATCAGCGAGACGGCCACCGCGGCGGCGCCGAAGAGCGTGATGAAGCCGAGGTAGAGCGTGCGGAAGAACGGGTCGCAGAGGAAGGTGTAGTAGACGAGCGGGTAGAAGGAGGTGACGATGAGGCCCGTGATGCCGGCGTAGTCGAGGCGGAGCAGCACGTAGCTGGCGTGCTCCGAGTGGCAGGCCAGCAGGTGGCACGCGCTGCTCATCAGCAGGCAGAACATGGCGCCGCAGAGGTACGCGTAGAACGGCCAACGCGCGACCTGGTCGCCCGCCGCCGACAACGCCGCCGCCGCGAGCTCCGATTCGACGGACACGTTGCGCAGAGCCTGCACTGCCATGGCCGCTCCGTTGCTGCCGTAGCTCATCATCATCAGTACCATTGGGTTGCCGGTGTTGTTGGCCATGGTCATGGACGTCGCGGAAGATTCCATGGGAACCATCGTGGCGGCGCACACGGTGAGCGCGAGGAACATGAAGAACCCGATCAGATGCCTGCCAAGATACAGCAAGAAACGCTTGTCAATCAAAGCACCCAACCTGTTCCATCTCGCGTGCTTAGGTCCAGACGTGCTCTGATCGATCGAGTGCTTACGTCCAGACGTTGACGGTCTCGTTGTGGACGGCGAAGGCGCTGAGGAGCGCCTGCTTGATGGGCCACTCGCTGCGGTAGTAGTCGATGATGAACTCGTTGTGCTTGAGGAAGGCCGGGAGCGCGTCGTAGCTGACGAGCTCGTACTTGCGCTCGCAGCACCGCTTCGCAACGCCACCGTCGCCGCACTTCTTTCCTTCCAGGAGAGGAGACTTCAACGTCGCTGCTCTGTCCACGGCCGCATCGGCCGCGACAACGGCTTCGCTACGGATTGTGGTCGTCTTCTCCAATGTCACCGTGGACGAAGCCATCTGGGCGCGCTGCCTTGGGATAAAACCAGTATACGCTCTGTCGTGTGTGGCTCAGACAACTAATACTGTCAATTGGAGTTGAGAGAGGAATGCACAATCGAGCCTGGTTGCATGGTTTGGTTTCTGTCTTGCGTATTTATAGGCGTACGTTGCAGCTGCTGTCGAGTGTTGACATGAGCGCGAGTGCGCTAACGTACATAGGCGTCGGAAATTCGGCGACCCTACAGAAACGGTCCGATTACTGGAACGGCGGGCGCCAGGATGCGAGAAAAAAACACCGAGGCCTCTGCCTCATCAGTCAGTGTTTAGCGGCGCGCTATATTTAACAGACCACACAAATACTGTACTACGACTAATTATTCTCCGGTTTTGTAATTAAATCTGGCGCCAAGTATGTTATTCATTATTAGTTAACCCCTTTTATTATACTGTTTTAAAGATATATGTTATTAACATTGTAATACTTATATTATGAAATGGTGAAAGTATCAAGCTTTTCCAAAAAATGGGAACCTTTTCGTCAAGTCAATACATGTCGCATGATATCCATGCCAGATGTCACGTATAAACATTTTGATCACCATGGCAAGGTCTGCCACATCATCGGCGCGGCTGCCACATCCCACATGCACCATGCGGGAATAGCTTGTGCAGAACGGCGAAAGTGTAGCTAGAGGTCGTCCACTTTTTGTGGCTTCTCTCTCGTAAAAGAACCATCAGGAGATTCAGGATAAAACCCAAACCGATTATCAACAGTACATGGGCGGAAGTAGGGATGAAAACGGATCAAAAACGGACGGACACTAGTTTCATCATATTCGTTTTCATATTTTTTTATCGGAATCGGAATCGGAATCGAAAACTCGGATACGGAAATGAAATCGAATATTATCGAATACAAATACAGAGCGAATACGAGACGGAACGAATACGGTAGCGAATATTTACCGGTATATAAAAAACCCCTCAAATTGAGTTTCTTGATAAAGGAAGAGATATCGCTTATTATTTTAGTTCAACATCTCCAACATTTATATCGTCAATTTTGTAGACGGTCCCACAACTGTATGTGAAAAATCGATTTTCATGGCTGTTCCTCTAAGAGATCCATATGCAAATATGATTATCATTTTCTATTCCCAATACCTTTTACTAGATGTATAACTTACTTACCATTATATAAATTGGAGATGTTATTTATTTTACTTCACATCTTCGAAACTTGTAATGTTTGTATTATACTTTAAATGCTTTCAAATACAAATGTTATAAACTAAAAAGTGGTAGATCCCATTGAGCTCTATAATTTTGATATGGAACACATCTCCATCAGATGTCGTTTGAATTGTAGATCTGAGATTTTGTAAAAATTAATATGGTATATTATATTGAATATTTAGACCCTTAAATGACCTCAAATAATAAAATAGTCAATAATAAAGTTGTAGATCTCATCGAGCTCTACAATGTTGATATAAAGTTTGTCTTCATCTGATTCCGTATGAAAAAGTTATGCATATATACGTGTTTTTTCTAAAATTTACTTAATGTCTGCGGATATCCGAAAAAATTCCGGATAGTTTCCGACCGTTTTCCGATTCCGACGGATAGTACCCTTACTGTATTCGTTTTCGTTTCCGAGAAAAAATTTCCGAATTCGTTTCCGAATCCGAGAATTTTCGAATAATTTCAACCGAAACTATCCGAATTTAAAAAATGGTCCGGATGGATGGATACTATTCGAACCAGTTTTATCCCTAGGCGGAAGTGCGCGCGAGCCTGCCTGCGAACGCCTGAGAAACGTCACGGGCTCACGGCCACTAAAGATCGTATTGGAATGAAGCAGCCGGCCAATTCGGTTCAAGTCCTTTGTTGATCATGTTCTGAACACACAGTTAATTAGTAGGTTTCAAGTCAAGAATTGTAATCAGAATTCTAATGTTTGACATTTGAAAGCAGCTATGGCCAAAGTCTCCAACGAGGTGCTGCCCTTCTGAATTTTGAATGCCTGCAGGTCAATTTAGTGAAACGCTACAGTTACATATAGTATGAAAAGATAGAATCAATATATACTAATGAAGTAAACTTTCCGATTCTTTTAGACTATCGGTACCAACCATGGTGAAGCCTCGCAACTGTCAACGTCCACGTCCACGTCCATATTAACACACTGACGAATCACAAACTGACGATGCGTTTTATGCATGCCTGTCTCCTGCGATAACCCAAATTATGTGGACTTACGAAGGTGGCAATACCAAGTGGCTTGCTGTATGCTGTGTTTGCCTATGGTAGTCCTAAGCACTTCTCTTGGATCTTTTCTTACAATGCCATGTGTGTGCCGTATGCCACGATGTTCCCGTTTTGTACATCGACCCTCTTTCGTCCTATATATATATGCGGTACGCCGATACGTGTGCAGTGTAAACTCATTCGTACCATTGTGACTTTGTGTCAGTCTCTGCAGGTTGCTCTTACAACTGCACACGTACGTATGTACACACCTAAGCAAGTGTCCAACACCAACACCGTCATATGCCGCATGGGCCGTGTGGCACTAGTCCGTGTTGTGACTTACGGCTCGAGCTAGCTCGCTCGCTCTGAGCTAGCACTACTTACCAGGGTTTACCTTACCGTCGGGGCCGGGGTTACCGCGCCCCGGCGGTAAGCACGGTTACCGCGCGGTAACCGCGGTAACCGTGAAAAACCGTACAAAACCGTGTAAAATTTATCAAAAATTTAAATTATTTTTTAAATTTATTTGTATTTAAGGAGGTTACCGCGGTATTTATATTACCGTACCCCCGCGATAAGCCCGGTAACCGCGGTAACCGCGCGGTTACCGGTGGTAAGTTAAACCCTACTACGTACAGGTCGAGTCGTGTTCCTGATCAGTGATGTGTGAGGACTTCGTCGCGGACTTGATCGGTTGATCTGTACCTTGGGTGGGGCATCGCGCGCGTCATCATAGGCCGCTCCGCCCAGAGACCGGGGAACGCGTCGGATGCCTATGCCCTGCCGAAATGACTAATTAGCGCATACGCACCAGATGTCGAACTCGTTTATAAGTCCACCTGGTACACGTGTCGTTAGCGCAGTGGTAAAAGCCCGAGAAAAAACGTGACTAGCGTCATTATTAGTTTTGATTTTTCTTCCGGTAATTATGGCGTATATCCCTATTAGAAAACGTAATTATCAGTGTGATTGACCTGATCTTTCACTTTTTAATTAGGCCATATCAGAAAATGAGATTAGCTCTGGGAGTAATTAGTACCAATTTTTCTTTTTCGCTACTTCGGCCGTATTTTGTTCAAATATAGTTTAAGACTTCCAACTCAACTCAGATTTGAAAACTTTTAACTTTTCATTTCAAATTTAAAACTTTCAACTCAAATTTGAAAACTCCCAACACAAAATTTGAAAACTTTCAAGTTAATATTTGAAAACGTTCAAGTCAAAATTAAAAATTTTTAATTCTATATTTTGTAAATAGGAGTGCGAAAGATTGAAAAAATTTGAAAAGAAACGGAAAAAAAAGAGAGAGATCGGAAGAAAAAAGGTAAGTATGCGCTCCGCTTCGCCGCCCTGGGCAACGTCGCCGGCGGCGGCGCCCGCGCGGCCGCCTCCCACGCTTCTCCGACGACCTCAGCTTGCTACACTCCCGACCGCGCCCTCTGCAACGTTTTCCTCTCCGCTGCCGTCGCTGCAGGGTCAACTGAAGAACGACCTCTGGCGCGACACCCCCCCGCCGCCGCCGCCCAGATCCGCCGCATGGATCTCGCCGGGGGGTGTCTCCCACGTCTCGGCGACGCCAGATCCGCAGGGATACTCCGCTCCGCTGAGTGCGCGCTCCTTCCGCGACGTCGTGGCATCCGGGAAGACCTTGGATTTCAAATTTGAAAAGTGCCAACAACCCGTTCGCTGCGACTTGAAGACAGCCTTTACTTCGCCCAGGCAGGAAGCCAGCAAATCACCTAGGCGCTCGCCTCTGCGACGCAGCAGCTACTCCATGCCCTACCGCGCTAGGCCGGAGAGGGAGATGGCGCGACGTCGCATCCACAGTACGGCCACGGCGGAGGACTTCACTCCTCTTGAGCCTGGTTGGCAGCAGGTGAGAGTGCTCCATTGGTGGCGTCGGGCAGTTCATTCAAGCCCCGCCCAACCACCATCTTCAAGGCGACGAGATGTCTCTTCAATCTGGCCTCCCAGCGAGCCCAGAGTGCCCTCCGGCGCCTTTCGCCTCTTCTAGCAAGAAACTTATGGTCGATGCTTCGTTTGCCTCTCTCGCGACCACCGCGCGGCACACTGCCGTGACCCGGTGCGGTGTTTCCTTTGCCACACGTCGGGGCACAAAGCGCGTTTCTGTCCCCAACGCCGTTCCTCGGCCCCGGCTAGCGAACGCAGCCTGGAGCGCCGCCGCCAGACTCGCCAGCCTGAGCAACTTCCCAGTGCGACACGCCCACCTCCACTGCTCCCTTCCAGCCGCCGCTCGCCAAATCCAACACAGACACGCAACACCACGCTTCCACCGCCCTCACCGCTCCCGCCTCCACCTCCTCGCTCTGCTTTCTCGCCGATGGCGCGTCTCGGCGACCCCTCCACCCGGCCGGAGGAGGAGGAGTGTTTCATCCCAACTCCGCACGTCACCGAGGTGGAACTCAAGGAATGGGAATCCACGGCGGTCATCACTTGGGCGGCCAAGGCGCCTGCATCCACCACGCCGAAGGAGGTGGAAGCCATTTTCATGGAGGAGCTCCATTTGAGGGAGGGCGAGGTGGTCGTCTCTCGTCACCATCCCGAGGCGTTCATCATCAAGTTTGCACACCAGCGACATTGTGTCGAAGCCCTGAAGAGAGGCTCCGTCAAGCGCCATGGCATCGAGCTTCACTTCGTCAAGTGGCGAAGCCTCAAAAGTGCTCTAGGCGTCGCCTTGATGTTCCGCGTCCGCCTTTACCTCGACGGCATTCCGCACCACGCCTAGGACGCGGACACCGTCGTGCGCGTCGTGGCACGCACCTGCGCTCTGGAGAGCATCGAGACAAGCCTCCTCCACCCGCCGGACACGCGCTGGATCAGTGTGTGGTTGTGGACGGGGAACCCGAGCTCCATCCCCAAGCGA